CATTAGCCGCCATCTTTAATTTATTAACGATTGTGTAAAGTAAAGGGCGGTTTGCTGGGTGGAAAATAGTGCTAACCGACCATCGCTTGATATTCTCGACCATCGCTTAATATTCTCGACTAGCGGTTGGAATTCTCAATACACTTTTGTCACGTTTGGCTTGCCATAGTTATTCAGCAAGTGGCTGTCGTCAGGTGAAGTTTATCAAAAAGTCCACCCTTCCCTTCCTAAAACATTTTATCCATAACTAAATTATTGTCGGCTTTAAATATTATGATCCATTAACTTATGATAAATTGAATATGGTATGTTATTCAATGACATCCGCATTTTTCATGGATACCTGGTGGATAATAGTTTGAAACGGGAGTAAAGTTTCCAAAAATATTAAAACATGTGTTTCATTCTGAGTTTTACAAATTCCAGCTTTTCTTATTTCTGGTTTCTCCATTCCTCCAATCCATTCCCCGATTCCCAATTTCTTGTTTCACATAAATACAAGCAGTTAACCCATTATTAAATAAGGACTGCTAACGGATGGAAAAAATTTTATCATTGCGATTTTAGCTAATTGTTTTCTATTGTCCTGTAATATTGGCTTTACATGAAACTCTTTGACCTAATAAACCAAAGTTGTTTTTTACATTTTTATCAAGATGTTTTTCACAAGTGTGATGTACATGATGCTATAAGCTTTCAGCATAATGTGAACTGTATTCATCAATCTTCTTCACTTAATGGTCTTTTCAATTAAATGGCAGAAAGATTTTTCAATTGTACAATATATGAACAATCAATGCGTATCTACCTTTACGATTATCCAAGGCCAAATATCGTAATTCGTCTTATAAGCGTCCTGGGCGTTCATGAACATTTAAAGCAATTTAATGTCACAAGTGTTTCGAAGAGAGAGCGTAAATAAATGAATAAACAATCAAAAATGAAATCAGTATTAACAACTCTGAATATTAGTTAATTTAAAAAACTGGAACACTTGGACGTTGAATACAAATAAAAGCGCAAAGGCACGAAATCGACCGCCTCAGTTTACCTAATCTTATATATTCCTGCAAAATCTACCATAATGCTGTTTTGAAGGATGGAGCGCTGACAAGTGACAACAGGGCAAGGGTGGAAAATATAATTGTAATGTAGTTTTTATTGGTCCCAGAAAATTTTGAAATTCGAAGTCACTGCATAAAGAAAATTTAACTTTTTTAATTGATACGGGGTATATTTGAGTGCGTCTTGTATTTGAGGACTGTCGTATATTAGAAGATTACGGTAATTTAACAAAAGAACTGAACATTTTTATGGTTAAAATGTTTTTACAAAGCACGCGAGTAATACGTAAGTAATATTTACAGCCGAAGGTAGATGGATTATCTATATGTAAACATTAGCATAATTGCTTCGAAAAATATTTTAACAAAGTCGCAATTTTAAATAGCATTAACATCCAAAGCTAGCAACATATACCATTTTCTCTGAGTAAGCATCAGCCAATCTTTTTACATGATAACTTACAAAATAAGAAAAAGTATTTGCTTACAAGCGGTTACAATTATAAATATGGAAATGCGAAGACAATAATTACAAAGTTGCACCTCGCCATGAAGTTGATTAGCTTTCCTAAATTGCATGAAACAAAGCATGAAAACGACTAGAAAATTTCAACTTACCAAATTAAAGAACTTTCCAGACTTATTTCCTTGTAAAGAAATTCACCAAACTGAAAACACGTACATGTCGAAAAATGTTTATAACAAAATTCTCAACACGTCGACTCTACAGCGCTCACGGTGAATCCCGATTGAGTCAAATACGCCGAAAGATTCCAAATTCTGAAAAGTTTCACTAATATTGAATTTAACAAATTATTCTAAAGCAGGAGTGAAAAATTCTGTGAATTTGGCATGAAAAATTTCAAATAGAAAAGCCACAAAAGTTTAGAGAATTTATATGTGACGAATAAAACTCCCTGCATGAATGCGATAGCCAAGTCTTTGTCAATCGATTTTGCCATTGTTCTTTAATGTTTAAAAAAGAAGGAACTAAATTTTTCGAGAAATAATTCAATGATAAAAACCGTTTTAATTTATGTAGCACGGAAATTTAACGAGCAATTTACGTCGTAGCTAAGTTAGAAAAGAAAAGATTTTACTAGGTCGACCTTTTGGCGTGTTCTTATTAAAGGGGTGAGAGGGGATGGATGGGATGGGATGGGATACAATGGAATGGGATGGTATGCAATGGGGTAAGTGCACGGGTAATCACTACTTCTGGACAATTTTTAAATAAAGCACCTTAAAAAATAACGTTTTCTGTAGTTTTGAAGTGGGAGTAATGTTAATACAGACGACTAAGATACGCTGTACTAGCGATATTCCATCAATCACCATTTATATGTCACTTTTAAAAATGAAAAATCTATTTAGATGTTCAAACTATAACAAATACGGTCTGACTTAAATCAAGCCTGAGTTAACAAGTACAAAAAAAAGCAGCACGACGTGTTAAAAAGATCAAACAATCTAGTTATATGCAAAATAACTCAGTTTACCGTTATCTCTGTACATTGTATTTCTAAAGAATGAACAAAGGTGACCTTGACGAATTGTGTTCATGCAATAACCTTTTCCTTTATTCATCGATAAACGTTTTGATATGAAAAAGTCAAACATGATAGCAATGATAAATTCATTAACGAATGTTTTCAAATAAATATTGTTCATAATTTCATTATGACACTTTCTTTTGAAGTTCACATAAATACAAACACAAATAAGCTGCTGCACTTATCAATGATAAAGTTACAACAAGTGATGTAGTCAATTTGAATTGCGGAAGAGACTCTAGTGTAACTCATTTACTCGCTAAATTCCTGATCAACTTAATGTGTACTATCTATATGACGTTCAAATAAAGGCTTTCTTTTGGCTTTTCATTACCTCTACATGCCAACCTGTGTATACGAAAGTGCAAAACTGCTTCATTAAGGGTCGTTGAAATTTCAAAGTTTTGTAGTATCTGAATTTTAATTGTTATGCATATTTTGATTCTTGTTTCTAACGAAAGAAACAATCTACAAGTGCATTCTTTTATATTTTTCTAATTGAGATGAAAAAAGGCATGCCTTGCATTCATTCCTTCATATTGAGAAAGCCATAAGCGTCATAAGAACTGTAATCATACAAGCCCGTACAAACAATAAAATAGAGCTGGGAGTAAACAGAAATTGATGAAGAAATTATAGCAAATAATACTGTTCGTTTAACTTAAATGGCTTGTCTATTTTACTTCACATTGATACTTCACATTGTTCGCCACTCTCCACACTCTGTTGATAAATTATGAGTTGTCAATCTGTGAATGCCTAATTCAAATATTCAATATTCAAAATGTTTGTTAAGAGACAATCTACCCGTGAAACATGCATTGTGCAGGAAAATATGCCGTTTGGTGCCACCAAATTGGCAGAAATGAACGCAATTTTCAGATGTTATCTACGTACAAATCACAAATCAGTTAAGATTACCTTTTAATTGACAAAAAAATTAATGCTGTAATTATTTATATATTTATACGAGTGAAATAATGCTGGCTATAAAACTGACTATTAACAAACAGAATACTATGAAAATCAGTCACTCCACACCACATCATTATTTGCAGATGATAAATAAGTCAACATAACAAACCCCAATCAGAACACTTCCTAGTTGTGTTCCCTTTCATCTAAAACGCTCTCTAAAAATAAATTAAAATACGGTAGAGTTTCGAATGTACCTTCTCCTAAAAGTAACCGTCCCATCCGTTCTCTTTACAAAACTATTAAGAGCTTTACAATATTGTACTTCATTATCGAAATGAAATGTTCATGTACATTTGTGTCAACTACCGCAACCGTACACAACTTTAAACATATTGAAAGTTACAGTGGTGGATGTATGGTAGGTCAAAAATAAATTATAGAAGCCCATTTTAAATTTAAAGACTTTTTTAGCAACATTGTTGGTTAAATACTCCCAAAGTTTTATAAAATGAGTTTATATTTTTATTAACGTATTCTAACTTAACTTAGATCAACTGCAGGAAAAATCCCGCGAATAAAAAGCGTGAATTAAGAATCAACCGTTGGAATTAATCGATGACGAAAATAACGACTTAAAGCTAAACGCCCTCTGAAAGTTGCCGCCCTTTGAAGCCACTAATTTTGAAAGTAGCTCGGGCTACTACTTTAGAAACTCTACGACATCATTACAAAATTGTATATGAGATGGCTAAACACATAAAAACGAGCACCTTTCTTACATCTGGTAACAGGACTACGGACATTTATGACGCATGAGAAACATTTTCTAGATTTGGGAGCAAAAATAGTTGTTGCTAATATAATGAAATAAGAGTATTGAAATAAAAGTGTGATTGGATTAAATCAAGTTACACTAGAGTGAATTTCCCAAAATAAAATAATGAAAAATAGTTTAAAAGAAAAGTATTGGGAAAAATGAGTGTTCCCATAATGAGTGTTCCCAATTGCATAAGAAATTGATGGAAGTGCAAGACGATAGGAATACGTTTGCCAAAATTCTAATAATAACCGAAAGTTGTCTTGGAAACATCAAAAGGATTGTGAAACAACACAAGTTTTCAGTCCTTTCTTGGCTGTTATGTACGTTATCATAATAATATGTGTTTTAAACTTTAAAGAATATTACACTTATATACCAAATGTTATTGGGGTAAATTTGAACTTCTAATATATAACATCTTTTCCCTAACAAAAAAAATTACGTGTCAATACTAATTCAATATACTAGTCTATCCGGTTTCTTAATCAACTTCGTTGACCTTCGAAGTATTGGTTCGGTAGACTCCACAGGAATGGAAGACTTAACACCTATTGCTGTACCTGTTGAATCATTTCTCTCCACTTGTTCATTGCTTCCTTCGATTACCGAAGGCTCATGTCTGTCTACATTATGTCCCCCATTCACTTATGGTTCGGAATTGTGAGCACCATCATTTGGCACCGATATAATTTGTTTTCTATTCCTCCGGTAAATTGGACCATTTCCGGTCAAATTTAAGGGAAGATCTCGGCAAAATCTCAGCTGCACGCCACGTATTATCCCGTTAGGACGGATTCTAACTTTATCTGCAGCTTCCAAAGGTGATAAATGCCCATTATGTCTATCATAAAATTTCTTAGAAACCAGCTGACGATGCTGTAGTTTCTTCACCATTACAGCTGATTCAAAAGTCCTAGAAGTTAATAGACGACGATGAATTGATATTGTTGTCCGGGTTCGTCTACCCATTAACAATTGTGTTGGAGACGCACCAATATATTCCAATGGTGTATTACGGTACTTCAATAATCTTTCAAATGGATCCTTATTATCCATATTCGATTTCCTAAAAATTCGCTTTGCCGTCTGTACAGCTCTTTCCACCGCCCCATTTGACTGCGGATATTCCGGTATATTAGAAACAAGTCGAAATTCCCATTCTTTTGCAAACTTTTTAAACTCATGAGATCTACTAAACACATTTCTCGTGTTGGCGCATTGAGAGCCATTGTCACTATTGACTTCCTCAGGTATCCCAAATCTGGCAAAAAAATTTTTCAAATTATTAATCACACACGATGTTGGACTCCGTCGCAATAACTCTACTTCAAAGTATTTCAAATAGAAATCAACTACTATCAGGTATTGTTTATTTTGAAACTGAAAAATGTCAGTACCCACATGTTTCCGAGGTAACTCTGGAATTGCATGTGGATGCAAGGACTCCTTTTGTTGACGATTGCGAAAAGAATTGCAGATTGAGCAAGACTGTACCCGGTCCCTTACTTGCTGTGACATACCCAGCCAAAATACACAATCTCTAGCCAGTGATAAACTTTTTCTCTCCCAAATGTGCACCATAAATCTCACTCAAGATGTCTTTTCTGAGCTCCACTAGAACAACTAGCCTATCTGACTTAAACAATAAACCTTCTTCAACACTAAGGGTTTCTCTAAAGCTCCAAAATTCCTTTACTTGACTATCAATATGCTCTTTACAGCTTGGTCAACCATTCAAAGCATAGTATATTACAAGCTATAAAACATTATCATTACATGTGGCTTCCTTAAACTTTTCAATGAATCATTTTCAAAACTCAACCGTTCAACAAGATAAACCCCTACATGATCATCCGATACTGTTTCAATATCTTCTACAGGAGCTCTACTCAGAACAATATGAAATAGATTGATTTTTTCCGGGAACATATTGTACCTCCAAATCATATTTTTCCCAGTTTCAGCAATGTCCTCTGGAGGCTCTGTGCTGCTTCAGTCAACGACTTCTTAACTATCACCTCCTGAGGCTTATGATTTGTCTCTACCAAAACCTTTCGTCCATAGAGGTATGTATGGAATTTCTGAGTACCCCACACAATGGCCAGGAGTTCTTTTTCAATATTTGCATATCTACGCTCACACGCAATCAATACTCGAGATCCAGGCGCCACAGGTTTTTTATTTTGCATCACTACAGCTCCCAATCCTATACTACTTGCATCCATATTTGACGTTGTTCGTGTCCTATTGTCAAAATAACCCAAAAGTGGAGCATTAATAATCACTGATTTTAGTTTTTCAAATGCAATTTTCTGTTAAACATCCCACTTAAAATCTACGTTCTGCTTAATGAACTGTGTAATTGGTTTTTGTACATCGGCCTTGCGCTTAATGAATTGATCAAGATAATTCATTGTCTCAACAATTCGAAGAATTCCGTCTTTACCTTCTGGTGGTGGCATATCAACTTAGGCCTTGACTTTCATAGGGTGTGGTTTTAATCCCTGAAGAGTTAGTAAGTGTCCTACATAACTTACTTCCGGAACTCTTAGCTTAATTTTATCCGCATTAAACTTCAATTCTACTTCACAACTTCTATATAAAACTAAACGTACTTTCCTATTTAGACTTTCCTCAGTACCATGTATCAAAAAATCATCCATAATGATATCTACAGGCAATCCTTGAAACAATCTCACCATTTCTCGTTAATAAATTTCAGGCGCTGGTGCCATACCGAAAGATAACCTAGTGAAACGATATCGACCACAGGGCGTATTAAAATAAGCAACTTTGAGCTCACTAAATCTAAAGACAGTTGCCAAAATCCACTACATGCATCCAATGATGCACCCGACAGACATGTTGACACCCCTTCAATTGTTACCACGGGGTAATGGTGTCCTTTTAGTGCCCTACTTAAATCCCTAGGGTCCAAACAAATTCCTTGTAAAGCAGTTTTAGTGATTTCACGTAACATTTCCGTATTCACTGTTAGTTTTGAAATTGCTGAATTCAAAAGACCAAACACCCGAGTTGCGCATAATTTCGGCGAGGATGTGTTAAAAAATCAAATACAGTTCTGTAGAGGGTATTTCATCAATAAATGACCACTATTACCTGTGCACTTCTAAAAGACTAGTAGAAAACTAAAATTAAAATCAAATTAGATGACACAATGATGCCTTTTGTCAGACTTCTCATAAGGTGTTACACACACATTTTTCAAAACTAACAAATCTACTGACCTCTAAATTTAAGACAAGAAAAAATGACACCTAAAAATGACATCACATTAAATGACATTACACAGAAAAGTTGAATACATACCTAAATAGCACATTTTTGTTCCGGCTATTTGTTAATATTTATTCTTCTTTTATTTGCTCGATTTAAGTTAAATTTAATTTTTATTTCTACTCATCCCTTCCAATTTGACAAGCTATTAGCAATATGTTTCTATTGAAGACTGTACTTGATTGTTCACCCATTGCATGTTAGATGTTTCAAAAGGGTTGAGTTTAGCTTTGGTAAAACTATGTATAAATAAATCGGCAGTGAGGCTACAGTTCTCCACTTGGACAGTTCTTGCTAACATCTTTGAGGTTTGGTGTAATGCAGAAGGTTCGCCTCTTCGATCCTCCATGCTGTGGTATAAACGTTGGGTTAATGAAACTTTCTCATTGTTTGATGACGATAAGAAATTCAGATTGTTTCTGTAAAGACTCTCTTCTGGATTGCATCATCGTTAAATTACACATTCGAACTAGAGCCCAACAACCTTTTTCAGATGACAATTTAGAATTGTAAAAATAGAGACAATCATTGTTTTACTCGATTCATACGTGTCATGGAATCCGTATGACATAAAATAACCAATCCCGAGCTTCGTTGGCAAAAAGATTATTCCTTTAACTTATGTTTTGAACGTAATTAGGTATAAGTAGGTTTTGTTATTTTCTTTAACCTAGACTGATGAGAAGTCTACCGAAATCAAGTCATTTCATTTATCTTTAATTTATGTTTTGGTTTTTAACAATTCTTTTTAAAACTATATAGATTAAAGTTGTCATTTATCATGGCAAATACGCTCTTCAATTCAGTATTCAAAAATATTTCTTTTGATCCTCCATCCTTTGGTTATGATGAAATATTACATGAACATTCTCAACAGTTAATTTTCACCGCTATGATCAATCGATCTTGCATACGGCTTCAATTTCTTATTAAATGAAATGTAGCTGGGAAATAAAAAATACATGATTCGAAAACTCACCATTACTCCCGTCGTATTGCTTTTTGAATTGGGAAAAAAATTGTCATGATCCAAGGCAACAAATTGACAAGAACTAAATTGCCTCAGTTGAAAGAAGAATAACAACAACAACAATAGCAGCACCAAATGCAACAAGTAACAACAATATCGTCAACGATGCAAACCAAAATAAGACCAGGTTTATTGAGAAGTTCTGTTATACCCACAAAGCACGTACTTCCGAGTTAAATAAGTTAAATGCCTGTCACTACGCTAAGCCTACGGTTTCATAAAGGGTTGTCAGCTACGAGCATTTTATTACGTATCTTTGGAATCAAACAAAAGCTTTATTTCGCATGGGAAATTTACGTACTTTTAACAGAAAGAAACCAGTGGGATTAGCATGGACGTACTTTCCGGGGAGGGGGTGGGTGCTACTTCTCCAAATACCAGATTCCGCTCATAAAAAATTTTTACCACTCCTCTACGAAACATTGCCCCCCCCCAATTTTTAGGAAAACAAATCAGTAATACAGATGAACTGAGTTTTTCTGGGCAATGTTTCAACTTTACACTTTTGGTGGCTACACTACTCGACCGCTCCTAAAATCTATAGTATCTTGCTTTGTATTACGTCACTTCATTACAAGCTAACCCCTCCTGTAAAAATATGAATATCCGTTTACAGGAATTAGCATTGTAATAAGGCCTCGAAATTTAAAAATAGGTTAATTTCCAATGGTCGTCTTTTTATATAAACCCTGTAGTGTTTTCGATTTCCCATAATGACGTAGTGAACACGGAAAAAAATCATTCAAACATAATGTAAGTAAAACTTGCTCAGGGGAAATTTACATTTAATGGTTGATTGAGGCAAGAATTGATCTTTCATCAAGCAAATATATACATTTAACGCTGAAAACTTACTATACAATTTCCTTAATCTTGCTAAGAAAGTACCTTTCGATAGTGTTAGCGCAACGATAATATTCAGTATCAGGGGCATTGTATGTACGGCAATTACTAAAGATCCTCATCATGTCAGCAACGAAGAGTTTCTTTGTACTGTAGTAACCCGCCTTTAGCCGATCACTCATAGTTTTCAGATCTAGAAATAAAAAATGTCAAACATATGGCAGGTCAAAATGATGCAAAATTTCCTTAAAGTACTCTATGTAGTAAATAATTGTCAAAATTTGAAATTTTGTGTATTTTTTCTCTTCCTATAAATTATTGCACTTTTTTTTTGCCCATTTTTGCTCGATATAAACAATATCTTTAACAAACAGGAGCAATTTTACAATATGTACAATTTTACTTTATACAAATTTTATGGTGATCGTAACCAGAAATGTCTGCGCGAATCTGCCTTCTTGTTGCAAGCGTAGCTAGCGATGAACTGCATCTATTTCTATTTTCGACAATTTAAGGGAATTATGTTATTCTGGCGGGGTTTTTTAAATTTTTTCCGAAAAAATGACGACAAAAGATAGAAGAAAGAGTACGTCAAAAAAATGAAAAGAATAAGAAGGGCTTTTTTGGCGTTAGACGTCATGAACAGCTCTCAATTCAAATACACACCCAATTCAAATATACATCTGAGAAACTACTGAACGGTCCATTTCAAATCTTTGTGAATGAAGATGCCGACTTTACAAAAGAAAAAAAGAGCAGAAGAAGTTAGATAAGACCAAGCAGGTGATGTTGAATTGGCAACAAGTTTCAAAAATCCAAGATACTACGCCACTAAACGAGCGTATCTCGAACGCTGTCATACGCAGTGCATGCATGTCGAAAGGTTTGAGGAAAACCTAGCTTATACAAGAGCAATGAAAGGGATGGAAAGTCGGAATATCTCAATTGTGGTTGTTAGGCAGTTACACTACTTCAACAAGCATACCTCAAGGCAGAGGAGATGATGTTGATGAGGTAAATCTAAGACCTGTTTTGACTTTGTATCATACAAGAACTGCAATGAACTTTCCCCAGTAGCAAATGATGCATACAAAAGGTATCTAATTTAAATTGAGAAAGCAGGCGTAGGCAATGCCAATGCTACGATGAAAGATGCAGTCAGACAATGGGCTGAAACATTGATGGAAGAACAGCCGTACAATATTAAGGAGGATGATGAACACGCAATTGGCTTGTGTTCTTGTGACAGTAGATCGAACATGGAAGAAAAGGGCACAATCATTAAAGATTGGAGAAGATTTTGTCCTATCTATGGCGTTGAAATATATGATAATGAAGTAAAGTCATCATTCTGTTATGAACGCATGGCACACAGTAAACAGGATACCGAAAGTAAAAAATATGTTCATAAACATGCTTTCAAAAAAATAGCAAGGTCAACTGTAGGAATGGGATCTGTTGCTGCTGAGGACATTGTCAGTATAAAAGTGAAAACCAAGTGAAATGTACAACATATACTGGAGATGGTAATAGAAGCTGTTTTGGAGCATCTTATGAAATAAGACAGGAAGTATATGCCAACAATTACTTGCGACAGCTTCAAGGAAATACGAAAAGCAGGTAATGAAGAAAAGAAATTTTAACAAGTGAAAGCAGTTCAGAGGGCACTTTATCGAAAAGATCATGGACAAAATGCATAACTATTGTGGAAAGGTTCTTCAGGAAATAATAAGAACTTTAGAAAGCATGAAAAGGAATATAAAAGCCATACATAGCTAGGTGGTAAAAACAAGAAGGAAAATAGAAAATCAACATCAATACTGCCCAAATTCTTTGAGAGTTGGCATGAATATTGGAAAGACTAAGTACATGATACCAATTTGTATAATGAAAAAAATCGGTATTCTGGAACCTGCACGAAAGTCTGCTAATTGATCACTAACTTGCACTATTTTAGCCAAAGAAAGAGAACTGCTTTGAATCTAAGTACTCTACTTAACAATTTGAACAGGAGTGATCATTTTTATTGAGTAGCTGAATGAATTGTTCAAAACGTTTTGAATCACTGCTTCTAAGCCTATCCACTTAATGATATGAAGTGCTCATATTACGAATTTTAGCCCCCCTTTTTTATGAGCTTAATTGAAAATTTGGATTATTTGAAGAACTATGACATGTCGCTGGACTTAAACAGATAAATATAAGTTCCTTAATTTTGCCTCCAAAGTCGGGTACTATTTGCGAATTTTTTACGACGCCATATTGATACTTGTGACGTAGATAGTTGAACACGTCTGTTTCCGTCAATATAATATTATATTATAGGAGGTGATTTTGTAGTCGTTTTTCTTGTCTTAAAAACAAATAATGACAGTATTTTCAATAAAATATTAAAAAAGAAGTTTTCCGGAAAGTATGGCCTCAAATCAGTGCTCAGATAATTCGAATTCGATGTCTGAATGCGTATCTGATTCGACCTCGGAATCCGTGGGTTATGTCGAGCATTTAAACGACTTCGCATATGACGATGAAGCGCTCGCAGGAGATGGTGATGAAGTGCATACTCCAGATGATCCCGATGGAATTCTCCCTGCGACATTAGAACAACGAAGTGATGGCGTAATTCCACTCGGTGAACGGTAAGTTGTTGTTTTCTCCTGTTTGTAATATACATAAAGTTACTTTATAAACCACAATGCGCCCACGTTTCAGGTGTAATTGTCAATGCTGTCATAACGATTTGTTAGAAGGCGCATTAGAGTACAGATGCTGTAAGGAAATACGACCAGCTTTGCAGAAAATGACATTCGATGGCAGCAATGAGAAAATATCATGCATAACACAGCATGCCAAATTTGGGCCTTTAGTTCATGAGGCTGTCCTTGAAAACGTCGAGCCACTATTGAGAGATAGGAATGGACGTGCTTATCGCCGCCAAGCATCACAATCATTAAATATGTAAGATTGTAAATTGTATGAGAAACAATGTTATCATCAACATTGTTTCATCAACAATAATTTGTCCAACCTTTTTATTTACTTCAGGTATTTGAGAGCTGTGGCATACAGATGGTTGATGCGATGGTTTTGTGGGTCTATGGGATGGGAGAATACTCGGCCTTTACCTGCTTGTGTTTACCACTTTATTCGGAAAGCATATCCAAGTGGTAACACGAAAGGTTACATACCATCAGAGGGGAGATGATGGAAAGGTCTTTTAACGTGTGCACTGTAGAGACTGTTGACCTTCTTTGCTGAGTTTAGAATGGTCAGGAAATATGCCTAGATGAAAACCAAATAATGGACTCCGTCGATTTTCGACATATGAGGGTTCCACGAAGTGGAACATCCTGGTTACTTAAATTATAGTGAAGGCAGCTGACCAGACTACAATCACTCGTACCTTTCACGCAACTACAACACTGATATCAGCGTGACACGTTTGTGACAAGGCTGCAACATTGCAGATGCAGATACAGTCCATCCGAGGACATAGTTTCCTCTACCAAATTTCCCTCACATGGCTTTGGTCAACCCGGGCTAGGTTTACAGACACATTGCCAGATGTGCCACGAGCCGGGATTGAACCCGCGCCGTCTGGCTTGCAACTCACGCAATTAACCATTCAGCCACCCGCCCCGTCCCTGGAAACCAAATAGGAGATACATGGATGCACTATATAAGTTGACATGCAGTTTAATGGTTTGAAACAAGAGTAAACAATAAAAACAAATTAGTGCAACTACTGAGAGGTTAAGCTGAAAGAATTAAATGAAAGAAAATCTTTTCTTCAATGTCAGTCTGGGAAAAAAGACAAAAGAAAAAATCAAAGAATCAAAGCGTCCATCTCCTGACCATGTCTGGAAATCCGCATCATTTTTTTTCACATCTTCAATTAACTTTGACTGATAGCTTTCCCAATGCTTCAGAATAGCTGGAAACAAGAAGGTGCGTTGATGCACATGATAAGTGGACACACTATTTGCTGAGAGATTCATGTGCTTGAACATCAGCATGGCCTGACTTATACTGACACCAGACATCAATATACCAAAACTAGTCATAACGTTTCCAGCTGGATATCTTCCCAAAACCATAGGTTGGCTTTTACACATAAAGTTCTTTTCAACACATTTACCACAATTTTGCTCTACAATGGCTATCGAACCAATGTTTTTAAAGTGTACTTTTGGATTTTCAGCCTTGCAGTTAAAGCAAAATTTTTCAAATAACTCAACCAATGAGATGTAAAATACCATGAACATAGGTTGTTCATGCGAGCTTGCTCCTTCATCAATTCTGTAACACGATTAAGAAAATTCATTATTATGAAATACAACAGAGATCTAAATCTTTATAAGATAAAATACCTGACTGTATTACTTGTGGTATCTTCGTCTAAATCTTCACTCTGCCTAGACTCTTCGGAAGAGGAGCAGTTCATGTATGATTCTCCTTCGAAAAGCTCTTCAGCACTCCCCTGCATTTCATCGTCTATATTAATGCTGGTCACCACGGATGTATTACGATTTTCCCTGATTTCGCTTCGATATTCATTTTGCAACTTCTGGGCCTTTTTCTTCAAAGATGCTTTTGTCTTTTTATACCAGCTTAAAGTCTTTTGTAAAGATGTAAGTTTTTTGTTAAGACGATGGCACTATTTACGTGGAGACTGGGATTCATAAATATCTTCACCAACTGCATGTAGTTCTTCTTCAAATGGCGAATCGTTTGCTTCCCCAGTGCATACTTCAACATGCTCAGCTCCATCACTAGTAGATGGTACTTCCTCATCGAGAGAACATGTTTCCTTCAGCGATGGCTTATGGAGAGTATGTCGAATAATCTACAAAACGTATATCGAATTTACATTTGACAAAAGAAAAATTAACATAAACAAGCGTAAACTTACTTGTCTTCGCTTTCCATCGGTTATTTCGTCCTGTAATGGTTCAGGAATCCCAGCCACGTCAATGGTTGGGATAGCATCTTTCTTCAACCTTCTTTTGAGCTTGACTTGCACGCTCAAATTAAGGTCAAAACAAGAATCTTCAAAATGCGCAGAACACAGACACGAGGTAGAGGAAGCCTCAAAACCCGGTCTATGTTTACGCACAAAATTTACCCATTTTCTATGTCTTTGCGGCTCTGTTTCTTTTTTAGGAAACAGATGCATCGGCATTCCTTCGGTTTTTGAATCATTGGCGCCACTAATTTGATTAGGTCCGCCAGCAACACAGCGTTTTCCTCCGCGTTTCTTATTAAGATTACTATTAGAATACGCCATGTTGATATATGTGTTCAACTTTCTACGTCACAAGTCATTAGCATACCGATCAAAAAGTTCGCAAAAAAAATGCTGAAAATCGTGACTTTGAACGTCCGTAAAATCACTTTCACGTAAAATCCAATTTCAATTATAATTGCAGATTTAAAATCACTGAAACAAGGTCTTTCAATTTAGCTAATAAAAAAGGGTGGCCAAAATTCGTAATATAAACACTTTAACGCAGCCAAAATTCCCAAGAACTGTTTCACGATGGTTAATAGATTAGGTTACTTACCCATTGGATACTTGATGTAATCATAGTAGTCCGGGGCATCCGTGACCTCGACCGCTTTCATAAATGGCCATGCACTGGCATGATTCTAAATAAAAGGACAAAAATGTGTCATTACAAGATTGCTTTCATCAAATCTACCGATTAGCGGTATAAAGCTTACGATAACAATAAAAATCTACTCTTGTATTCAAGGAGAAAAACCTTCCCAAAACAAGATTTACTAAACTTATAAGTTATTAGAGTTTCTTCATTGACTTCTCATACAGTACTAATTTATCTAGGTCTATGATGTACACTCAATAAAATTCAGCAGTACATGAATTAGACTTTTTGCATTTTTTACAGCATTTAACATCATTGGAATTAATGTAAGAATTAACCAATGTAATTTGCAAAAATAAAACGAAACCGGAAAAAACAGCATTGTTTTCTTTTTTCATTAAATATGTTTCAGGGACAGATCAATTGCAATAAATTTCAAATTGATTTCTAGCAGTCAACACTGCTGTATGCTCATGAAGTAAAGCTTGTGTAGTTTGTCTAAGCCCTACACCAAAAACATAGCGTGTATCCTTTGTCTTTGCCAAAGGAAAAGAGAAAACAAAGACTAATTGCAAAAGCGGATAGTTTATTTAGTAAGCACTGATAAAGTAAAGACAAATTAATAAACATACAAAATGGGAAATAAATTGACAGAAGACAATAGTATGGGACCATACAATGGTATGAGCACAAGCTAAATACAGTTGAACATTTTCAATATGAACATAATAGCCCAACATAATACTTTTAAAAAAGCCATCACAATAACAAAATAGAGAAGGATTTATTAATAACGTTTCGTCTTTAACTTAAGACATCTTCAGATTAATTGAGTTAATTTATATACACGAGGTTTAAATACAAGCATATATTACGGGGTGTTAAATTACATGTGAGGGGAGTAGGAAGTTTAGATGACGGAATTAAGTGAGAATGGCGGTATATTAAAGAAGGTGAAGGGGGATTGAGTTGCCTTGGGTGTTAAGAGAGGGTTTAAGTTTGGATATAAGAAGGCTTTCATGAATCATAAGGTCATAATTGTCGGAGGAGGAAGAGAGAATTGAGAAATCATTAAAATCGGCGGGGTGAGATGTATTTCTTATATGAAAAAGAGCTGCAGATGGTGGTGGACATAAGGAAGGCTTCCCTGTTAAGGGAGAGATTCCCAAGTGTTCTGATATTCTGGTGTGTAAATGACGCGTGGTTTGACCCACATACGTTGCAGAGCAGCATCGACACTTAAATGAGTATACAACACCAGATCTCAGGAGCTTGGGAACCCTATCCTTAAAAGGAAAGAAAGAGGAGAGACGCCTGGAAGAACGAAAAACAAAGCGAACGTTGATATGAGGAAAGGCAGCATTGCAGAGTCGAGTGATTTGAGTGCGAATCTGAAGACAGTGTAGGCCAGTGAAAGGGAGACAGAAGTACATGATTTTCTTAGGAGCAGTGTGAATAAGATCTTTGGGTTCAAATGTATTGTTGAGGAAGCGGTGAACATGATTGTCAAATATGTATGAAGGGAAGTTGTTTAAGGTGAACAATTTTCTAACCACTTCTAGTTCGGTATGAAAGTGTTCATAGCTGGAGCAGAGGTTGAAAATTCTGTGAAGTAAAGAGGAGATCAAGGAGCGTTTGTATTGAATGGGAATGAAACTATGGAAATTGGTGAAGAGACCTGTGAAAGTGGGTTTACGATACACGGAGGTGGAAAACTTGCCGTTTGAGCGAGTTATTTTTACGTCAAGAAAGGGGAGCGTGTTGTCTTTTTCCAGTTCAGATGTAAAGGAGATGTTAGGATGTTGGTGGTTGAGATAGGTAAGGAAAAGAGGTATGTGATCCAATGATCGGAAGAGTAGAAAGCAATCATCAATGTAACGTTGGTAAAGAAGGGGTTCGAAGGTGGAGGGACAGTTGTGAAGCCATGAATTCTCATTGAAGGCCATAAATATGTTCGCAAATAGTGGGCCTAGGGGGCTGCCCATAGCCACACCATCAATCTGTTGATAAACTTGGCCGTTAAAGAAGAAATGACAGTTTTTGACGGAGAGGGAGAGAAGTTGAGTGAATTGTGAACGGTCAAGGCCTTGAAAGGACGTGTTATTGGAGAAGATGTGATTAGTTATTATGGCGATTGTTTCATCCACTGGGATGTTGGTGAACAATGATTTAACATCAAAGCTCGCCATCACAACGTTATTGGCGTTAATGTCACTTTGTAAAAGATCTTGGACAAAAGAGAAAGAGTCCTTGATAATATGGGAGCTGGCGGAGATTGGTCTAAGGAAAGGAATAAAGAATTTGGCTAGCTTGTAGGAGTAGTGGTCAATACTAGATAAGATTGATCTTAGAGGGATGGAGGATTTATGAATTTTAGGGAGTCCATAAAGTATGCCGATACGTGTACCAGTGGGATAAAGTTCGTTGTATGTTTTTTCATTTATGCATTTTTCTGCCTTTAGTTTTCTCAGCAACGTCTTTACTTGATTCTCGCGTTTCAGTGTAATTTTGATGGCATCATCATTTAGAAGTTCGAATTTCGATGTGTCCGTTAGAATTTCCATCATCTTTTTGTGGTAGTCGTTTTTATTCAGAATAACAACTCCGTTGCCTTTATCCGGTTTCATGATGACAATGCTGTTGTCATTTCTCAGATCATTTAACGCGTTTAGTTCATTCTCCGTGTATAAGGCATTCGGTCGGCTGTAACTGCGAAAACCCGAGTAAGCATTGTCCTTTAGTTAAGCTTTAATTGAGTCAGGGAAAAAGCCAGAGGGTGTGTGGACGGGTTCTTGTTAAAGGCGATTGTAAAATTTCTCAAATGGTGTGAGGAAAGTGCACGAGTTTAGTTTGGCAGGTGGAACAGCAAAGTTGAGGCCCTTCGAAAGGATTTCTTTTTCTTTTTGGGTGATGAAACGATTTGAGAAATTGAAAACCACGTCGTCAGGGTTGATTGGGTTTGTGTTAATCTGTTCAGTGTTAAGGCGAAATATCTTGCGGTCTTGGGTGCGTTGTTGATGGCTTGGTTTTTGGTTTTTTTTTTACAGTTGAACATGTATTAAGCGGCACCGTATTAAGCGGTCACCCTGCGTTAAGCGGTCATGTGGCAAAGTCTCGAAAATTTCATAATACAAATACTATTAAAGTGATCTTTATTGTCACCTCTATTAAGCGGACGCAGTCACCTTTATTATGATACGGTATAGTAAGAAATGATATGAAGAAATCATTTACATTGAATGGGAGTGTGATCTATTTGAAGTAGGTTTAAAACAAAAAAATATGTATAGATAAATATTTAGTGATAACTGAAATTAGACCTATTATAAAGTAAAGATAGTGTTGTAATGGTGAATTTGAACATTTATATCCGGATTAGTTTTATTGATGCTCATCATATCAATAATCTTAATAATTTATTCACATCGTTTCTTCCTATACAGTATCATATTTCGTAACACAATCATTTTGCACTGGAGATGGCAATTTGTTAATATCGAAACTTATTTGCTTTTAAACAAATCGTCGTTTTTATTAAATGTTTTTTAAATTTGTTGCTACTCGGAAATTGTTTAATTTCCGTAGTTACAAAAAATGTCAACTGTCAACAGTATTTTCTGTTTTTGTGCATGTATTACACCAGCAATTTAAATTTTTTTGCTTAACTTTCCCTTCAGCCATTCAAGACATAAAAATTTCCCTTCAGACGAGAAAACGTATTTCCAACAATGTGAACTCGCTCAGAATTTCTAAGCCATAAACAACTCCCCTGTGGACATGCAGTTTGAGCCGTAAATTTTTTATAAATACTATTTTCTAGTTCAGAGTAAGAAAAATTATTACTTTGTATCGTGTTGTTAAGGATTATTTTGCATATATGTTAAGGAACAATACCGTTTGCTTCAATTTTAGTTACATTAAATATTACATGGCCGCCTGGGGGATTTTCATTCCAGAAGACTTGTATTAAGCGGTCCCAAAGGAAATCCCCAAAAGGTGACCGCTTAATACAGGTTCTACTGTAGCTTCAAAATGACAAGCACAAGAAGTTGTGGGACATTAAACAATCATTTTTGTTTGAAATGTCAATTTTAAGAATTCGTTTCACTTTTGTATCTCCCAAAATTGTCTGCCTTTCTGTTTGTAATTGTTATTAAACTCTGCTAGGCATTTGCTTCCTGTACAAGATCGTAGCAAGACTAATCCACAAGACTTTGATTCATCATATCTGATGTCTCTGTTTCTCTATCGACGAAAAATTTGCGACATCCATGTGATATCCTACCTTATTTTGGTAGAATACATTGCTTTTGGTTAGTTTTGCTGTTGTCAATGATATCTCTAGATTTAGTTGGTCGCAATGGTACAAGGATTTGTTTGTTTTCATGATGATGTAAAGTGATAATCTTCCATGCATGAAATCAACTATTATTTAGCCATAACAACACTCATCGGTCAATGTGCTTACGAACCAACCGGAGCTCATCGTTATTGAATGTGATTTAGTGCGCCATTTAAAGAAACGAATGAATATGATACAACACTGGACATTGTAAAGTAAACTTGCCATAAAACGTGATAAAATGTACGATAAATAATACATATTCGATCGTCCCTAATTTGCTAATCCGCACACAAGAAAATCTTAAATGTATTTTCATCTTTGACTCTCAAGAATCCAGCAACAGACCATTAAACGGCAAAATTTTGAAACTAGAGAGACTGCATCGCCGTGTTTTCATGTGAAAAAGTTTCTGTGTGCCACATGAAATAAGTAATTGTAACGAATGTTCAAACCTGTGATTCAAACGATAATTCCTGCATGTAGAAATCATGCTTATTATGGAAACTACTTAAGTTCACTGCTTTAAACATGACAAAGTTGTTCCTGCATGATTTGTAAAGAATTAGCTTTTGTTTGCTACCTCTATTACATCCACATTAACTTTATTTCATTGTTCAGTAAAGGTTTAAACAATAAATTCAAACATGCGACCAGTTGGGATGTAAAAATCTAAGACTAAAAAATCTGCTTTTCACTGTTCAAAGCATTTCGAAAATCTTCATAATTTTTAAAACCAATTGTTGACGTTACAGATTCATTCCACATGTTTTGAATCGATTGTTTTGCCTGTTCGCTCATCATTTCTCGCCATTTTGTTGCAGATCCTGTTACAACACGATTTATCGCATTCGTACCCTGATATCCAAGTTTTTGTAAATTTCGCACGAAGAGGTTTGTGTCGAATTTCTCTTGGTTCGCCTTCATAAAGTCAAACGAGCTCATCTTTACAGTTGTTTTTATAGTCGCTTCATTGGTTATATTCATAAAAGCTGCAATAGAGCGAATGGCACTTTCCAAATCATTCAACATGTCTTCATAAGTGAGCATTAAAATATTGGAATCATTTCGCTTTGGCCACCAACTGCATAAATGCTTAAAGTAATCTCGCATTACTTTTATCTTCTTGATATATATATCCGATATAAACGTCTCAATTGTCATTTCTCCTGGAGCATAAAAGAAGCCTTCAAAGAAATTATAGAAACTGTAGATAGCTGCGCAAGGATCTCGATAAATAACAACATATTTACCGCCTTTAGGAAGGGTGTTGTATGACATATGGCTTTTAAAAACCCGAGGCTGATATTTCTGTTCCGCATCGATGACATCGCCAAATGTATAAGCTGCATCAATCCACAATACAACTTCGTCTATATCATTAAAACTCATGTCTCCTCCGCTTCTCAACTGATGAACTATTTGTGACACCCATGTCGTGCCGCATTTTGGTGGACAACATACGAAGAAATCACTTGGTTTGGGCACAAAACTAGCTGCGTGCTCAAAGCTTTCTTTCGTCAAGTAAGCCGGCACTGGCGACAGCGTATTCCTATTTGATTTTACAACATTGCCTTTCGACATCTTTGCGTATTTTCTATCAGTAAAAAATACAATGGGCTGCCTGCTCACTAACTATTTAACAATCGTTCATTAGGATGTGGCAATATGTCAGATCCGAAATTATCCAACATCAATTTTATCCGATTAGCCGTATCACGTGCACGCTACTGCGCAACAGTGAATGCATGCATGCTTACAAATATGAAAACGATTGGCTTTTTTCTTCGGCGCAATTGTCATTGACGATAACCTTAGCACGACATTTTACCTGCTATTTCTCTTTATTTTCTTTTAATTGTGTAACTCTATTGTTTCATTTATTCTTCAAAAGCAAACCTTTCTTTCTATACAATTTCTCTATGAATGACGCGCCTATATAACGATAACTTTATTTTGGAAGGGCGACAATATTTTGTTAGGAATGACGCGCCTATATAACGATAACTTTATTTTGGAAGGGCGACAATATCTCCTCTAGGAATGGGCTCTCCTTAAAGACTGTTCCATGCCGATACTTTTGTAATACTAATACACATATATGCTAAATATTTAACTTTTCCTAGCCTCCAGAAGTGCTTGGATAGAAGAGTTCGCCATAAAGAAAGTAAACTATACTTTTGGAGGAACTTTGTTCCCCTAATCCTTCTTAAAAATATACTTCTGAGCAAGAATCAAGCATCCAACTACCTGTCGTAGGATCATGTAGGTAGCAATCAACTACCCTTGTCAACAAAACGTGAATTTCCTAACCAGCAATCACCCCAAAAAGCAGATTCGCAGGATTTCACACAAGTTTTGACTCATTCTCTTTGTTCAAAGAATTCCCTTTTTGCATCAAAGCGGAGATAAAGAAGTGGAGGAGTTCATACAAAATTATTTGAATTCTTTGAAAACAATAATTCGTCATTTGAAAGCATGTGTCCATTGAACTTACTTTGATTGGCAAACTGCCTCAAAAGAAATCGATAGAAAGAAAATTGAATTAACCAAGCGCTTGTTATGCGCGAGCAATGTTGGTTTCAATTCTTCAAAAAAATTCCTTACCAACTTCGAGCGAACCACTACCAGCAATTGTGGGGCAATGTAATTTCTAAGGGTAATGCTTGTTGTTTACTTTAGGATTCGTCAAATGCTCAAAAATACGATTAAGACCACATGGGCCAAATTCAAACAGAAATGAAATATTCTTGTACGACATCAACCGAAGCGTAGTTGGGAAAATAATTTGGATACAAGGTTGGTAAGCATCTCTCGTGTGACACAAATAATGCTGTCTCGTTTCTTGTACGACAGATATCTGGTTTGTTATGTGTTGATTAAATGATTTCTTACATGTATAGTTTGTCCAAAGCAGTGGACTTTAAACTTAAAGATATATGAACTGGCTTTCATCAATAGTTCTATGAGAAGTAACGATGATAGTTTGGAAACAATTTATATTTTACAAAGATGTAAAAGTCAGCAAGTTTCAGAATGAGAGTCAGCATATTGCCATAGACTAAATGTTAGTTAAGTAGTTGTATATGTAAGAAAAAGGGTGAAGCAAGGATATTATGAAATAAGGTTTGGCATTTGCAAGAGTAGTTTGGCATACGTAATTTTTTGCCAATTTATGGGCAAACAGGAATTAAATCTTCCATGTCACTGGGCCACAAACCAAGCGTTATATAATTATCAGGCAAGGTGAAAAATTCAGGAGCGCTTTACCTATTTCCAAGATATTTTATCATAAAGCCTGATTAATTTCTCAGTAGAAGCATTTCAAACTCCCAGCTTCACTCAAAGCATAAGAACGTCTATTCTTATGCTCAACATTTCCATGCTGAATCAGTAAAAAAATTATCGCACGTTAAAACTAAAGCACAAACCACATTATCATCAATGGCAAAGTAAATAATTTGAGCCCGGTAGTATCGTTACATGTTTGTTGATGTATATCGCTCAGGTTAGTTCAATGATTTAGTCACTTGACTTTTAGGATGACTAACACGTCTCTTAAGTTTGTCAAAACGTCAGTCAACACAAACACCAGCAGTCTTTTTAGGACTAACCTGCACGATCTACATAAACAAACAAGTATTTGTGTAGTTAATGGTGCCTCTTTCCCACTATGTTCGGTTCAAAACTACCAGAGTTACAACGACAAAAGAACGATTTGCCCATTAAAAATACGAAACACATGTGCAATTCGAACACCTACCTTAACTTGTGTCAGAATATTTTTAAGTTGAGTAAAAAGTTTATCTGGATCAATCGCCTCTTCACACCTGTTATGGAGAAATATAATACATTATAGATAAAGGTAAAAACGATTACAATGCATGCTAATGTTTTAAGTGATAAAATGTAACAACAGCAAGGAAGACTTTTGTATTCCAGCGTTTCGTGGCGTGGACAAATCCTTTAATAGGAGATTATGATCAAGATTTACCTTGCTTTTAATGGTGGCTTCCAACCAGTTTCTCCTAAATGAAACAGAGTTACTACAGTGTTTTTGTAGTGAAACAAACCTCATACGTTGATCAACTAACAACGGCAACAAAACAAACATGTAAGAAAATGATCATCTATCCGTCAAATTAATATTTTATACGAAGTAGGGATGAGCCGATAAAAAAACTGCCGATTACTGAGGCGGATTATCTTTTGGCCGATTATCGCAACTAATCGACCGATTAATTGGAACTTGCCGATTATTTTAAGAAGTAATATACAAAGACAAGTTGACCGAAAATAAATATGGAAATGCAGTATTATGTTTACCATACACACTATGTACAATTAAAATCAGCATAACAGTTAACAATTAAGTCTTACTTGTCATAGCCAAAGTTTAGTTTTGGCAAATTAAGGCTCAAACTGGATATTTTCAGCTTCATGTGGAGCTAGTCTGCTGCGTTTCTCAGTAGAAATGTTCCCAACTTCACTAAACACACGCTCTCTGAATATACGCTTGAGCTAGGCGGGTTTAGATACTTAAGCGCGATGTTGAAGACTTTAATGGTTGTAAGGGAATGCTAAGGACAAAACTTTAATGGTTGTATGGGAACGCTAAGGATACGACTTTAATGGTTGTAAAGGAATGCTAAGGACAAAACTTTAATGGTTGTAAGGGAATGCTAAGGACACGACTTTAATGGTTGTAAGGGAAAGCTAAGAACACGATTAAAAATTGTTTTCCTCCATCGTGTTGCAACGTAATGCATTATTATACATTTTACGAAAGCAAAAAACTAACACCTAGCTTTCTCATTCAAATCATTCTTTCGAGGAAAAGTGAAACTTAGGTGTACGGTGGCCCATTACTGACAACACAATAACAAATAGTTAATTCATACAATAGTAAACTCATTAAAATCGACAACAAATTGATCGAAAAGAATGACTCATGTTACGTTTCGTGTAAAAAGAGATAGAGAACAATAAACTCGTCAGCAATTAAAATAAAATAAAGAATATATTTAAATAGATAAAGAAGAGTTTAACACAACTTATCTGAGACACAGGCGACGACAGTGAGAAACTTACACGACTGCATTCGAATGAGCTGGGCTCCAATTTGTAACTATCAAATTTCGCCTGAATGAGTTTGTCAGACTGTTTTTTTACTAAATAACAATCTTTAAATCATGCTTAATATCATGAAAACCAACAATAACAAAAAATACGAACAAGTTTGACATTATGCTTTTACGCGTTTCGTAAATAGGAACTTCCTAAACGTCATTAGTTCCTCTTTTCATATGAGCTTTACATGCTCATAGTCATGCACATAACACTCATCACTAACCAATCACCTAGAAGAGAAAACAGACAACTCCAAGCATCACTTTTTTTATCTCAGGAGAAAAAGTTTCCTTTCATAGAGAACTTTTCTAGAGGCAACGTGCCGCCAAAACATCTCAAAGAGAGATTTAGTGCAAAATTCATGGGGGAAGATGGAGCCGACATAAAGCAATTGCCCAGGAATTTCCTTATTACAAAATGTAGGTGGATCCCTATCGATTGAACGAATCGTGTTCAAAATGGAAGTTTAGCATCTACAGTTGGTCATGCATAAGATGGAGATTAACACACCTAAACACATTATGAGGAATGAACTATAGTAGATTGCCAGAATTAGAAATGATATTTTGGTGAACAGGAGAGTTAAGTATTAGAGTTTCATAAAATTCTGAAATCTAAAGAATATCTTTGCAGGTCATTTTCCGATACAGTGTCCAGTTCATGTGAGATTGATAAAGAGTGTCTGATCTCGTACTTGGAACCTGCGTATTCGACCACTTTTTTGGGTAGAAAAATTATAGAAGATCAAATTTTAGACAACTTCAAGGTTTTTTTGCATCTAATGGAGGACACAAATGTCATTGGATAGGCAGAACCAGTTACTTAAAATTACCGCGATGAATGTAAAAATAAGAAAGAAGGGTCTCTACCGCCTCAACCAATTGAGAAGTTTGACACTCAAAATGTAAATATGTCTGGATGATGAAATCGTTAACAAGTCAAAAAACCACACAATGGTAGAAATTTTCTGATTATTACAATATTGTTTTACCATGAAAGTAGCTCAATGGGATCAAAAATACTTCATTTGCTAACTTTTGGTCGATGCTGATTGGTTTGGTTGGTGTAATAATATTCCAAAACGAAAACGCTGCGAAGGTCGGGCATTTAGAAGCCATAAAGAGGAGATTGGTCTCTCATGATTTCATTTGATTTTATAAAAAAAACGCGTGCGCTGATTGGTCTAAAGCCGTGCTTGCATTAGCATGTGCAAAACACATCCGAGCGCAACCAATTAAATCAATCATAACAATTAATCAGTGAAAGAGAATTTGCAAATCGATCATTTATACATTTTAGGGGGAAAATTAAAACATTTATTTTGAATTTTTCTGTTTCGCATTATTGTTATGTTATAAAAGAAATAAAAGGTGCTTACTGTCTTTTCACTGGCTTACGCAAACCTCGGAGACATTGGTAAAAACTCTCGAGTATGTGCAACCCTCGACCTTCGGTCTCAGGCTCGCACTGATCTGCTCTCGAGTTCTCCAAAGGTCTCCTCGGTTTGCGTAAGCCTGTGCAAACACAGTAAACATCTTTTATTTCTTAATTATTACACAGATCTGTTTAATATAAGCTTATATAATACTTATCTTGAGGTTAACGGTCGAAGGCAAATTAGAAAAAGTCACGGGATTGTGCCTTTTATAGAACTTTTAAGACAACCAAGTGACGTTTCATGCGTTCTGGTATATTTTATATAGTATACACGTGGCTATGCTATGCGTGGTATAGTATATAGTATACACATGCCTTTTATATAGTATACACGTGGCTATCGATAGTAAAATATGAACTTTAGCTCGGGGCATTGCATTGCAGTGAGTAAAATAGGAACTTAATCCTTTAAGTTCCAGTCTATGCCACATAAACCAATAATCTTCACAAGACCTGAGCAGGTAATGATTGATTGTTATTGGATTTTGTACCCTATCACTACTGTAATCTGTTGATGCTTTACACTGACACAATATAAATTGGTCAGTCTTTGAAGTAAACGTACTATAGGAAAAAAGCACACTGGCCGAAACCTCACCGTCGACTATAAACAATTTGCTGTTGCGTAAAAAAAATTGATGTTGATGCAATAAAGATAAATTTGCGGATACTGCGGTCCATCAATTTTCAGTTGGTGTACATAAATCTGTGGTTGTACAAACTATTTGCTATTGTTTTGAAATGCACGTATGGGCCACCTTATACAAATGAAGGATTGTCTATATAATGTTCATTATATGTCGTACAGCAATTTAAATTTAGGACTTACCTACTCCAGGAATACTCTCAACAGGAATCTGTCTAACACCCTCTTTGAAACAAGTCAAACCAGGATAGACTTTCTTGATTTCCTCTTGCCGTCTTTGAATGAGTTTTTTAACAATCTTGGAGATTCAAAAATAAAGAGCATTTAAATGATAGTAACAATACAACGAAAACACAGTTGATATGATGATAACAAGAGACTAAGACGAAGCCAATGCACCTGAAGCAGTAAGGATAATAGTAGAGTAATAGTAGAGGGGGGGGGGCAAATATTCTTAATGCAAGCTATAATCTACTGAAAAACATAGATTTCTAAGAAGCTTAGTAAGGCACATCCTGCATATTTCCCCCCCCTAATCATAGTTCTGGCGGCGCCACTGAATAAGTTTGATATAGTGTTTTTATGCCTATATTGTTCAATAAGAAAAGAGATAACGTCTTTAGCTTTCAAGTGATGTGTTTTTCATTTCATAACAATCGAAAATAATCGAGTATTCTTGAAATATAAATGGCTAGACGAAATAGTTATTTTTCCACCGTTGGCAATTGAATACAATTATTGACGGTTCTCTAGCGCACATACAACACAAGAAAACCCGCTGTTTCATTGCTTTTGTTTGCAATAAGAGTAAAGCCTCATTTACTGCACTTAACACTTGGAAAAATGCTATTTCGTCTTGCAATTTTATCTTCTAAGAGAACTCGATCATTTCTGATTGTTATATGAAATCAAAATAATATCATTGGAAAGCTAAAGTACTCCTATCTTTTTTGATCTGTAAAAAATATAGGCGTAAAACACAATATCAAATGCGATGGCTTATTAAAATTCGATACACTATTTAAGCTTGCGTCATAATTAACTATATATATATGCTGCCCACAAAATGATTGATCACAGGTTGATTTACTCAATATGAAAATAATTGCAGTAATATGACCTCATGCAATTATGTAGAAACAAATAATTACAGCTAAAAACGCAATTTCTTTTCCATGCCGTTTTCACGCCTCTATAAAACCTGGCTACTTGGAGTTGGGCATAAACACATCAAAACGTTGAAATTCTACTTAACGCTACATTGACCTTTACTTGATGCACTAGAGTAAAAGGTTATATATTATCTTATTAGCATTTGTCTCTGGCGCATTTTACATATGAAAATTTAACGTTTATTACGCCCCGAAGCGATTTTGGGCGAAATAGAATTTTCAGAACTAATTTTTATTGACGGGCTTTTTAAATGATGGTAAAGATAGATTTGTGTAATTAAAATCTACAGTTTTATCTTTTACAAGCAAAATAGTGACGTTTGCAAAAATTTGTAAAAAACCCAGACAAATTTAACAAAAATCTTAGCACTTGTTATAAGTACTAGGCCATTTAGTTCAGGCCATGCATACAATAAGAAACATAACCATATATGGTTATAAGAAGTAGTAGTATTCATTGTAATATGCAATGGAGGAAATTTCGTTTTAAACACGTAAAAGTTACCTCTTTTTGCTTTTTGATGACAGATGAAAATTCGGTGTATTGTATCTTTGCATTTAAAATACACTAAAAAGAATAATACGTAAGTTTGACTCTGCCTTTCTTTAGCAAGTGTCGTTAAAGGTGTTACCAACCCAACCCACTAATTTAATCCTGCTATGTTATTTTTCAGTGTATCTTATTGCAAAAACAATAGATTTCTCAGGAATTAACAATGATAATGTCCTGGAATTTACATAGCAAGGCAAAAACTTGCGGGAAGACTGTACGCTATTCAGTTACGAAAAAAAACACACAAAGATGTCGGTAGATTCTATGTTTTTACACATGAAATATATAATTTGAAGTTATGCATCTGCAATGAGGTTACGCATGATTTCTGGGCTGAATACCTCAAAACATTGACCTCAGAGGCCTCGCTCTAATTATACACATCACTTATGACAAACGAAGACGAGCGTAAACTCATAAACGTACACATAAACTTCGTGATCGACCGAGTCTCGGGTAGAGTCACAGAAAATAAATTTTGATTTCTGCTTTTGACAGAAAGAGTCGGCCGAAAATGGGAACTGGCGTTAACGCAAACATTCACTTTCACTTGTATGACTGTACAAATATAAATTATTTTCTCCGTAAACAGAAGCGACTTCAACTGTGAGTTAAGACGTTGACTGAACTGTTAAGACTATCAAAGAAAGTTGGAATAGTATAAAAAACTGCATTTTTTTATCTGTGGCAAGCCCTTTTTCTTTATTTCAACGTTATTACTATCAAAGAAAGTATAGCGCAGTCAATACAAACGCATATTTCTCGCAACTTTCTCACTTTTGTTTAATAAATGGAAAAGCAAAGAAAATTTAATTCACTTTTCTAGAAAATAGACTTCATTCATTAAACAGAAAATACTAACACGGCAGAACAAAAATTTGAATTGCCTTTACCAGAAAATCTCAATCATGAAAGCAAAAATTAATTATTATCTATATTTACTTGCATTAGCGTTGCTCCTTCGTACTCTTTAATATAGCCTTGGTAAACGTTTCTCGGTAAGGTTATATGTTTTGAAAATCCCTAAAATAAAAAAATACAGCAAAAAAGACTATAAGTACATGTTCTTCTCTAAATAAACTCTATCACACCACAAGTTAAGCGAAGCCGAATTAGTCTTCTCCATGAAGCAAATAAATTGAAAGTAAGTTGCCCTTTCACAACGCTTCCGTAGATTTTTTTGTGTTTCTCTAACATTTTTCTTCGAACTTCAAAAAAATTTAAAAAAAAATTCCAGCAAAAAATAATTGAATACATGAAGAAATTTTGTACTTTTTTCGTGCAAAATATTGGAAGGCAAGGTGCCACGCAAATTAACAGGTCATCTTTGTTTAAGTAATAAATGTGCTACAACAAATCATAAAACTCCACCTATATACGTAAAAAAAGTAGACACTAGGAAAAAATTCTCTAAACCAAGACCGCGGACAAAGCAAAAACTGTTGGTTATTTTAAGTACTTTACCGTTTTCTGGTACAGCTGGAAAAGAAATTTTTAAAAATGCAAGATGTTTTACCAGTAGAAAAACCGTTGTTAAAAGTCCCCCTGAGTCAAAATATGGACTACATTGTACAAGTTACCAAAATTTCAAGAAATTTGGGGCAAGCGCTGGCCAACGCGAGATCTTTAAATTTTCGATTTTTTAATTAATAAAAATACAAATTTTAAAGATCTCGCGTTGGCCAGTGATGGCCCCAAATTGCTTAAATTTTGATAGCTTGCACAACACAGATCATATTTGGACTCGGGGTGATTAAATTATTTTTCCAATGCTTATTTCTTGTGCGCAAGATCTGTTTTGATGGACTTTTAACAACAGTTTTTTCACTGGTAAAAAATCTTGGATTTCAAGAAATTTCGTCACTAGCTGAAGTGGCATCGCCAGCTCGAAAGTGAGAAAAACAATATTCATATATTCATGTTTTAATTCCTGAGAAACAATTTATTTCAAAAGAACTTCACACGGAAAAACATGAATATATGAATAAAATCCCCCGAATATAAGCCCACCCTCGTGTAAGCCCTTAGGGATAAAAGGCTTAATACTCAATTGTGTAATGTTCACATATGAGTGTATCTAACTGTCGCAGGTCGCGGTTAAAAAGTCGCGTGTCGCGGGTCTAAAAAACACTTTTTTTGCATGGAAAAGTTTGAAAGAAGTCGATGATAAATTCTCAGGAATTCTTTATTTCTATGTATGCCCACTTGAATGTGCTCTATGAACCAACGCTCTTTCCTGTCAACATTAAAATATGTCACCGGTGCTTTGGATATTTAAAATTTGTGTTATACTTATCGAAGTATACAAAACGATGCGTTGTTAATAAAAGAGGAATTGCTATTAGTTTTGAGGGTCGTTAAATTCTCTTACAATTGTAGTTGTAAAACCCAGTTCATAAATTATCAGATATGGTTTACTTCTATGTGTAACTTGCACTTTCTCAAGATTATAAATTTGCTATCTCAAGCAACTAAGTTCTTCATTACCATTAAAAGAGTTGTATCCAAGTAAATCTTGAATGGTTAGTGATGCTTGGTATTAATGAAAAGCTAACTATGTTTTTCATAGTGATTAGTGTATAACTCATGTATATTAATATTATATTTGGATACATAGAACAAACACACATTGCCTATAAATCAGGATTTTACGCAACGCTAATGAGGTATTTCTATTGACAACAGAAAAAGTGTATCTTATAGATCCTGGCTCTAAGTGTAGTACAGTCATAACAAATATCAGCCATTAATTCAAGATTTATTTGGATACAACTCATGTAATGGATATAAAACGTGTTATTGCTAAGTAAAAGAAACTGCCAATCGTGCGCAAGGAAAAATGGAAGCCGGTTCAACTTATATAATCTATCCATAGCTTATGAATTATGATCCTAAACGAAATGTGTTTACAACTTGAGGTGGATGTACGGAGTTTTCACCGGCAATGTTCACAAACCATGCAGCCTCTAATTATAGAATTTACATACTGGGTTACAATTAGATACACTCTTCACATATCACTGCTGTGTCCAGGCATTAGTCCCCGGGTATAAGCTCCAAACTCTCATATGTAAGCCCATGAAAAATAGCTAATAAACATATAATCCTTGGGCTAATAACTATAGACGAATTACAGTAATACATCACACTATTAAACGGAATTCAACAGGAAGGTTGTATCAAGGTAAACATGTCTATACAGACTTTTCTGTCGGCAGTGCGTGAAAAGATTTTTTATGATTTTGAAGAAAGTGCACTAACAGTTCAATAAAATTCAATAACAAAAAACAAACAAAAAATAGCCACTGACCTGTTTTTTAAAGTATCCGATCGCAAACTCGTCGGCATAAGTAAGAAAATTTAACACACTGTGTTGAATGTGGTAGTCCTTGAGATGATTCATCAGATGCGTTCCATAACCCTAAGCAAAATATCAAGGAGATTATAAGTTTTAAAGCTAGAGAAACAAATGTCAAAAAACATTGCATTGTAAGCCGTAATTCTGAGAAAACAATTTTGTTTCGCTCCCTCCCAGATATGCTGAGTTCGAGTTTCCTCGTTTGTTACTCGCACAAACCTTCAGTTTTCATGTATTGCAAAATCAGTTTTTTACAAAAAATCTCGGTTTTTTAACACTCGTCGTTTTCACAAACAATTGTATATCATGGTTAAAATGTCAAGGGGAACATACTCGACTCATCGTTTCATTCATTTTAAAGACGAAAATTACGGCTGGCATTTGATCACGACAAAATTTCTTTTGAAAAGGTTTTGATAAACTATGAAATATGGCTAACGCTGGATAGTTAACAAAGGGATGTTGCCGAAAAACGCGCTAAAAATTAGACAAAGAATTGAACATTGGACACACACCTTACTATATAACTCAAATCATGCAGCAGAGACCCATAATTACATCATCCTGATGACATGAGTTGCAGATGTTATGGTTATTTTTTATTGCAATGCGATACAAGACTAGTCGCAAATATGTGTTACATATATCAAGCACATTATGAAACAAATTTAACCTTCAATAAACGTCAAAGCTATGTCAGATGCACAAGGTCAAGAGCGCACTCGGGAAGAAGATTTCATAAATTATAGTAGTTTAGCATATCGAAAAAGTAAACCAGCTAGTACTTGCACGAAATAAGTGATTATGCTGCTATAATTACAGCTTTAACTGCCAGCTGCCAACAAATGGATACTGCCAGATTGTCATTAAGACTACATTCCTTGCAGCTCTAGATTCACTTGTAGAGTGAATCGACTGCTAATTCAAGACAAGCTGTATAAATAAGCGCTGCTCTGGTTTAAGTTGACAGACGAAGGTTGGTTTAAAATGCACTGTTTTGTGTGGTAGTGGACTGACTGAACAGACCAACAGAAAATCATGAAGACACTGACGAAAGTTTATCTCCAATCCTCTGACATCTACCAAGATAATGAAGATGGCGATGTAGTCTTTGAACAGTAATTGATGAATGTATACTGTCGAAATGTTTAAAATATCCGAAATAAGCTGAAACCTGACTTTGTGATTGGCAACAACTCAAACAACAATGAAACTGGTTATGCATCAGCATAACTCCTCTTCTTGTGAACAGAAGCACAGTGTGGATACAGCATTTTTACGTACATTGGATTTTATCACAATACATTGTGAAGCAAATAGTCCTTGGGATAAACTTAGAATGCTTATTACAACGCAAAAGCGCCCAGAAAAGAAGGCCAAAATAATCGCAAAAACTGAATATTGAAGTAGACTTTGCGTATGGTTCATCGTTAAATACAAAAAAACTTTATGCTTGTGGAAACAACATGTAAATTTGAACTCGACATCTAAGAAAATGACGTAAAACTGGGAGTGGGGCAACATAATTGAACAAAAATCAATGATTTAAAACCCATTCTCCTAGACGTCTAACTGCCATGTCAAGCCAAAGGTGAAAACGCCGTCTTGAAAGTTGGCAAATAGCAAAACACTTAATCAAAAATAAGCTAAATGCTTAAAAATTCAAACATTCTAAAAATTAAACCAAACGATCAACTTTGCAATTGTTTATCAACGAAGAAGAACCTTTTAAAATGGCAGCTTGCCTTACTCCAATTGTAGAATCTCGGCGGAGTCAGGTATCTAGTACATTGGGTTCAATATCATCGAAGAAAATCGTCCAGTGCATACTGGCTTTAGTCAAAAATACAATAATATGCAGTAATTTGCGTGTGAGCCATGATAAGGTTCAGATGAGATTCAATTTTTCACATAGATTTCCAAAGTCATTTCCATGAGCTCGCACCAACTCAAATCCAACATAAAATGTATTAATCGAAATATTTTCAAATAGATATCTAAATAATATGTAACGTATTGTAAAATAGTGAAAGAAAAAAGTATAAAAAAAAAATAGCTGTCGTATAGGACAACACACAGTTGCGCCATTTCATACACAAATGGGAAAAAGATAAACGGTGTTAAAAAATCTTTTCAGGTTACAAAAAGTAGTCATACCTTAACTTGCTCGTTCGAGCTCACAGCACAAAACACAATTTCGGTAAAATTTTGCGTTGGAAACATACGAAAACAAATACCACCGATCGGTCTGTTATCTTTCACTAGAGCCAGGGTCTTGTGTTTTCTGAAAGAAAAATAACAAATAATCTTTGTGATACGTGTAATTACGAATCATCTTCTTTAACATGCTGCAAGACTTAAGCATGTAGCCCGCTTTCGACATACTGATATTATAGAAACAAAGTAACAAATTTTCAATTGCACAAAAATATTAAGGTGAAAAAGAAAATCCCTGTTTTTATGGGTAGCCGCCGCGCATGCACAGCTAACCATTACACTAAACTGAAAGTGTCTGTCCGTCTGTCTGTGGTTATCCTCGGAGATAGTAAGATATACAAACGAATATGAAGAAACCGTTAAGAGCGTTCGTCGCTTTCTTCGGAAAATATCGCAGTTTGTTCTGATAATATTCTCCTTTTATTCGCCTGTGCAAAACATTTGTCAGGCAAGCTAAATTTTGTGTTCAGGAACGTTTCAGGAAAGCAAATGCACATATTTAACAGCACTTGAATCTTGTACGAAATACAAACATTATCAGTGTTGATTACGTCAAACGACAATGAAAAAAAATACGAGTCAAATTTAGGGCAGGAAACAGAATTAAATACTTTGCAACTTGTTGCAAGTTGTACAGTCTTCTTCAGCTGATTAATCCTTACCAACACAATCAACAGATGAAAAATAGTCTTTTCAAAATATTTTTTTTGAAAAAAGTAGCAACAAGCAACAGGAACTGTTCGCCAAAAAATAGCAATATTTTTATCGGTGGAGTCAAGTGAACGACATCTCGTACATGTCAGTACAATGTTTTGAAAGAGTTGTTGACGATATAGAATTCATAGCAAAAATTGTTGTTAGTGAAAATAACAATGAACTAACAAGTAAAATTTGAGAGAATTTTCAAACACTTTTCTTACCCAGATGTGACCACAGTCACGTGACATAAAATGTAAGCAAGGGTGTTAAGCGAATTAAAAAAAGTTAAATAGTAATTGGGTCACTTCATTGAACACAAAGCACATAACTTTAAATCTCGGATTAGTTTAATGTAAACATTTAAAATAGACAACAAATTTCTTTAAAGCAAACATGTTTCGGCATACTTTTTGCCATCTTCAGTGCGAAGTGAATAAATACAGGAAGTTTACATGATAATAAGTTATAGTGATAAAGCGGAAATATCGACTAGTTATGAATAATTATTTACAGTTGAATGAGGTGTTATAAAATGTTTGTGTAAGGTTTCATCACAAAAAAAATTACAAAGAAAATGAAAAATATATGATAAGGTAGGAATAGCTATTTACAGGTCAAAGATAGTGTTAAGATGTTGTATTTGTTTGTTGAGGTTGGGTTTACGTTTCTTGATATAAAGGGCTTCTTTGATTTTAAGGGCGAAAGGAGTGTGAGCGGTGTCTAAGATACGGAAACAGGATTGTGTGTAATTGTTTTTGCAGTGTGGTGACGAGAGTAAGTGTCTGAATATGTGTGAGTTTTTGTCCGTGGTTGTGTGTTCTTTAATCCGTGTGGAAAGGTGACGGGTGGTCTCCCCAATGTAACAGTAATGTTAAATATGTAATTTTATTGCACGATTTATCTACTTCATTTTATAACCGTGTATTTGACAGGTTAGTCACATGTACTCGTTGCGTACCTATTTTTTTAAAGTGATACCTATAATACGCCAGAGTGGTATTAGTAGAAATCAATGACATGGTTTCAAAGCTCTGTAAAAATTTTTTAATGAATCACACAAAGATTGTTGACTGAAAGCAAATATAATGAAAGGCGAGTCCAGCTCAGTTTAATTGTAAGTATGCATAGATAAATACAATTTCTGTAATATCGTGAATCATAAAGAAAAGTTTGTTTGATAAAAGTGGGTATGTGCACGAACATTGACAAAAAAGACGCCAAAGACAGCGATAAAACATGGAAGCAAGATTAGATGAAAGTATATGTAAAGACTTACTGGTCGAAGACAAGTCTTGTGATATATTCTTTTGGCATTCTCGGCAACTGATGTGAGAAAACGTTTTTCAAACCAACTAACCACATTATGTTCTCTCGAGACAGCCGTCGTCTTAATGAGTTTCCAACGACATGAAACTCGATTACACCTCTTTTTTCCTCGCAACGGGCAGCCTCGTCTCGAGCACTGTGTTGTCCTGGGTACAAACCACGCTAAACGCAAAACAAGTAAATAGCCTGTATCAAAATTCACTTCAAGATTCTTGAAAATGAAGTGCGATGTAAAAGTGAAGTTCAACAAATGCAAAGATTGTTTTTGGAGGTTATGTTGATGGTTGGTTATATTTCTTCTGTATGTCCAATGTACAGTTATATATATGCGACATAATGTAAACATCCACATACAACCAACCCCCTCTCCCAATGCATAAGAATCCCCGTGAATAAGCCCATCACGATCGTGGCACTTGACTCACTCCACATAAAAGCCCACCGGCATATAAGCTCATACATATCACAGTGTATTGTTCACAGATCACCGCAATATAATATACTCCATTCATTAGCATTGCCGTAAATAAAGCTCACTCACGTATAAAGGCTGATTTCCATTCAGTGCAAATTGTCGACTTTTTCCGATCACTGTCTTTTCCATTGTAAGCTCTCGACCGGAACAGTTTCACACTGCTGCACACAGTTCAAAAGAAAGTGATCGCAAAAAGTCGATCGCGCGACAATTTCCACTGAATAAAGCACACGAACTATTATATGCCCTGGGTTTATAGAGGGAGGCTTACGGTATCAATTAACAAAAAATCCTCATTTCAACATATTACAATAATTTTCTATATTTTCAAACATATAGACGGTTAGGAAACGTGTTAACAAGTGACAAACCTCGGGCCCAACCATCTCGTGTTCATCCGTCACAACAGCAACGATTCGGGCAAAAACCTCCTCTGGAACATCTCCTATACATAAAAAATGCTCAAGAAATGTCTACATGAGCAATTTAAAGTGATGTATAAATTGAAGCATACTCAGCATACAAAGAAAAGGTCCGAAATTCTCGAATTAAATGTTTTAGAAAAACAAGATGAGACAGTTTTCGATATTTCGATTTGTTTTAAAACAAAGACGACCAATTTTGAGAAAGTTGAAATTCAATAGGTTTAAAATACATTTAAAGTGCATTCTCTTTTGTTATATATAGCTAATGAGATAAAAAAAACATGCACTATAAAAAATCAGTCCCTTTTCACTCTCGTCGCCGCTGGTACATCATGCAATAGCAGCGATCGTTTTTTTCATTTGCACGGTTCTTGGTCATCATCATACCAAGTTTTGACTTCATACATTCAACACACTTGCATCATACTGTAGAAGACTTTCAACAAGCAATTTTATTTTATGCAGCGTTCTATATGTACTGTGCATTTTTTGCTTAATAGCTGGCACTCATGACAGCGGCAGAAAAACAAAACCATTACGTAAGGTCAGAACGCCGTTACTGCCACCTCAATCATTTGAAGCAAGAAGAATATTTCTCAACAAAGTATTTTATTCTGGAAGATTTCTTAAACATTCACACCAATGAAGACGTTTGTATGGTCATAGAAAATATTCGCCTGCTACATACCAGCTAATTTTTGTCGTTTAGTTTCCATTTTTGGCGGACAAGAATCCAACGGTCTCTTATTGGGAGCATCTGAGTAAAAGCAAATATAATCATAAATGCAGCAGCAATATTAGTAATCATACATGTGACGTAGCTAGCCTCAACAATTGAATGGGTACTCATATATGCATGTTAAAATGTTTAGAAAACAATTGATTTCAAAGGATCTTGATGCATATATGGATATCGATCACCCCCAATTATCGAGCTAACTAAGCTATAGATTCAATCAAGTAACACTCCCTACCATACTAGTTATTACTGGTCGAGCGCTCTACATCTCTGTCTCGGCACGCGTCTTTAATAATTGTATATTGAACCTGTTTAATTTTTACTCCGACTACCAAAGGTAAGCCCGAGTTCAAAATTCGGATATTCTTGTAGTGCGTCGAGGTTACATAAATCACGTGCGACTAAAACAAAGTCTTTAAACCAATCGAAATCTTTCTTGGATTATTTCATGCGGGAATGTCCCGTAACGGACTGCAATCTAATCTTTTCACATAACCACCAGTCCTTTCATTTTCGTGTAAATATTAGAGAAATCATTAACTAAAGTCAGCGACGGGGGGGCTAAAGAACTTGGTTATTTTGATCACCCTCCAGGAATTTTTGCAAAAGTCCCAGGTAAACAAGAAATATTCAATGTAAAGATAAATTTAAACACCTCAAAAAAATCTGTTACTGAATGTCTTGCTGATTTTCGTTAAATCTTTCGCGTCTCACACGCTAGTCATTTTCGAGGGCCACGTTCATTTAAAAGCTTTCTATCGTTAGCTTTGAAAATTTTAATAGTCATTTTACAATGAGTACGTATATCTTGAGTTATTCAAATAAAAAATAACAAGAATCTCACCATAAGTGTTAGGTACGGCAAGTTGTAAGGACGATAAAGTTCGGGGACTAAGCAATCCACAGTCCGAGCTATAATGAAAAAATATAAATGAAAAAATCGAATTACGTTAAAAACCATTTAAACGTTACTTAATTCAGGCAATTTGGGAGATACGTGAATTCGTCGGTTAGAAATTATTATGCAATGCTCAATCTCACACTTTTTGCCAAATGTGCATCACGTACAGTGAAAATCTAATCACAACAAATTCTAGTAGACTAATTACAAAATCATCATCAACAAAAATAAGATGTACAACGTCAAGATAGGTTGAAATTAAAAAAGTGTTTAATATAAAGCCCAGTGATGTGCAATTAAAAACTTTGTTTGTGCACGGACATTGATTCCTCAACGTATCGTCGTACATGCTAAATATCGGGAAGTTAACTGCTAATACAATACTTTTTTTAACGAAAATCGCCTTTGTCTGTGACATACATGAAAATCAAAACAAGTTCCACAATACAACATCAAAATGTAGCGTATACAACTTTCACAAATTAGAAACAAATTAGAATATGTTGACTTACAACGAAATTTTCGATTAAAAAATTAAGAAAGAGGGAAAACTACGTTACTACAGAACACGCAATCATACGTGTATCTACGCTTTTGTCTTCAACTCATTGCATGCAAAAGAATTCGGAATTTATCGTCATATGTGAGTAGAGCTTTCACTTCTCAAAATTTGTCAAAAAAATTTTTCTTTCTCTAAAACGAAGTAACAGAAATCCTTAAGTTTCCTTTCGTACAAAAAAATGTTCGGTGATTTTTTTATGCAGGAGAATCTAAGAATTGTTCGAAGAAATGTTCTTGACAAACGAATGTTTTATAACCTGAAATAACAACTATAATGAGGCACCTTGTATTATTAGCAACTGGCGATGGAGTTGTATTGAGGGCGTTCAACATTGTCAGCGGTATATCTTCCTTCCAAATCGGACTGTCATTGTTCATGACTTCTTCCTCCAAATGTTTTAAAAATCTAGAAATGTAAGAAAAGTCAAGTGAATAAATTACCATTGCAAACAGCAGGAGAACAAGATAGTATATTAGTTCCTGGAATGATACAAATGTAAGTGTCTGAAATGATTTATATTAAACAAAAATGTAACAAATAAGACAATCACAGAAAACCATAAAAAGTTTAAATATCTTGCATGCTTAAAAAATTGTTTTAAATATCCCGTTCATTCACACTTAATCTAAAAGTTTTCGGTTTGCGTTAGCTAAATCAAGGTCGTCTTCCACTAATCATCCTTAACGAGTTTCCCTCTCTGCTACCCTTGCCAGTTTTCCAAGCTTTCTCGCAGTTATTGCTGACACTGTTCTTGCTCTGCGGGACTTTGTGCAGCACGCTAGTTTGCGCATACATTAGAGGAAAAGTAATCACATTTATCTTAAATAAATCTCTTGGATTACGTGAGGGAAAAGTTTCTTCAGTCCTGTGTTTTTGTTTAACTAAACAACATCACTATTCTCACTTTTACACATGCTCTTTTAAACGATTTAAATTGCTACAATTAAATTACATTCTCATTTCTTTGAAATTTTCACCCTTGTTTCTTGAGAGTGAGAAAGTCTGTTTAGGTAGCCAATTCGACAAAGAATGCTCGACCTAGAAGCATAGCTTGCTACGATTCCCTTCAAAACAGCTGTACAACTACTTATACTGTACGTGGAGAAATCTCTAAGTTAAGCAAAGTTAGTATTACGAGCTTTTTAAATGAGCTGAACTCGTCGTGGCGTTCACTGAAGCAAATTCATAATACGGATATCCTTTCAAATACGTAGTCTGTCATTAAACTATATTCAAGAATATGCTTGCCAATGTTACGTATCAGTAAAAAAGACGTCCTGCCGAAAGAGTGTTTTGAAATAAGATGTTGAAGTCAGAGGGTTATTCCATGTAATTTTGCTGGTACTTCTGCTAATTCAGTGGTTTGTTATGTTTCAAACACGACTTTTTCCAGAAATGTACAATATAGGGAATGGGATAACAAAAAAATCTTGGTAACTAATTTTGATTAACCTGTGCACTCATAAGTTAATGGACGTGCACCTAGTTTTTCATGAACTTCTTGTTTGGTGAACGTTTTGGTCTAATACAAATACATTTTGGACTAAACACTAAAGTTTCTATTGTTATGGATGCACATTTTAATCAAACTTTTGCGTACAATCTACACAAGAATTTTTAGCGATAAGCTTCACGTCACAGAATCAATTCAGAGAAATAAAAAAAGCACCATGAGCCAAACTGCAACAAGCAAGCCAATGAGCCCACAAGCTAAGCTTTACTCACCAATATACGTGTTTTCACAAAGCACAAGAAAACATTACTGCACATATCATGAGCAAATGAGGTACACACAAATTACCTTGGAAAGTGAGTCATCAACACGACGCGTTTTTCTGGTGGAAGTTTTTCCTTATCAGCAGTAAACTTGCTGAGGAGCTGCTGGCCAAGCGAATGTAGCAGGGACTGAAAGAAACTTTTGCCAAAAACTTTCGACGTTGTGTACTTGACGAAATTGTCGCAGAATATTGGAACCCGGCAACAACATAACCACCTGTTGGCATATCGAAGAGTAAGTTGAAAGTTACGATATTTCCCAGACTAAAAATGAATAAGCTAAGAAAATTTGGTCTTTAGTTCACTATCACTGCAGAGGCAGGGGGTTTTGAAAGTATTTGTTGTTTAGTCGATATTTTTAGTACTATGAAATATTTTGGTATTGGTATTATGTTGGTAGTATGTTTTAAACAGGGTGGGAAAAGGGGGTATCGCTCCCTGACGCAGTACCGAAAATTCAAATTAAACTAATACGGCAAAACATGAACATACGATTATTGCCCGCCCGCTCCAATGATCCAGTTAGCTACAACGTTGCCCTAACAGAGGCATTAAAAAGACAAAACTTTTTAAGGCAAAATTGCATCGTTAATTTCGAGTTCGATATTATACGGACAATCGGGACGTTCTTCTTCGTTTGTTTCGAGCTTCATTTTCAAGAAAATCCAAATTTTAGCTTACGTCCAAAAAACATACATTTTGACTTAGTAAATATGTTTTAATACAAAAAGATTAAGAAAAAATCAGTAAAGAAGCCATTAGAAAAATAAAACACGCTTTACTTTCAAACATTTGCTTAAATTTTAAACGATTTTTTTGTAAATGCCATATCTTAGCTTACAATTCAAAGAAATATGTTTAAAGCGAATTTTATATTCATTCAAATATTGAATGATTCATTCAAATAATGAATTAATTTTCTTGTGAGGCAGTTGGACTACTGATACGAACCTTTTGTCGCTGTAAAGGACAAATTCCTCGATATTTAACAAATTGAAATCGCATAACCCAATGAGGAGCTTTCCAGTTCAGCAAATTTTTCGATTAATTCCTCTTCTTTCGCATTGCTTTCCCAAACGCAATTTTTCCTTTTTTAAAGAAACTGGAGAGATTATTGTTTCCAAAAAAAGTGTGGAGGCAAAAATTTTTTTTCTGAACAGAAGGAAAAGAATGGACATTAAATCATGAGACGATAGAGCCACAATGTAAATGTCTTCATCTCGGTTCTGATCATCATAGGCGTAAGGGAAGGGGTGCCAAAGAAAATATAAAGATTGAATAGTTGGGCAAATTTTCAACGTTAGTCGGGCGAAAATACGGCGGAATCTTTTTTACGAATTCGGGAAAATATTTACTGCCCCCCAGAAATTATATCTACAGTACACTTATGCTCATCATAATTGTTTCTCGAGGCCAAATGCAACGAGCTTTATATCTGCTTTTCGTGGCTGCTGGATACAGACGCCTAAGTATAGACTATATCAACGCAATTGGAAATATCGCTGAGCATGGAAATTTCAATTAAGTGCCTGAGCATGCACACTACACGAAACTATTTGTCGGTCGTGACACTTACAAAAACAACAGCACCAAGAAAGGTGCGAAGAGCAGAGGCAAGTAACTATTTGTAAATGGAGAAAACAAATTGACAAACTGTCCCGTCCAACTTAACTGAACGTGCAATCGTCACGAAGCAATGAATGATTGAGAATTCATCTATTTTTCAAATAAAGCTCACAACATGCAACTTAGAAAAAGGTGTTGTTTTATCACAAATGAATATTTCAGCGACAACAGAAAGCAGATTCAAAGTACTTTCCTCAGGTGAAATTTGGTGCTGTTAAACATGGAGGAACAATCTAGATGAGATTACATTCTAGCTCCTTTTTATCATGCAATTTTGGTGAAATTCGAGTTCTGAATGACAATGAAGATGGAAAAACAGGAAAATAATCGACATCACGTCTCAAAAACAGGCACAGATTAATGCCACGCATTTTTAGCCAATGGTTAGGTCTCCAACTTCGAAGAGAGGAAAAATAGCGTTTTCGAAAGCTTAAGAATGAATTCGTTGAACAAGTTGCTGAACTAGGAAGCACTGCCATTTTATACGATAGTAATTTGTTGAATATCGAAAAATTCGTGTGAATACCGAAATGAATTGAATACCGAAAAATTCGTCCGAGAAATTTATGGAGATAAAAGTTCGTATTACAAGACGAACGGTATTACAAGGTATTTGTTCAGACAACCAAGAAAGTTCGTTTATCTTAGTTTTCAAAGACCATTAGAGCAAATTATGTTGCACACATGTCCGCTGCGATCAACTGAGTTAATGCTAAACCTGGACAACCACCTAATCATGAATGAGATGGAGAAGCAAACGTGCAACAACTATTTTTCTGATGATTTATCTGCACTTATAACAGACGATGATAATGGCGATATTTATTCAATATGATGATTTTAAAGATCATTTAGTAAGAAGTTAATCATTTAAAGTATCCAAAAAGTATATATTACACGAGCGATTTACTTTCAGCAAGAAATTGTCATTCAATTTAAATAACTATAAAATTCGCTTCAGGCAAATTTCTTTGCCGACGTATATACTAGGAAATAACATCTGCCACAAATCGTCAAAATGGAAACAAATGTTTGACAGTAGCTAATGCGTTTTTTATTTTTCTTAGGCCTTTTTTACTGAGCTTTTTTTAACTGCAAAATATTCAAACGTCTTACAACGTGAAAAGGTGCATGTTTATTAGGCATAAAACTAATATAAAGATTTTCATGAAAACGAGGCTTAAACTTAAAAACGAAGTTAAAGGTTCCGGAATCATCGCTCCAATATTGACTAAAAAGGCTAGAAAATTCCACCGTCAAGGCACGGATGGATGAACTGTGTGAGAAAGTCCATAGGTTAATGTTTCAGTTTAAAGAAAATTTACCAACAAATTTTCCTTTTCATAAAAAAATTCAAGTGTTTAAAGAATGTACAGAACATAGCATGTTAAGCACATTTAATATAAGCATTACTTGATCAACAAAAACAAGGCTAAAGTTACCTTGTATAATTAGTTTTGTAAGCAGCAATCTCTTCATCACTAAAACCTTGTTGTTTTCGCACGGAAGGTGATTCCAACGTCCAATTATTAAGACAATGAATAAACATTTTTGCCAAATCGTGCATCATCTGTCTTTCATCACTCCCTTCGTAATATATTTGAAGAAATTTGAAAATTGCCTACAGCAAATAAATTGAACGGTTATTACAAACAAATCAGGGTGCTCAATTATAGCTTGGTAAGAAAAACACCGACAAAATGTAGTTAACTATTAATTGCGATAGAAACTGTAACTAATGTTATCGTTTCAAAATCAAATCAAATAGCTCAAGCTAGCTTCCTTCCCATAGACATTCTTACACATTCTGAAACAAGATTATACAGACTTAAATATCACAAAACAAACATTATTCTACATATATAATTTTGTCATGAGGGTCAATGGCTAAGCCTAGCGTAAATCGCAACTAATAAAGTATTTATTCAAAGAGAAAGATTGTCGGTACCGGTCCTTCCCAAAGTTTTTGTATCGTACAAATGAGGAGAAAAGACTGGACACAAAAATTAACAAAATTTCGGATTTTGGAGGTATCGGAGCATGGGATAATCAGTCCTGCCTCTGGTAACATGTATAATAACTATTAATTTCGTCATGTAATGTGAACCGCCGCCTTTATTAATTTAGATAAAACACCGTCACCTTCAAGGAATAGACAAATGTTTTAAGTACGTAGTCACAGAAAAGCAATTGTAAAACAAAATGAAATTCAGTAGACAAAAAAGTTCCGCCACTAACGGGCATACCATGGACAGATTTTCTTATTTACAAAGACGTTGCTAAAAATTTTAGAAGGGTGAGCTAGTAAGCAAGGGACGTAAGACAAAAAGGGTCTAAAATTTAGGAAAGGTTGGTTAATGCAACCACCTAGAGTGTAAATAGTTAAAAAAAAACATTAATGCAGACTTAATTGTCTACTATAAACTATGAACTAAATTAAATGGTTAACGGCATGGTGCAGACCTAAAAGTCATACAAACTGAAGTTTAAAAGCATTTATTAAACTTTTTTGACCATCATAAGTACTCAGCTGTTAGGATGGTATCTTAAATTTCTTACTGGCCTGGAGAAAACAAACTGAGCCTGAGTGTAGAATGTTCTGACAAATGGAAATTTTGCGGCATTTATATATCTACTGCCTTTTTGAGAAAATGCTGAGAAAGTTTTAATTTGTTACCCTTAGTGTCCACTCTTTAAAGGTTAATGCGGACGTTCAACTTCTTGGAACATAGTTGCTTTTTTTGAGAGTATCAGGGCAATCCAGCCATAGTCAAGTTATTTCCCAGTAAAACTCAGTCGAACTGTACTTTTGATTTGTTTTGCTCAAAATTTTTTGAAGGGGAATTAAAATGTGTTTTTAGAGGGGGTGAATCTGATATTGGTAAACTGGCTTCCCCTTGCAACCACAGAAAATCGGTTCACGGGGTTAGCATGAGGCAAAATAACCTAAATCAACAAATAAACAAAACAAAATCAACAAAGGTTCTTACTAACACTTTCAATAGTCGGTATTTCAAATGGTGGATTTCCCATAATAACAGCAGATGGCTTAGTTTTTTGAAGAACGCAGTTTCTAAGCAACTTAAACAATGCCGTGTACAGTTTTTTTGTGTCTTCGTCCTTCTCACTGTGTACGCAAACATAAAGGGTTTCGATGTCCACCACCATAGACAGCACTATGTCCAACTCCTCATCCGTTTTACCGTCCACTGTGGATAAATGACTCGCTAGAGAGTGATTGCATGTTCGGCAATTGGAGTTTGTAACGTCTGAAAACGATTGACCACCACCAGATGAAACGTAACTTTTCCATCCAGTACATTTGCATTGTTCATCCGCCTTCAAAGTAAAAAGAAGCAAGAATATAACTGCTGAAATAACCATACATCATTTTACTTTTAATGCCGCAATTTATGTCAAAATAGTCAACTCAACACGTTTTTTTACGTATACCGAAAATTTAGTTTCAATATTTTATTTGTTCACTATTTATTTAGAAAGCACTTCTGTCTAAAAAATGCCATTTTTTTCGATTCGTTACGTTACGTAAACAAAACGAGTAAGAGTATTTAAAGTTATTTATACAGACCATAGTTTGTGAAACATCGGGGGCGTCCACTCTTGCTAGAGCCAATATGTAGGCAGAAAAAATTAAACTAGAGAATTACATTGAATTCACAAAACATAGCAAAACATAACAAACCGTTCCATTAATACAAGAATTAAGTCGAAGATCAGTAGATGTACACGTATCAAAAAACTGAACAGTTAGGAAAACATCGTTTAATTCAACTGCATAAAGATAACTATGTTTTTGATAGCATATACCATTGACTAAGTAATTTTATACACAATCATGTTTGGCAAAGATTGTTTTGAATTGGTTGCTTAAACAAGCTGGTGAGTGAAAACTTTTCAACTTTGAAAATTGTATACGTTATTTTATGGTCCACTGTTGTACAAAGCATTTACTACTATAATTTAAAGAAAATTATAAACAAGCCACCCAAATATCCCAAAACATTCCTCAAAAAAATCCCAATTTTTCAACATTAAATCCTTGGTTCCCTTGGGTTCCCCAAGAGAAAGATATACATGGCCCAGTGATCATATAGATTGTGATTTCATACATCAGAACTTTGGTTCTATTATTATTTCCATCGCTCGACCAGTTGAATAGAAATTTATTTACCGATTTGTTTTATCTTATTTAAATATTCGTAAAAGAATAATGATGTGCAGCGAAATCATTTAATTGGTCTATCAATTTTACCCAATAAAGTTATTTCCAAGACTCTACATCTTGAAAATCTCCTCAAAAAATCCAACAAATTACTTTTGAAATAAAAATTCCATCTGCTCGAATAAATCCTGAGATTTCATAATAAAAACCTAAAGTTGGCAAGAGTTGTCAAATATTTACTTAACCATTGCTATTACATGAGGTTAAAATGGGTGATGAATAATTAATCACAATTTTCCTAGAAAAACATCTTAAACTATGAGGAATGAACTCCTTGGATAGTTGGATTAAAACAAAAAATGCACAAGTTAAGTAAATAATCAGAAAAACAAATTTTCTCAAGGCAGACTCCATCAATAAAGCTATGGTGTGGAAGCGATAAACATTAATTTGACTAAACGATTAATACAGTATATTTATAAAAAACAAATAATTTTATATAGTTAAAATTCGCAACAACGTTCAAAAGTGAATTGTCCACAAATTTTACAAAGAGAAAAATACTAAAGTAATATCTAATGACAGACTTAACTTTATACTCAAAACAGTGAGACAAGCCAAGAAAGACTTAAATCCTGACAATAAAGGTTGATACCCAAAATAAGGCAGGCCCATCAATAACTGGAAAATTATACTCATTAAATCTTTCAAAACTATGGATTAATTAAAGTAAATGGTTTGAGCCCAGGAGTATCCTTACATGTTTGTAGATCTAGAACATCCAGGTTAGTAGACTTAGGACTCTAAAAACCTGGATGATCTACATCTACAAACAGATGGATTAATTTATTGCAAAAGTTTGACAAGCTATACTTCACTTGGTGACTTTTGTGAAAACTCTCGTACAGGTATAAACCCTCGACATTTTGTTTGGGGTTGCACTGAACTACTTTTGAAATCTCTTATAGATCTCCTCGGTTTGTATAAGTCGTTCAAACACAGTAAACATTTTTCATTTGTTAATATGTAATGTGACCAGTGACGATGCTGCTGCTTCACAGCAGTTCATGCAGTAAAATTATACTTTGAAAAACTTAAGCCACCATATTTAACGTTTTGTCGGTAGAAACATCTGCTTCTTAAATTTTACGATAAAAATGCAGACATACATACAGAAAGAATGACGAATGTATGTTAATTGTTAACAATTCCACTTTTAAAAAATGTATACCTTGCACTGCGAGTAATTAGCAAGTTTTTCCAGCTTCTTCTGCCGAGTAAGAGCTCTCATTTGATTTTTTCTGTTGCTGATTCGAGTCAAATGGCTCTGCCTAGTAAACTCGGAAGGAATCAGAGGAGATGGTCTCTTCTGTTGACTGTTCTTCATTGTTGCTCCTGGTGAGTCCGCCATTTATCAAAATTGAAATACAAATTTGTAACCTTAAATTACAGTAGGTCAAAATTGTGCTCCCAAGGTGATTTTACGATTCTCCAATGATTTTCAAGTATTTATCTACTACAAACTGTCAATAGCCATAGCAATTTCTTAACTATAAACAATTTTTTGCTATAAAATAAGTCAAATTCGGAACGACTCCATCGACTGTACTTTTGACACGTTTCCATCAGCCAAACGAACACACGCATGACGTCGGTGACACAGATAGGTTTGAAAACTTTATTCAAAGACCAGGGGCGAAATTTAACATCTTTTTGTAGGGAATAGGATCCCAAAATGGAAGTTATAAAAGGAGCGTTGCGAGGGAAAAATATGTCTGTGAAATGATCTTCTAACGATGCATTAAGAAACTTTTCAAAAGCAGTAGTCTACTAAAGTAAATGGTTTGAACCCGGGAGTATCGTTACATGTTTGTAAATGTAGATCGTCCAGGTTGGTGAAGTCCTAAGAAGGACTGTTTTTGTTGTTGTTGACTGACGTTTCAACAACCTTAGCGGTAGTCATCTTCAGAGTCAAAAATGGTAGTAGTCTACTGTAAAAAAATGCAGTATGATCGTTAATATCTAAATTAACACTACAATAATAAACAAAACTAAATATTGGTCATTTTTGCTGTTTGAGGAATAACTGGCAATTCTTACACAAAATGTATACTTCATCACTTGATCTGTCAACTTTTGATAAGAATAATCCCATTTATTCAACAGTGGCCATTCTTCAAATGAATATAAACATATGGTTGTCACATATCCTAGAGCTACCAAATATTCTAATGCAGAATAAAAAGGCATGCCCGGTGTAATCGTCAATCTGTCATTAAAGAGCTGGTTCATTCATCATATTTACCTAATTAATGTAATATATTCACAGAATGATAGGTCTGTTATAGCTAATCAAGCTTTCAAGGCTAGATGGCTTCTATATTCCAAGTTAGAGCTAGGTAACCTTACATAGTTTAAATAAATTTGAAGCTAATAGGCTTTCCTGAAAAAAATAATCGTAAAAATTATGAAAATTTTGAACAATGATAAAAAATCTTACTGATTTTATGTATTTTTCTTTTACACAAGGTAAAACATTTTGTTTTTCTTATTTATTGTTGTACTTTTCAAGAAAATTTATGGGGAAATGGCAGAATTCTATGACGTATCTTGGCTTATTTCTTAATTTCCTACCTCTTTGTATAAGTAATAATGAGTTGGTTATAAGTTTACAAAGGTTTACATTTATGCTATCCATCCCATTCAGCTTTATATTGGTTAGAATACTGAGTTGTGAGAATACCTATGGTAACAATACCATAGGCAAAGAAGAATATTAGTAACATTTGTCCCTCCTAAGCATAAAGCTATACCATCACATTCCAGTTGCCTTTGTCATTTTAACCAGAGTTTTCTTCATTTTCAACATCTTCTACAAATCCAGTCTTTTTTTCTCCAAACCACCTCAACAAATGATATTGATCTAAGAGAACATTTTCAGTTATTCAATATGTCAATGTTTTCAAAACTGCTGAACTTGTGTTATTTCAAAATAATAAATCCATCATTACCATACATCTGGGTGACTGTAAAAGTCACTAGTGCTAGTCCCCCCACTTTCAGCGAGACAACCATGGCGCGAACAGTTGCATTGGTATGTTTCGCTGCCGTAAAATGGCATATACAACCACAAATACAACCATCCGACTGGTGCAGCTTAAGAAAGAAATTTCAGGGCTTCCATTTAGTACATTTTTCAAAGTTCATGTATGAGAACAATATTTCTTCGTGTATTCATGTTTTTTAGGAGTTTGCAACATCAAAAGTTCGGAGCAAAGCAATCGATCAACAGGGCTCAGTCACTCAGTACTATGCTCAGTACTTTTGTAAATATCCATCGGAGAAGTCTGGCTGGGAGAATGGTACTTAGACTAATTGTAGGCTAACTTTGTCAATCCAAGAACACGTACAGTGCTGGTATTTATTAATCGGGGTATTATTTTTTGGGTACACTTGCAATATGTATCAATTCGGGAAGAAATTCAGACGCTCAAATGAGTTCTTTTACATTAACGTGGACAGGAAAGGAAACACACAAAAAGATGATGCGGTATGAATTTTAAAGTGTTCTTTTGATTGGTTCTAGTTGCACAAATTCATATTAATTTATATTTACTACCACAGTCATATTAACAAAAGTATGTGTACAAATTTATTTATGCCCACAATGCTGTGTAAGGAAAAACAATTATTCTGAGCACATTTTCCAGTTTCAAGTCTGGATTCTCTATATCCTTTAATCACAATGTCATATATGTTGATAGAATAGCAGTGTGTCATATGATTCTCAATTTTTTGACCAAGAAATTGAATTAGGGGAATTAGTAAGTTTACATATATTGTAAAACTATGTAGATATAAAAATATGTTATGTTTATGGGTTTTTTTCATTTATATGTAGAATGAACAAAGTGAAGATATTGCTAACAGTTATGACAAGCGCCAAGAGTTAACCACCAAAACACAGGTTTGTAATATACATATTGACATTGTTTCTCATGAAAATTCATTGGAAATGGTTATATATATGACTGCTTTCACTAGGAAAAACTGAAAAATTTTGAAGTAATTTAAAGAAGGCATACATTATTTCTGTACATATTTTAAATTAAATAATGGTCTTTATTTGTAGGATTTTGAAGATATTTTTACCAAGCAATCTATCTCTATTATTATAGAGGAATCCAAACAACCATGTCAACATAGTCAAGTAGTTCTCAGTTATACTTTATACTGTCTACCACTAGTCATTTTTTTAATGTATTATAAATTGACAATATGCTTGGTGATTGCTTATGCATGAAACACTGTGTAACAAAACTTTATTAACATCTGGTAGAGATGTGCTCAACAAACAAAAAAATATATTACAATAGATATTTTTGAAACTGTGAACATGAATAATTACTGTATACTTGCTCTTTCGTGTATCACGTCAGCAATCCTTTGTTGTTCATGATTATAATGCAAACAAAAGAACAATTATGGTGATGTCAAATTTTGTTTCCGTAATTTCAATGTTGGGTATACACCCAACTAAATGATATTATTCAATACTCTTTTTGTTGCTATAATCTGCATGTATTTTTTCTTCAGCATAATTCATTTGTATTTGTTCATCAATATCTCCACCTATTGCTTGATGACTACGGTTGGATATTGTGCTGCTCATGTGATGCAAGTAGAAAGCAATGTGTTGAAGCCCTACCTAACATTATACAATTAGATCCTCAAAAAGGTATGTAAAATAGATGTTACTGAAATGAAATGATCAAAACAGGCCAAACAACATTTTTTTACTTGTCAGATATACCTTATCCCAGTTGCATACACTTATTAGCAATGGAAAAATATCTGGTTGTGTATCATATAATTTTTGGTATTGAAGCCAAAGACTTTATTGAAAAAAGTAAGTGTTGTATTACTTTTTAGGGTATAAGGTGTCTAAACAGCTTCGCCAAATTTTGACTTACACTTACATACTATTTGTTTCAAAACCCTTGTCAAAGATGTGAGAACTTGTTGCATATTAATTTGACATTGCATGTAGTGAATGTCTGAAATTTGTGTTTGGCTTATTTTTTCAATCTAAAGTTCTTCATGTGGTATGGGACTAATGGGAGGAAATGTCTTCATCCTTAAATATCAGTTTATTGTACATTTCAAACCCTTATGAAGTCATCCTTCTGTGTTTTTACAAGACCCTTGGTCGACATTGTTCTTATTACATATGGATGTTAACCACCACAGCTTTACAAGCAAAAATATTGTTAAAACGTGTAAATGATTATTTACACAATATATTTATCTCATCCAATTTCTTTTATGAATGCAGAATCCACATCCATGATGCAGTCTGTTTTCAGTGATCATTCCTACCATGAGATACAACCTGAAGAAGTATATTTTGTTGTACAAATACACGTATAGTTTCTCAACCTTCTAATACCCCACAATTTGTTAACATACATCCTGTGCCTAAGTTCAGCAGCTTCTATAGAGCTATTAGGGTGATAACCAAGAAGGCAAATTCAATTTATTTATGACTATTGAGGTATACACACATTCATGCTTACATACATAAATAGCCACATACCTACAGTACATACATTACATAGTATAAAGTAAATGTATGATAAAAATAGTAAAGTCATAATCACCTTTTGCTTTACCTGCCTGATATATATATTAAGCACTTTCTATGGATTTTATGAAGTCATAACTAGTCATAATTATTCATCTGCACACGTACATACATACACACACATACATACAATCTTAAGATAAATGATTTTACATATTGTAGGACTTGTTTAGTGCAGTGTGCATGGAGGTGCAGTGGATTGCTGTAAAACCTGTGTATAGTCAATGGGGGGTTTGTACTTTTGTGTATTCAAAAGAAACGCCGCCCCAGCCCGAGTTAAAATGTTGCAGCTGTTCGTCATATCATTGCATTCATGTGACAACCCTTGCAGAAGCCATGCAAATCGTTCAAGAGGATGAAATGGATTCGCCATTGGCACTTTTTAGGTTTTCCTTTGGAATTACACCAGAGATGCGAGACTATTTTGAATTGGCTACACTTAGCAAAGAAAAAGTTTCTTTATTTGAAACAGGTATGCAAGATAATCTGCAATGGTGAACATCCTTTTACCTTTACATATACTATTTCCTTTATCGGTATGATATTTAGCACTTTCTAGCATTTTGTAAGTATTACAATTTAATCATTTTAGCCAATGAAAATGATGCAAGCGATTTCGCTGATCTTCCTGAAAAAAAATGGTCATAAAATTTTGGCGCCATCTGAAAGTGGTATTTGTTCTTGTGGTGCAGAGTGGGATAAACGTTCTATTCAAGATGAATGGTTGTACGTAGACTTGTGTTCAGTTGCGTACTTTTATTCAATCCATGATGTGAAGGGTAAGTTCTGATTTGTTATAGGTTACGCTTCACTTCATAATTATTTGACTTAAATAGATTATTTAGTGTATTGTAGACCTTGCTCCTCTTGTGCTACGAAAAAGCATTATGATGGCATTGAAAACAGGATTGTTTGGTTTGGATCATATGCAATATTTCATGCCGTTCTAAAAGATTACAATCGGCTTTTCATAACGTCGAGGTACTTTTTAATGAATATTTGCCGAAGCATTAGTAGCTACGTTTGCCCTATCTCTTTTGAATGTTTTTTCTTTTTTATTCTTGTTCAGTTTACCTATGTACGAATATTATATGTTTTAGTAGTACGAATATGAAGTACGAATATTATGTTGCATATGTACAAAGGCAAGTGTCTTCGGGTAATTTTAATTTTCCAAAGGAAATAATATACGCCAAGTTTCGCCTCGCTATCATTGCCATGATACGGTAAGCATCATTTCATTTTCAGCTGTAAAATGTGAATATTCCATTGAGATAGTGATCGTTTATTTTATTAAGTTATTGAGTTTTCTCTTATTAAGGTTGCTTGATATTGATTTTGACAATGTGTTTTTTTGTGAATTACGTGGAAGGATTCCCCAAAAGGTGGTGATGGATGGAACAACTCTTGGAATACAGAAAACTTTCTTACCAAATAATTTAAGAGAGTCTGATACTGGATTGCTAGATGGAAGATAAGTATTTTTGAAGTTTATCTGTAATATATAGTATATACAGGTCTGCTAATTAGTAAATACGTGTGTTCATCTACGTATCAGAAAGAATTTTGTGCATGATGGTGACTTCTCTCACTTTGTTTTTGTACACAGCTTATAGTTATAAAAATAACAACCTGTTTTCTTATGTCCAATACTAGGTTTGAAATGCGCAATTTCATCAACAGGAGAAATGTGCGAGCTTTATTGAAGAAGTACAGTGATTCTAAGCTAAGTTGGGACGAATTTCAAGAATTAAAATCTGAAGTAAGAAGAATTTATTACACCACGAGTACTAAATTTTGTATGACCACTCCAGAGCTCATTTTATACTACAATTCCTCGTATTTATAGATATCTTCAAAGGGGCTTAGGACTCTACTTGAATGGTTAGAGAAACAAGGATTCATCACTAGTTGTCCAAACTCGTGCAGAAGGTTATTGGCAGCATTGGCTTCTGACAAACCAGTATGCGCAATTGTACCCCCCAAAGAAGTTTTGGACCTCTTGATCAGGATGTCTGATGGAGCCAATCCAAAAGACAATCCTTCGACTGATTTAAAACTTCTTCATGAAGAAGTGCCCCTAATGTTGAACGTCATTGAGACTAGCGAAGAAATTCCTATTACTATTCAACCCCTGTTAAAGGAATTGGTACAAAAGGCTATAAGTCCGTTCGTAGTCAAGGACGGTCAGTGGCGTTTGCCACACAACTTACCTGCGGTGTCTCAAAATTCATCCCATGGATATATACCTTGTCTGCCAGAACTGGTTCAACGAGGGAATTATGTTCTTGACAATAGGAAGACACAGCAGGGAGATTGTGCCAAAGTCACTAGACCCAAGAAGAAGCATGGGACTTTGATCCCTGGAATATTTTGTATTCTTTGTCCCCACGGTATTTACGTGATGAACAGCGCCAACGAAAATTTGTTTTACTATTGCAGTAAGTGACATTGCGCCTTCCTTTTTGTTTCCAGGTATATGTTATGGATTCGAAATAATTAGGGATCACGAATTACCATATATCCCATTTACCATTTTACGAACACGTTTTCCTGATGGTAAGTTACGTATGTGTGTACCTTTTATGGTGCTACAAACAGAGTATTATCAGTGAATCGGACGGATTGCATGACGGTTTAGTCGCCTTACAGAGTTGTCAGTGCAGTAACATAACCGAATGTATCTGATGATATGCATATGTATTTCTATTTCTTTAGCGCCAGAGTTGGTCATTTACGATAATGCCTGCAGATTGCATGAGTATTGTTTGAACCGAGATCCAGCATTTTTTAAGAAAACAAAATTTGTTGTTAAGTTTCATTGGAAAAATCATTCAGGTAAACTGCCATACTCTTCCTATTTTTCTTGAAGCGAACTTATTGATCCAAAAATGGCCGTTTTTATGTTTTCACAAAATTTGTTGATTTATAACTGTCACTCACAAACACTATTTTCTCACTCTTAGTCGCGTCATTCGTTAGTCTTCGATTGAAGTATTCCCTGCGTATATTTCAAAAGTTTATAACGTTCTGCAACACGTGTTATAAACAGTGACGAAGTCAGCCTGCAAGTTTGTTAATGCTACATGTATGTAAATGTCTTGTGTTCATTAACTGTAAAAACAATAAATTTCTAAAGAAATTGTAACTATGTTTATTAGAGCATGAAAGTTGGTATGTTTGTATGAAAGTTGGTATGTTTGTATGAAAGTTTGAGTCATTTGACTGATAAATAGCGCAAGCATTACAGCATTGAAGTTTGAAAAGGTAATCCAAATGTGGAGTATCTACGTTAAGATAGTTATAATCAGGGCTGTCATGATTCCTTTTTTTTTTTTGAAACTGGTTTCACTTTAGGTACATGCTTATAATATTGCAGACTATAGCCATACCAGTAAAAGTTACAACTGTTACTTTTTATAACTAATTTCAATTTTCCTTTATATTGCTTTAAAGTAACGCGTTATAGTTTCGTTTTTCGAAAAACTTAAACTTGTTTTTACGAATAGTTTTATCTGTACAAAACGTTACTTCATAGTTACCCATAAAGATTCTGCAAAAGTAACAATTTCTTGTAACGTCGTTACTTGTAAAAAAATTATTTACATCACTTGTTATAAATATAAGAATGTCTTTCATATGCACCAGCTTTTTAACTAAATTCTGCTTCATTACAAATTGCTTTGCTAAATGGTAAAGCTTCGAATCAGTATTGTCTTTTTAGTATTATCAGTATTGTCTTTTACAATTTACATGGATATCATCAAGTAATCGAGGACCAACTTCTCCCTATCAAAAAGAACACTATCTTTATATGAACAGAGTAAACGAAGTGATTAAGAATCATGATATCTTTTATAAATTTTACCCCCTCAGTTATTCTTCTCGCAAATTCTGTCACGAATATGCCACAGTCATAACCATTTGCTTGTTGTATCACCTGTCGTCAATAGTTAAGTTATACCTTTGTGACAATTTAAGCGTGATCTATTGCCATTGTAAATGATAAGTACTTACGTCGGCATATATAGGTTGGGAAATTCGAGCAATGTCTTCTGGCCATCTTTGCTCTTGCCTCACATGCTGAAAATATCTTTTTCACAAGAAAAATGATTTGTGTAGACGTGCTAGAAACATTCACTTCGTCAACATGTTAGATACATGATGCACTTCATTCTTCTAGTAAATTGTTACGTACGTCATATACCTTCGTATACTTGATGCAACTTCACTTTTTTGCCACCCCATACTGCATAACACATAGAGTTTGCCTGCTCTAATATTGTATGCAATGAGCCACCAATGCAGCCTATATTTTTTAAATGAACATTGAGTTGGCTCAGGTTGGCCTTTGCATCATGAAAGAGTAAAAATTTAGTGCTTCCACCCTTACATGTCACATATTGACACTAGCACACATTCATATTTATACATTTCTTCAGGTGTGTACATCCCCACTTTTGAAATGAAACATCCTGATAATCTCAGCGGTCTTTCTCCTTTAAAAAGTAGGAAATACAGCGATGTTTATTTACACGATTTATAAGTAGTATGATACAGTTGAAAGTTGTGAATTTTTTACCAAAATTTGCTACTTAAAATACATACGGAAGTCCATCTATTAACAGTTTCTGTTGAAAGAAATTGCTAAATGCGAAATATTTTAAATTTCTTTTTTCTGCTAATTTACAGTAGTACCTATAAATAAGAATGTAAATGTTTTGACACATAGGCCATGCATTCAGAGTGATTTTCGTCATTAACTTAAGCTACACCTAGATTTTCAGGTAGTACCTTAACAGGACGTCTACGATGATGTCGCATACCCACTATTATCATTTAGTGTATTCAAATCTCTTTTGTAAATGCTTATACGATGGAAACAAGCAACTCTGGAATCAAAATGAAAACGTGTCAAGAATAAAAGGAGTCATTCTTATTTTCTTTATACGTGTCTAAAATATTTTTTAAAACAAAAAACCTCTCATTTTCTCCAATCCAAGTTCTCCTAGAGGAAAACTAAAAAAATACAAACAACTTAATATACGAATGGCACAAAAGTTTAGAATCACTCAGATTTTTATTTGGCAAAAAATGTTGGAAAAAACTTGTAATTTAAACTTTTATGCTGCGTTTTATGGGTGTCGAGTTTGTCGTTTTTCCCATTTTGGCTACACGAATGCAAAGAGGTCCTTTATTTTACAAAGAGTAAAAGCCACACTGCCTGCTCCTTGCATAGCTTGGCAAAAACACGGTAGATACATTTGGAAAACCTCGTACTTTTGGGCGCCACACATCTAACGATGCACTAAGTGCCCCAGCAATACACATGAAATGTGTATTTTCAAGTCAACATCTATGAAAAAGTTAATTGAGTTTTTATCAGAAAGGCATGTTGTATCAAATTTAAGCTTATGATCACTTTATTCAATTTAAAAGCGTAGAACTAAATGGTGTGTACGGCGATTAATTACATTATTCGATAATACCTTCTTCCAGGAAATTCTGAATTTCAGACACAATTTTCTTGCCTGCAGTTTCAGTATTCGTTTGCCTGGTGCGCTATAATAATAATCAAATCTCAGTTCATTTGAATTATTAAGGATAAATCTATATGTGAAATAATGTATTATTAGGTAAATTTTTTAGGTGGAGCAAAAGTCACCTCTAGTGCTAAATGATGCTGATGGGAAATTCCGTACAGGAAGGCATGAAGTTTCAACCGGTCAGGATTTGTACTAAGCGCCTCAAAGATATTTCCTGGCTCACTGGCATCATAGCCCTGAGCCAAACCCATCGCTTCCATCTTACTCGATCTATAAAATAAATACGTAATCACAAGTAAAATGTTTTAAAAATAATTAAGTATAAACTTTAAATGTGAACCTTAATGCATGAGTTACAGGTTGAAGATGCTTTTTGGTGGATTGCAACAATTCCTGACAAATTTCATAATTTTAGCTCATTTTTGCCATCCTGAATCCAGAAACTATACCACCTATTTCCCCCTAAAAAGATACATAAGTACATTCGCTGGCACATATCCACTGTCGTATAAAAACACTTTGCAAAAGTCCTGAGAAGAATTACTATATTAATTGCGTATTGTTTATCTTGATACATATAGATCTTAACTTTCGTCATGTGAAAACTCAAATTTACCTTTTCATACATATTTTTCATATTTTAGTCTGTGCTTTCGATCTAAATTCAGAAATTGCACATAAGATTTGATGGTGAAGAAAAAGATATCTAAACATTAATCTCATTCCTTTTCTTGTATCATGAAATGTTCCTCTGGTCTCATTTCGTCTTCTTCGTTTTCTTCTTCTTTAAGATATTTCTCTGTGTTGTGCTCGTAGTCCATATCTTCATCTTTAATTTCTTCTTCGTCGATATCTTCATGCTTCTTTTCTTGTTTGAACTCGTCTGCTTTCTCCTCGTTTATTTCCTCTATTTCAGTTTCTTTTTCCATGTCCTGGTAAACATCTTCTTCGATGTTTTCTTCATTACACTGTACACACAATTTATTAATAGGATGTGTAATAATCACGTAAAGTGTGAAAAACTTATCGTAAAGATACAATTGACGTATTCTCTTTAGGACAATTTATTTTCATTTTTTACATTTTTTACATTTAATTATTCAAAGTATTATCTTACGTCTGTAATGTAATTACAATAGGAAAGGACGTTTTCAGTTAGTTCTGCCTTGTTGAGAACTTTCCTGAAAATTTTTTTAAAATTTTTTAATGCATACATGTTTCAGCAAACTTATGCCCTCTTCAGTGCAGTATAATGAAATTTTGCAGAAATTTTGTTAATGCGATGAAGAAGAATTTTTATGAGTCCTGACTTGTAACTTTGTGAAATGAGGCTGAACAAATTCAAAAAAAGTCCACATCTCCACAGAAATTAAAGAGCATACCACTTCTGATAAAAACTCTTGAATATTCAAACACCTCCACTCATCACCTTAATGCAAATCTAATAACTCACGATCCTGCTTTCATATATTAGACAGTGCCCATACTCCTTCCTCTTTAAAACTAAAAGAAGCATTGTACATCAAAAAACTTTAGCCTAATCTCAACAAACAAATTCAGCATGTCAATAGTATCTTTAACTTGAAAAAACTTAACACACCTAATCACAACAATATTGTAAATAACTTCCGCATTCATCTCTTTTGTCTATACACATGTCATGTATCATATTTCTTTATATAATAAGTCTAAGCAAATAATTCATTCACTACACTGCACTGAAGAAGGCATAAGTTTGCCAAAACATGTATGCAATCAAAAATTTAAAAATGTTTGTCATTTACATTAAATGTATCATGCCATTATAACATAAAAAGATATCATTTTGAGGAGTGCCATAACTCAATACTTGGGGGAGGTGATCAAGGCACAAATTAAGGATGAAATCATCATTGAGATTTAGTTAGAATAAAATATTATACCCCCAACAAACAAACATCAATTGTTAATGAAATCGTGAAAATATATTAACCCTAACTAATTGCAACTACAGGGTGAATAAGCTTCCCTTTGATATCATGTGACATATAAATTTTGTATGATTCAGCAAAAATAAAATCTGAACAAAGTTCAATCCAAAGGAATTTCAACCCACCCCCAACCTTTTCCCAAACTATCAACCTGGCTACTCCTCTGGTTTTGTGAAGTAATATATGGTTATAAAATGCAACAGTTTAGCTATGTTAAATGTAAATAGCTGCCAATCAAAAATTGCATGAATGATTCAGAAAGAAAGTTATGTTACAAAACAATTCCATTTTTAAATGTGTACTGTGTACCTCGCACTGCGCTTGAAAGTTTTTCTAATTTTTTCGGCCGAGTTAGAGCTCTTGTTTGATATTAACTCCAAAGGTAGCAGAGAAGGTATCTTTGGTTGATTGTTCTTCATAGTTGGTCATGGACTCATGGTGAGTCCGCCATTTATCAAATTTTAATTGGAAAACAACTCGTAACGCTACGAGCGTAGCGTAAAGGGTTGTCAAAATTTTGTCGCTTGAGGTGATTTTACGATTTACCATAGATTAATTTCTTAGAATAGATACATATAATTATTTCTTACCTTATTTCCTTTATATCCTGCTTAAAGGCATTAAAATTGTTGTCCATATGTGAATCAAAACCCATCAATTTTATGAAAAACAACTCTCCATAATACTAATCTATATACATTCTGTCCAGTTTATCTGGCTGGAGTAATGGCGGACGGAAAAGATGCGCACTTAAGAACTGGGTACAAGTAGGGGACAGATTTTTCGCTGACTGGGGCGCTTCTGTATGGTCGGCACCATTGAGTTCTATAATAACTGGAGGGGAAACGTCAACAAAATTAGTATAAATTATTAGCGCGCGGCCGCGTGGTCAAAAACATGGCGGATTTTGGTGGTCAAAGTCAGCGGAGAGACGCGGGCTCATGAAATAAAATTTTTGTCGCCCACCCTGATTTGACCACCACAATTGCGAGTATAGAAAATATCAAAACTTATTATTTTCCTAACATAAACACTTTTTTAAAATTTATTTATTAAATTGCCAACTTCTGTGGTTTGCGGACGCTGAAATAGCGACAGAAAAGGAAACATTTCATGACTCCGGTAAGTAGCACAGTATTAGTTTTACTATTTTGTTTTTAACACGATACTTGAAGTGTGTTTCTACTACTAAGTTTTAATTTAAAGTTATTTTGGTCCAGTCTTGTTTGTTCTTCACTTAATCGCTCGCCAGACGGTTCGAAGCTGTCAATTTTTATCGAGTTTTGCATCCATCTTGTATCATGATCAAGACATCAAGCTAAACTCTCCTGGTTTGAATTGAGTTTACCTCCCAAAAATGGGGCATAATTTGTTCATGTTTTTTTTGAAAAGATGAAGGGAAAGTTTACAACAGAGTTGTGTTGAAATTTAATGCAGTGCCATGCAATATTAATGAGAACTATGGTATATGTTGTATAATAAAAATAACTGTTAAACTGTTTGCCTGCTCAATTTGACTGACTGTATAGTGTAGACAATTATAATGGGATTGGAAAGTTGGATTTATGCAAACAATTTTAAAGTACTACTTAGCGTTTCTGTAAATGAAATATTTATTGTTATAGTAAACAGGTTACTACTTCAAAACCAAGATAAAAGTAGTGTGTTGAACAATGTGCTAAGATTTGTTTCTACCTTGAAATGGTCAAGCAACCTAGTCAAAGAAGCAAAGTCTGTCTTCAACATGTGACCTTTCCAATTATTTAGTTTCTTTGTACAAAATACTATTTTCGAAACTTGATTTGTAAGTCTTTCATTAATATTTTTTACCAAGAGATAAAAGGAACTAATTCAAAGGCTTGATGTAAAATACAAAGATTTAACAAGTTGTTTATCATTTAATCCCCAAATGTTAGTTTGTACATATAAATAATTAGTATTGGTAGCTGTAAGTTGTTTAAGCAAAACAGAAGAGTAGTAGTGCTAGAAGGGGTTAGCATTTTGAAAAATTATATCTTGTTCATGACATATATTACACAATTCCAAAAAACTGTAAGTAATGCACAATAATATCTATAGAACTTGATAAATTTCTTCACCTACACTGTCAGATAACTATTTTGCCTTCATGCAGCAATAGACAGTGTTTTTGTCAGAGAAACCAATGCACTTTAGTTTCCAAGTTTGTAATTTCAATGGAAAATTAATGTAGTTCTGTTCAGTAATAGATCCAAGATTCTGCCAAGCTGTTTACAAAATACAAATTACCAAGCAACAGTGTCATGGTGTTTTGAATTTTTTTCTTTTTTGTAGCTCTTCTAGTTCAACATACTTTCTTTATGAGTTTTCAGTAGATTTATCAGGTAATGAAAATACACTTATGATACTTAACCATGGTAAATTTTTAGTTGACTTATGTCGTAGGACTGAAGCAAACATTTTCTCGCTTCATTAGGAGCATTTTTACACAGATTTATCCATTTGAAGCAAGAAAAATAGGTGCACCAAACTGTTGACAAACAGTCAAACACACAAAAGCATGAAATAATGTATAAGTTTGACGAGATTGACAGGTCTAGTAAAGAATGCCGTTTGATTTTCACTTTTAAAAGGCTAAAATGTCATAAAATAACTTAAATGTTACATCCAAAATATGCGTTTCTCTACCGTCGATCTTCTTTATTTTGATGTGTGTCTGTACTGTGTTTTTCACGCAATGCTGAAGCATTATTTTCACATGATATGCTGTCGGTATCGTAATTGTTTTTTCTCACTTGTTTTCGTCCATGCAAACAGTATTAGAAATCAGGAGGGAGTGAATATTGAAAAAAATTTTTAAAGTGGAAGTTTTGACCACCAAAATCCGCCATTACCGCCATGTTTTTGACCACGAGGCCCAGGCCCCTTTGCCCCTCCAGGTCTTATAGAGCTCAATGGTCGGCACTGGATCATGGTCAACTAACGTACGTGCCCACATATTATTCTTATTATGTCAGCGGTAAGTAACAATTGACGATTATTCATGTATATATTCATTATGCGAATGATTTTACCGCACTGCATATTGCGTTTGCATATGGCAATAAGGCAAATTGGCAATAGAGAAAGCGAGAAAAGATTACAAAGATTTCAATTCAATTTTGGTCAGATGTACTTTCTTTGAAATGTCTGCCTTGCAGAAGTAATGGATTGATAGTATTTTACAATACAATAACCGCACTTCAAGAATTGCAAATTCACTGGACCTAAGGTGAACAATGTGATGTTATAAAGTAGAAATCGACTCTATTTGTATTATAGATATGATATTAAATATTTTCCTGTTATTTGTAGTACTACTAAAAATTATTATAGATGATAAACACACCCATCTAGATGCGTATCTTCAAATTTTTTTCCAAACTTCCTGCATAATAATATAAAGTTTGTGTGTTTAATGTGTTTGACTGTTTGTCCATACTTGCTTGTAATTTTCTGATTTGAGTTAATGTACAGGTGTGGTAACTTTTTTAACTTTGTTAAAGTTATTGTCTGGAAATTTAGAAAACTCATTGTCTCCAGCAGTGCCATCCACACAGTGAACCACAATCTAACTTAAGTGCTCATTAAATGAAATGGATAGTTTTCAATTGAGCATATTGATTTATCACGAAAAATTGATAGGTAATCATAGTACAGGTGCAGCCAGATTGAATGTTGAGTTGTGATATCAATCACAGTAGCTAATTCATATATGTTCCTGAAAATACTTTAAAACAAGAAATGGTAACAATATATCTTAACATGTAACACTGGGTATTCTCTACATTCATCTCTGGCAAAAATTTTCACATTGAATCTCTGAGCACCAAAATAAATTCTATTATGGAAAAACAGATTGTTCAGAAAAACCTTTGAGCATATAATTCCTTCCATTGTCAAAGCATTTTTCGAACAGTTTAAAAGGCTCCCACCTGCTTTAGTTATGCTTGTGGCATAGACCCAGTGCTGTAGAGCATAACTTGCCTTAGATGCTACTCTCTCAAATAGTGAAATGTAATTGTAAAAAGTCATTGCATGATGTTATAGTGTTTGCAAATAATATTACCACTTAACATGAACAAGTTTCTTTATCAATTTTGTAAACTAAAAATCTTTGTCAAGTTGGGGTGCTCTGTGCTCTGCAATGACCATCCATAATTTCATGAAGAATGCTCGACTTCCATGCAACCACCTCCCAAACAGCATTGAATGCACCATTTCTTGATTTTATGGTCATATGAGAAGATACAATGGCATTTGGCTAAATGTTTTTCGAGCAACAAAAAATTCATATTTTCCTACATTGTAAAATTGCAACTTGCCATACGTATATTCTATGAGAATCTAAACATAAAAAGCGCGGGAAATCATGGAATTGTTGCCAAAGCTAGTTCGAAAATGGAGTTTCCAATGAAGTATGCATGAGTGAAGCAAAAACAACAGCAGTTTAGAAGGTATTGTAATATGCAATTCCAAAGAAGAAATGCTGGAAATATTCGTGATTATAAAAACAAACTCGCAGTGGGTGGTGCTGTCTCAACAGAAATAAATTGATAGGTATATATTATATAATAACTTCAATGCAGAAAGCATACGCTTGTCCAGAGATATACTACTTTTTGGTTATTGTGCAATGGTGAAGAAAGAAATTTCACAAAATTTCATACACATATTAAAGCAGAACTTTTGTTTGAATTTTAAATATTAAAGCATGATAACATGTATGAACCGAATACTTAATGATGACATGTATGAACCAAATACTTAATGATGACATGTATGAACCAAGTACCTAATGATGACATGTATGAACCAACTATTAAATGATGACATGTATGAACCAACTATTTAATGATGACATGTATGAACCATATACTTAATGATGACATGAATGAACTGATGTAAGTGCTTAATAGACAAGACTACAGACGAAATACTCGCTGAGAAAGGTTCATTTGAAAGTATTACCCAAGCAATTCAATGTCACAATATTGGTCACCACTGGATGGTTTCTACATCCATAACTGATGAAATAGTAGTCTTTGAATCTATGAGTATCAACCTGAATTCATCATTAAAAAGGCAACTCCAGAATGTTTAGAAAAACCTCCAAGAACAGGATGGTTCTTTAAACGTCAAAATGATTCTCCAACAACATCAAAAAGGATCATCAGATTGTGGTCTTTTTGCTGTGGCAAATGCTGTTGCTTTGGCTAATGGTGTGAACCCTTGCTCTGTTACCTGGCTGCAGGAGAAGATGCGAGTGCATCTGGTCAAATGCTTTGAAGAACAAAAAATCGAGATGTTTCCCCACATTGAGAATGCAATGCAAACCTGCTATTCAAAAAATTATATTCTGTGAGAAAATAGTAATTGTAAGCATCTAACATAAAAATAATCATGTATCGCTTCACTTTTGCTCGCAAACATGTACACTGTAATTGCTCAAATTGGAACCCCTTGACAAATCATGCATGTATATATCTGTAAATAATATTAAACAAAATTAACATTTTCTATTTGTGAATCATGGACATGGTATTTATTTTTACAACTAACTGGGGACATATAACTAATACTGTCTAGAAAATGTAGAAATAATAAATTTACCTTATAAATTTTACACAGTTGTGTAGCGAGCCCGGAAGATAATTTGGTCGTGTTATGTAAATTTAATATTATCAATAAACATTTCTTTAGAAATCTGTTGTTTTTACAGTTAGTGAACAAAGAAATAATTGTATAGCAGAGCTAAATAAAACGGGCTGGATACGCCACTTTTACGTTCATTGTATATTGTTCATTGCTACTTCGAGTATCGTTATGACGATTTCAAATCGTTGAGCATATGACAATATATGTAAAATACAAAGAATACAAAACAATAGATGTGTAAAAAAGTAAAACTATCCAAACCTGAAATCGAAAAAAGAATTCTTCTCGTCATTTAGCCGCATATCGGTTAAATACGCATATGAAACTTGTTATTCTCAATGGTTATTCTATATTTTAGTGGTTTGTCACAGCTTATAGGTAATTACCAATGGTAATTATATAAACATGAATATTCGTCAATTGTTACTTACCGCTGACATAATAAGAATAATATGTGGGCGCGTACGTTAGTTGACCATGATCTAGTGCCGACCCTTCTGTATGTATCTATTCTGTGGTATCACTGATCTGATAATAGTCTATTATCAGATCAGTGTGTGGTGTCGATACCAACAATACCGAGCCTAATCCGGAAGTAGTCGATACTGCGTGTATCGAAAAAGGACTTCATTATAATAGGACTTTTAAAATTTCATTATTATGTAAGTTTGTCCTCCTTTTCATTTTTGGTTTTGACAAACATGTTGCTTTTTTTTCTGTTTTATTATTTTAATATTTTATTCACTTTTACTTATCAATACACTTCGAGATCTCGCCTTCAGAATAATAACATGAAACCAATTTTTTTATTCCAATTTATACAGCTTCTGAAAATTTATCGTTACTCCTAATAATGTATGACAGTTTGTAATTTAAGACAAGAAAAACAAAAATTTCGTCGTATTGTTGAAGTATATAAGGCCACACCAAACAATTCCATTATCAGATATTTATCAATTGACTCAGACTTTAATTTTCGAAATTGAAGAAAGTAATCGCTTTAGTAATCGATACCTCGTTCCTTTTAAGAAAAAGTAATCGGTATCGTATCGAATCGATACTAGCGGTATCGCCCATCACTAATATGTCCATTGAGTTCTATAAGAGGTCTTATAGAGCTCAATGAATATGTCTTGATTTAATTACAAAATTCAAACTTCAAACACGTTTCCATCAGTCAAACGAATGAACGGTTGATTGATTGGAACCATTGGAATCTTGGAACCATAGCACAGAAATAGCTACCATAGCTTACCAACAACCACAGAAATCCATCGACCACCTTACTAAAACGTTCTTAAACTTCAACAACCTGACAAACATGTCGATCCAAGGCAAGTCAGTGTTATTTGTATGCCGAGGGAATATATGTCGTTCTCCTATGGCAATGTTTTTGTTGAAACATATAGTTAAAGATAAGGAAGGTTGGGTCATAGATAGTGCTGGTTATGAAGACTGGAATACTGGTTGTGGGCCTCAAGAACATGTCTACAACGTTATGTCAGAACATTCCATACCATCGGGTGACCACCGTGCAAGAAAAATCGAAAAAAGTGACTTTGATCGTTTCGACTACGTGCTTTGCCTCGATGAATATGTCATGCGAAAACTTAAAGAAGAGTATCCTGATCCATCCAGATGCCGCGCAAAACTTCAGCTCCTTCGTGAGTATGATCCAAAAAAAGAAGTGTTTGAAGACCCGTACAGAGGAACAAAAAGTGACTATGAAAAAGTCTTTCAACAATGCCAAGTGTGCTTGAAGAACTTTTTTCATGCTGTCAGTTAATAAACAGTAGAAGCTTTGTGTCCTTTATCTACTGTAAAATGTACTATGATTGGTTATTAACTGTAAATTGAATTAGGTAAGTTTGCATATTAATGTTAGTATGTAAATGTAAGTTAGTACCTTTTATACTTGAATTGTGACTATAGTAAGATGTCACTCTTTTGCTCCTTGGTCACCACCATTTTAGACCACTATTGAAACATTTACAATGCTTTTTCTGTTGTTGTGGTTTAAAGTTAACTTGCCTACATTTAGTGAAAACTGCATTCATGTCAATTGGTTTATTAAGTGCATATGGTGAATCAATAAGTATTTTAGGATTACCTTCACTGACACAACTAAGTGATGAAGAACAGAAATCACTTTGTAAAACTTGGTGAATGGTTAATTTATTGTTGATTGATCTGAAAGGCTCTTTTTAACTAGAAGACACTCTAAAGTTTGCCATTTATATGCACAACTTACTACACACTTTTTATGAATTTAACTTACAGAATAACAAAACTTCAATAATTTACTTGACTTTTGTTTTATTTGCAATGCTCTTTATCTGTCTACTTTTGCAATAAGAGTATGCTGCAATATTTTCATTATGTTTGACAAATGCTTTGTTTCGTGATAGCAAGTTCACAACTGAAACAAATTCACAAGATGAATGCAGACATTGGGTCTAAATTAATTTATTTTATTAGGATAGTTGAAATAAACTAAAATGTACTTGTACTTGCTTCGAATTAAGTCTTTTAAATTTTAAAACCTAATTTATCTAGATTTAACTTGTGATAATTGAATGTTGATAGGCATTCTTAATTTCCCTTTCAAAGTTTTATAATGTTCAACTTCCAAAGCCATATGTTTCTTATATAAAAACAAGTGCAGTATAAACTATTAGTTCTTATACTCCCACAATTAGCACATTTTGATACTTTGTCTGTTAATATGTTTGACTGTTCTTTTTAGGACTAACTGGGCTTTGTAGGCTATAGTTTCCATTAACTTTGGTACATTAACATGGTAAGTTTGCACTTGGAAACAAAGGAGTTGTAAATTTCATTAATCCTTAAACATTTTGGATGACAAAATCAACATTCAATCGAGTGCTAAAACATTGCGAACATCCATTTTTCAAAATCAGCATTTTTTATTTCAACTCTTAAATATAAATAGCATTTGCTACAGAGATATGTAGTTTACATTCATATGTTCACAAATCCTAAGGACAATGTTGTATGCTAGGCAGTTTCCATTCTTTGAACACACTGAAATTACATATATGATTCTAATACATAAGTTCTACCAGACTATAACTGCCAAATATTTTAAATGCTGAATGAAAAAGCATATACTATTTAATAGTGTTCTCAGATTCATTATATATACTCTGAATTGAATAACACATTTCATTAATGTAACTATATCTTTTGGCTATAATCCATATCTATACCAGCAACTTCTACATATGAACTTGGTGCTAAGTACTTTTACTTAGTTTCTAATTAATTTCAAAGAGGTAATCAATTTTGAATCAGCTTTATATTTGTTTAAAAACTGAAACTTATCATTTTCCTGTTAATAAAGTTTAACTTATAATCTTAACTGTTTGTTTTCAAAATGAAGTTAAACGATTTAAACATCATTGCAAACACCCATCTCGTGATTTTCCATGAAATCATGAGTAAAATCAAGATGGGTCAAATTAATCACAAAATCTCTGAGGCAACCTTGGAATCCGTTTGTGTATAGTCTTTTTGTCACTACTGTTGGATTAGGTACTCCACCTTTTTGTTAAAAATAAAGTACTGTTACAATTCATGTTTTTGAGATTAATCTTTCTAATGTTTATCGTCTATCTAAGTCAGGGGTCTCCAAACTTTACAGCCAGAGGGCCGCATGAACTTTCATCCAGCATGTTGAGGGCCGAAGAATATAAAAAATTTCCACGTTATCCTTCAGCTTTTTAAATTTCGCAGTGTGCTTGAAATGGAAGTAGGAAGTTGGGAGAAAAATTGTCGTAAGCCACTCTTGCTAGTTGGCTTGCGACATAACGTGAACTTTCTGCACAAAATTTATTTTGTTTAATAATATTTTTTTTTTTTCTGAAGTGTCTCTGCGGGCCGGATTGAGAAGCCCAACGGGCCGCATCTGGCCCGCGGGCTGTAGTTTGGAGACCCCTGATCTAAGTATATGATGTTTCTAAGTCATAAAATGGCTAATTGGTAACAGATGTTCATCCTACTTATAATGAAGGCAATTACACATAATTTTGAGTTCAAATTTCCTAATAATAATGTCAATGTAACAGCTGATTTTCCTATGTAAAAATATCCAAACACCATAAAAATTTCTAGAAAAGGCTGTTTTTAATTACCTATAAAAATTTGATGAGCAGATTCAAGTTGGAAGCCTTTATTTCGACAATCAAAGTCCACACTGTTAGCACCATCAACAATCAAGTGGCATGACTCTTGCTTTCTGCACAAAATAACATATGTTATTGAGTTGTTCATTTACAAAGTACTTTCAACTTGAGAAGCTAATGTCTCCCATGTATTAAACAGACTTCCTTGTCTGCAGTGCACTGTACTGTTCTTATTACAAAATGAACATCAATGGATTTGATAGATTTAACTTCGTTATCAAAAATTTGCAAAAACGACATTCTCAACTAAAGTTAAGATTTACTTATACATTTGAAATCATTTAAGCCCAAGTCAACCCTCTGATGTTTGGTACTATTTGAAAAAACGCCTGTAAAGGAAATTGTACAATGTACATATAGGTGATGTACTTTATAATTTATAAACCACAAACTTATCTACACAGAAACTGTTTTGAACAATTATGTATACTTTCTCTGCTGTGCAGACGCAGTGATAAACGTTACGAATAGGATAACAGGTTGTTAATTTTCTATCAATTTTCTATCATCAATTGTCAGAGATTTTACATGGAAGATTAATCATACAGTCACGTTTTAACAGCACTCTGTTTTGGAAACACGGTCAAGTTACATGAAATTGTTTATTTGCAGACCCAAGCATGTTTATTGCAGAGGTAAAAAATTAAATTTCAAAGATTTAAATTGTCTTTGTCCAGTTAAATTTTCACACCACCCACCCAAAAAAGTAATACATTCTGAAAAAATCTATGTCAGAGCTTGATTGTAATTCAAATACGAACACAAGAAGCACAAAAAAAATTGTGCACGAAAAATGACACAATTTAGAGAAGGTTTGTACCTTTCAATGGATACCTCGTGCCATTCACCGTCATTAACTGCAACTTTAGAAAAAAACTGGTGTTTTCCAGCGCCCAAATTGTAACTGAAAGAACGAAACACAATATGTATCACTAAGTATTAACAAGAATAAAGTTTTGTCAGTGCAATAAGGTGAATAAAGTTTTGTCAGTGCAATAAGGTGAATAAAGTTTTGTCAGTGCAATAAGGTGAATAAAGTTTTGTCAGTGCAATAAGGTGAATAAAGTTTTCAGTGCAATAAGGTGAATAAAGTTTTGTCAGTGCAATAAGGTGAATAAAGTTTTGTCAGTGCAATAAGGTGAATAAAGTTTTGTCAGTGCTATAAGGTGAATAAAGTTTTGTCAGTGCTATAAGGTGAATAAAGTTTTGTCAGTGTAATAGGTGAATAAAGTTTTTTCAGTGCTATAAGGTGAATAAAGTTTTGTCAGTGCTATAAGGTGAATAAAGTTTTGTCCGTGCTATAAGGTGAATAAAGTTTTGTCAGTGCTATAAGATGAATAAAGTTTTGTCAGAGCAATAGTTTTGTCACTGTTTTAAGGTGTACACTAAACACCGCGAAAAAATTTGGTTACGCAAACCATAATTGGAGTACTTAATTCTTTGAGACTTATAGCTAGCTATATATGTTCTTTTATTTGCAAAACCTGCCTAATTTTACTGAAAATTTTATAAAATAAGTTTTACTGTCACGAAAACCAAAAATTAGTTTTTCGATTTAGAAAAAAACCCGGTTATTTTACAGACAAATATGGTCTTCCGTAACAGACTAAAATACGAGAAAAAATATTTCTGTCTAAAGCGAAGTCGGAAACAAAATATCGTATACGTAGTAAAACCTACATGTTATGGCATTGATGAGGATGGCCCAATTGCTCATCTTCAAGAAAACTATCATGTTCTAGTATCCCATTCTACCGTTCATTTAATTGAAGACAGCTGGGGCTAATCAGAAGACAAATTAATGAAGTGGTTGATCAAAATGGCACTACACAATATCTGAATGCCCTTAATATTGTCACTACACTTATTTAGTCATTCTTCTAGTTCCCTTTTGCAAATAGTCAGGTAACTTTATAGAGGGAGTACGTACATGTACTTATTAGTTCAAATAGTTTGATCTTCCGTAGTAAGTCAATCTTCTAAGTGCAGTAGTAAGAATATAGTAGTAAGAATGGTAAAAATATAGCTTTGTTAAAATCATTCATGTCAATTGGTTTATATCATAGTTTGTGTTTTCAAAGAGTACAAACAGAAGTAGTGAGTGAAATAGGCGCACCAATGTGTGTAGCGGTAGATTGAATAGTAAGGTACAAAAGCCCTGTTTCTAGTTACTTCCGTTTCCTCTCGATTATAAAATTATTTTCGACTTCGATATTTGAATGTGCGAATTTCGTTATCAAATATTGGACTTCGATTTTCAGTACTAGATTTTGATAAACGATTTCGAGAGAAATATCTTTCTCGTATTTTTGTCCGCAACGGAACGCCATATGTGAAACACAATTCAATTGAAAAACGTTTAAAAACTTTTTTAAAAACATTACATAGTATGGGTCAACATGTATGGCATTACAACCGCTGGGGAATATAAATAAAGCAACAGTTAAGAATGTTCCTGGGAGTTCTAAGTTTGTAAATTGTGTACTTTAAAAAAATTGGTATCTGCTGCTTGCCTAATTCCGAGACGTCAAACTAAAAATGCGTGGCCAAGTTTCTTCCTTTTACTTTAAGGAGATCAATGATACTATCTCATTTTCCTTTTGGTCAAAACACCTTTGATAATGCAGATATTCGCCTCTCAAAAAAGAATCCAACTACGCTACAATACAATTATCTTTCGCTAAAATAGTACGCCTTCGGGTCGCTCAACACGTTTTTTTTTAGAAAAAGCGGTAGCGTGAGCTGTCTACCAACATTGGGTAAATAAAAGCGGTTTATTTTGGCGATAACATTTATAGCTAAAGCTATACATTTCATATAATAAACGATCATGTTTCAGATAGCTTAATTCTTACGTAGTCCGCACCTTCTATACATTCATAATTATTTTTTACCTTAATGAAACGAAGCCAACTGAAAGACCAACTGAAACGTATTTTTGAAAAAACTGGCCAACTTTCTGTTAAGGAGAAAAAATATGCATTGTTTTAAATTACGTCAAAGTTATAAAACAGTCTCTTTTCATCTGAAAGTACCGTTATATATATTTAAAAAATGACATCATGAACGGGGGCAGATTTTCTGTGGTGCAGGCGGGTGCACACCACCCAAAATTCTAAGTACCCCCAAAGAAAAATTCCAAAATGGTATCACGTACTGTAGACTTTTATTATAATACTATTAGAGGCTACGAAATTGTATAGTACAACTGAGTTAAAAGTACAAATTATCATTTAAAAGACAATCACATATTTTATACCACCACTTTTTACAATTGAGTTTTCACTACCATGTGCATTTTCATTGAAACATTAAAATTGATCTTAAATGAAGATATGATCTTCGCACTTTGCTGGACAATTTAAGCAATTGTCTCATGAACCTGAAAAATTTAGGTGACTCAACGGGATGTTGAGTCACCGGAGCCCAATGAGTCACCTGAATTTTTCAGGTTCATGAGAAAATTGCTTAAATTGTCCAGCAAAGTGCGAAGATCCTATCTTCATTTAATTTCAAACACCGCACTGCATATAACATTCTTTCATAAAATTGAACTTAATTACTAAGCATTCATTAACAAAAACCACACAAATTTTTTTAAAAAGCTAAAAGCTAATAACACTTTCTTCACCCAAAGTTAACTCATCTGTAAGCCTAAAAACAGACAATAGCCGAAGTCTTGCAACTTAAGCTACGATAGCCATGCACCCCCCTTGAAAGTTTGGCACCTCTCAGGTCAAATGAGAATTGATTCGCCCATAATAATGAAAAGTTTGTTGGTATGCATTGTTCATTCATAAAAGGATGATTATCATATTTACGTTGCTCTCCTTTGGCGTTTGAAAGTGTTTATTAAATTCCTTTATATTTTTTCAGCGATGTCTAACTTTGGTATTGTTTAGTATTCAATAACAGTTTTGATAAAGCATGCAATTTTACACGTGTATCCAACTTCACTACTTGTGAATAAAATATTTCCTCAGAAAATATTTTTTTCACTAAAGCATTATATATGCAGCGTATTAACTAATGTGATGTCATAGTGACGATATTTCTACCTTCAATAGAATTAAAAATCTCAAACAACAAGTAATCTAACACAATTAAACTAAAGAAGTTGGTATATCGTTCTTAATTCTCTTTACAATACAATCACGACTCTGGGTTGAAATTTTAGTCGTTAACTCTTTGATTAAATTTCGCTGTAATTCTACGAATTTCAAATTTCAATATCATACCCGAGATTCCCACAATAAAATTCCTTTCAACATCGTGGTCTTGAGAGAAAATGTCAAAATACCACCATCACTTTTCAATCTAAAATAAAAAATAACATCGGTTTTGATTGGTCAACTACCTGCAAATAATTCTCGATATCTCTAATTCTGACGTTATATTTACAAATATTTCTTAATATATGACGTCATATTTACATTTAATAGTTTCCACAATTATTGACACTATATTAAAAGCCAAATAGTAGCGATGTTTGTCAAGGTTTTTTAAAAAGGTGCAAAAGCTTTCAAACAAAAAGGATGTGGAAAATAATAAAAAAGTGGAAAAGTTGGCTTTGAACATATTTGCAACATATTTTAAGCAGAACTTGAATAAACCGTCTGACAAGGACAATTTAGCGAAGGTTTAAAATGTTTTACATTGATATTCTTTAATATTTCAGTTAGTTGAGGTGAATAATAAAACCATTTATCGAACTCGGTCAATGTTATTCGCCTCAGCTTCGCTTAGGAAGATAGCATTGACCTCGGTCTAAATAATTCTTGATATCGTGCTCAACCTCATTCAATAATTGCTTATTAATTGCTGAAATACCGTTTAATAGAACTGAAATTAAGTAATTTGAAACAGGTAACTTCTACTAAAAATAAATTTGTATGACTATAGAATTACCAAATGAACTTATAACAAATGATCTATAGATATTATTTACTTAAGAGTAGAAAAGAGCCGGTAAATCATCAACCAAAAGGTGGCTGATTTTTACATTTTTAACATGTTTTCACGTCAAGTCTCGTAACGTGAAATTTTATATTATTAGCTATAGATTTTAAACTTTACGAACATTCATTTCATACTCTGTTGCTAGCAGAATTCTAAATTATTTTCATATACAATATTATGGGCAAGTATGTTTCTGATAAAAAACCACATCTGGGAAATAATTAACTACCGATAATCACAAAATTTGTGTGTGCTATGGTGGTAAATTCATGGGATATAGTGTGCGAGAAACTGTAACATGTTATCGTGCGTTTAATATTGTGTTTTACGCTTAACATTTCACGTAACAAAAGATAAGCTCTTTAACTTCCTAATGATTTTTTCTCATTTCATTAGAATAAAGAAATGATGGAGTAATAAAAATTGCAAGCCAAAATTGCATTTTCCCATTTTTCCAATTGATACAACACAAATAAAAAGAAATAATTATTTTTCTTTCATAAGACGTCATACCATCCTATCCCATATTTACTTTCACGTTTTCATCTCACCATGTAATTTATTATTATGTAAATAGCTATTATATATATATCCCTCTATACTTGTAATTTAATACTGCCTGATAATGTCTTGAGAGTCAAGACGAAACGTTACGCTTCTAAATATTTCTTTTTATACGTTATTTTGTATTAATTGACTCTTTTAAAAGCACTTTGCTGGGCTTTAATATTTATATTAAACAACAGGGAAAATCTGATAAAACACAGGGAAAATCTGCTGTTTCATTTGTTCGATATAACAGCAAAACATCATAAACTGCACTTAATTTCCAACAGTGGAAAAATGCAATTTTGACATGCAACTTTAATTCAAGGAGTATACTCCATTATTTCTATATAATTGTTATGAAATGGAAAACATATAATTGCATGGAAAGCTAAAAAGGTCGTCTTTTGCAATGTAAAAATATGAGCGTAAAACACAACATATAAAATTCACTACAGCATATTAAACTTCCATATACTTTTTCTATACGTACACACACTACATTCTCATGTTGTGCTGATTATTCGTTCACGGTACACTTACATTTCCATCAATCCGCTTGTGTTAAATCGAACAAATCCGCGACCGTTGAAGGACACGGGTTTTAGGTCAATTTCTATAAATATAAAAGATCAGAAAGTCGAATAAATAAGATATATGATAAGACTTCCTACAATACATACAAACGAAAAGCAACATGCATCATTTGTCGTCCTTGTACACAACTTGTTCACATTTTTACTTCATGCGGTAGGATTTCACGAACGTTGAACGTGTAGATAAAAACGTAAATGAATTCTAATAACTAAATCCTTTACCTTTATGTTGTCATATGATTGTTTTTCAAACAAGAAGAGCGATAAGTGATGGCTAAAACTCGTGTATGGAACAGCACTCAAACAAAATGCAATACGAATAAATCCACAAAATTTGTTAGCGCATGCACTTGGTCCTGTGTAAAGACGATTCATATGATCTTACATCGTTGATTAACGTTGTTTGGTCAAAATATATTAATTTATGAATATATACACAATAATGAAATATTATTCTCTAAACATCTGTAATGTAATGCAAGTTAAAGAATCAACGAGACTGGAAACTGCTGTGTTCTCGTATAATTCTATCCTGTTTTAAAATTGTTTGTCGAATTGAGACGTTTCGTAGCATTTTAAAGACCATCTTCTCAAAACGTGTCATGCACAAAATTAGGCATAATAAGCTTGATTTAAGAGCTTCAAACATTTCCTTTCCTAGAAAAATGACAAGTTTTTTGGGAGTAGAGTGGTCATTATATTTCATTGGTTTGGGATACCCCTCAAATACACGAACGGTTATAAGCGCTTTCAAATGAACTCACCACAGTGCCGTCCAACAAATGAGGGCATACATAAACACGTGTACTGTTCCTTTTCTTCAAAACATTTTCCTTTATTTCTACAAGGCGATGGTACACACAGATTTTTAGAAGGCTTTTTCTTGGCCAAATTCAAATCAAACGTTCTGCCTTGAATTTTAAGCTGTAAATAGGAAAACATGTACTGTAGCAAACTGTTCAGAAAAATTGTTCATAAATATCAATACATCAACATGTAAACACTGACATGCGTGTGGTGATTTAAATTAAAACTATCTGATTTTTGGTTTGCAACAGTTCTTTTTAGAATTACCTAGTTGTCATTCACCATGGCTAATACGCTATTCAAAACAGTAGATATTTAAGTTCCACAACCAAGTCTTTGTCACTTAACAATGTATATTATTCGGACAAAATCTTCATTCAAAATTTTAAATAAGGGTTTGTTATTTGCAAGCACTAATATGTTAAAAGCACTGATGTTAAATGACATCAAAATAAACTAAAAATATAATTTGAGCTTTTGCTATTCGACCCTACAACATACGCGCTACGATAAACGCATATCGGCCTTTCTTCTAAATGAGTACATGAAAAATAAAGTGTGATCACTATCTTCCAAACCGGCTTGTATTTACAAAAATGCTATAAACATACACATAATGATATTTCATGGCAATCGTACAATGAAAGACCATCTTAATCATATATTATAAACTGTGAGAAATGAGTTAAAAATTTAAAATAACAAAGTGCTTCTCTATAATAGGTGATAAGAAACTTATTAAAGATCTTTGACTTCAAACACATATTTACAATGGCAATCACTTACTAATATTGACACAATAAAACAATACTTTACTAAATCATTGACTCACTTGGCGAATGTGGCCATGAAATCCTTTAACTACACCAACATTGAACTCGACTTCTTTCGTCAGTTTCTTTGGAACTCCACCAACCAAAAGGTTCCTTTGAAGAGTGAGTGCACTTCGAGGTTCGGGAGAAACTCCCATTGAAGTATGACGTTCGTTGATGGTAAGGCTGCCGAGACGACCAGTTCTGAAGAACTTGATTTTAGTCCACGTGTTTGCTTCTATACTTATCAAAGACCTTAGAAGAAACACGATTAAAATTTGAGAATGCTAACGTTGTAGTGAATAAAAGACAGTTTTCTCAGAGAAGTCGGATTGTTGAGGCTACTAATATTGATTAAAGTAATCCTATTTTGACTAGGGGGTACACTCGATTCAATTTCCTTTGAGATGATCCTGCAAGCCAGCAATGTATTTGAGAGCGGTAGTACAATCTTACTTCAAACAAACTTGCACTATCACCTTCCCATTTATTTTTGTTGTTCATAAATAACTGTCTTATGCGTAACTGAGTGTACTTGTAATATTTCAATTAAGCTGACTTCTGGCAACCATTATACTAAAATAAGAAATTGCTTGAGAAAACACACCTGATTTTCACTGGTCCAGAACGACAGTTAAAACTGAATTCGATAACGCCATCGTTAAGGGACAATGAAAGAAAGTCGCCAATTTTATCGGCTTGCCATCCATTATAAAGAAATATCCCAGTCTCTTCTATGGGCAATATTTCTAGTTCGATTTCTACATAGTCTTGAGCGCCCGGTCCAAGTGATGGTAATTTCGCAAATGAAGTTCCAGAGAAAAAATATGCATCAGGAGAAACTGCAAAAGAAAAATTATCTTGCTTGTCAAACATCGAGGGGTAACTCTAAATAACCCTGAAGGTGTGCTTGTACAGAATATAGTAAAATCAATCATGCAACTGACTTAAATAACATGGGCGCAAAACGTCTTAACCGTGCTTTTCTAAAAGCGAGATTTATTGGCGATATGCAAAAATTTCACGCAAAATAATTGTAAGTATGCGTGAAGAAAATTGTGATTATGTAAGACAATTGCTTCGCCAATGAATGAAGATTCTACTGGCTGTTAAATGCGTACATTCAGAACATGGAGATTCTTCGCTACTTTGTTTGATAAATTTTTCGATCTTGGAAATAGCTTGTTTTTTACAATGAACTGTAAGAAAAATTATTTTAATGGTTCAAACATAAAAAGAGAAAAATAAAAAAGTCCTTATAAATTGTGCACCGCCAAGAATTTGGGCACCTGCCACCTCAGGGCAAAATATGACATTTGCCCTTGTCAAATTACGCTATTATACATATTTGCATGTCAATATCAATAAATATCGACTTACCCAGATTTTGTTCATCTACCTGTTTTATTGGTAAGAAAAAAAATCAGAAAATGCTATGGTTGAGCTTTTTACCACAATATTTACAACAATACCTGAGGCGATAGAGCACGTCTTTCGTCAAAACTATAACAATTTGCCTCATCATCGCAATTCACTATCGGTAACTGAAATAAAAGATCTAGTCAATTTTACAACTTAACCAGCCGTTGATGTCATGCACGGAGTTTTATGTTGCGTGATAAGTTAATATAAACATGGCGTTTTCCACGTCCAAAGCTTCCTCCGTCAAACTAACCTACATGTAATACCCAGTATCTTTGCCCCTGAATGTAACAATGCAGAGCACGATAAATCATAAAACAAAACTAGGGTGCGCCGTCTGCAGCAACTATATTTTGTCTAAATATACACAGCTACTATTCAACTGTAGTACGAGTAACTTCATCGCTAAATTTCAAATGCGTAAGTTGAAATTTAATGCTGCAATTGTTTTCTTTTTACTGGAGTGCGCCTTGTATAGAACAAAATGCGGACTGTTCAATTGTAATGCACAAGTAAGTATATAAAAATAACTATTAGGGGTGTAAATAACGCCAGCTAAAAATACTTCTAAAAAATACAAGGTTGAGGGTATTTTGGTCAATGGTATGAGTTGTCGAAATCAATGACGAACCGAGTAAAAAACAATATCTTCGTCAATTACAACTATCGATTTTTACCTCTTCGACATCTGGTAGCTTAGATAATTGTCGTGAAATGATTTCATAAGTCGCACCATTGGTATCAAATTCCTAAACAAAAAATATAGAGATGACACTTCATTTCATTCCAATAGCGAAAACGGGAAACGCAAGAAGAAGAGGGGAGCAGTGAAATCGCATTTCTACAACAATTATAGCTATTTTTTCAATTTTTTAATGGATGAAAGAGATGAAGAAGTATTTGCACAAAAAAAGCTGAAGAATTTATTTTTTTAGGTACTTTGATAACGCACAACACAAAGCAGCATTACAATGTTTTAAAAGGCAAAAAAGTATTACAAAAAAAAAACTTTCGAATTGCTGCAATTGCCATGCATTTTATCAATAAAACATTTAGTGCAAATGCTTCAATGTCTGTAAAAAAGTTATTCGTACTAATGTCGTAAAATTGCATTCATATGATGATTGAATGCATGCACTACCTTTCCCTTGGTCCACTCGATATCAATCCTTGACCCACCAGAACCAGCCTCATGTTGGGAGGTATCTCTCTCATCACAACCGTCCTCATCGTCACAGTTCACGTCGGGACTTATCTACAACGTTCACAACAAGAAACATTTAGTCTTCATACACACATAGAGACCAAATTTCAGCAAAAACGATAGTACATTATTTTCACGGTTACATTTTATATTGTTACTTGTCCGATTCATTTGGTACAACAAGTAATACAATACTATACAATACAATATTTATTGAACTCCTCCCAAAGAGGATTTTCAGAGCAAATTATATTCAAATATAACAAGCCAGAAATTACTTCGTTTGGTTACATACTTCAAAGTACTGGTAATGTAGCTATTTTCTTAGGATTGTTAGAAAAATAATTAATTAGCTTATATTCTGCAAACTATATAAACGGAGATATATGATTTGATGTTTTCTCTAAGTTCAGTCAAGAGAGAGACTGCATGGTAGTAAAAAGTGCGTTGTCCAGCAGCACTTCTGAACAGGGGAATATTCAACGAGGTGGAATTCTTGTGCAACATTGCATGACATCTAATCTTTTCACAAATTGGTCAGATAATTTTCAACGAAAGGGAAAAGTGGCTCCGCCATGAGTTAAAAGACAGTGGCATTGCATCCTTAAATGAGTTCATACACTTAAAGAATTAGAAAATGTCTTCATCACACATGACGTTACATGTACTATTATCAAAACTGGTAAATGTTTACCACGTGTACATGTACTTCGGACAATCATCATTGGGTAAGTCTTGCTCAACTGCACATGCTGAGCATTGCTCAGTATACATCACAGCGCGTGTGATGAAAATGAGCAGGTCCACTGCAGCCTTCGTCATTTTCGGTGGTAAATAGAAATTGCTGACACAATCAAAATTCTGTGTAAATTTCAGAAAAATTCGTCCATCAAAAGAAGATCCGACTTGCAAGAGCAGATGAGTATCTTTATATTCTTGCACGATATTTGAAGACTAATTGTGGGTCGAAAAAAGCTATACAGAGCATGCACTGTGTTCTAAGAACTGTGATTTTCATTATCTACCTTCACAATTGACTTGGAAACCACTTTATAAGGAGGAATGTCTTGTTTGGTTTGACCAAAATGACCTGAAGGTTCTTTAAGGTGAAAAGAGGGCGACTTCTAAACAAAAAACAACTTTTGATTCGAAATAATAGTTGACACAAAATGTTTCGAAGAAAGACACATTCACACAAATCGTTAGAAACCATTACTTATGTTTATAATAAGCATGCATGTTACGACATTGGCCATAAGGGCAAACGTATTCAAAAATTTATATATACTGTAGTTAGTTTTAAACACAATACATATTACAAACAACAGACTAAACATATTCAACAGTTGAACAAAGCAAAAAAAATTCTGGAACAAAAATAAATAGTCCGAATGTTTAGATTAAGTCTTATATATCATTCTAAGTCAGTAAAAAACACCACAACAATGAATAGTAAATTCTTAAAACCAAATTTCAAGAAACTTTGTAAGCACAATTTTCCCTCTGAAAATGCTTATCACTCGCGACAATTTTCCTGTCCATTGGAAATCCAACCAACTATTTCCAACAAAAGTTTTTGCAAATCGTACGTGCTGATACCTCTAGCGAGGTTTTCTAAACTGTTCAGTTTCTCTACACCCGCTATATTTCGTGTCTAGCCGGAAAACTACGACTTTTAAAGCGGCACAAATGTAAAAAAAACATGGATCCTTCTGGTTTATAAATCGATCCAACTGATCTAATGTTGCATGTAAGCGCTACATGTAAACAAAAATATTGCATGATATGTAATCTTCTCATTAGTCTATGTTTGTTTTCAGACGAATAAAAATTTATCACCGATCAATTATTGTAAGTGGCCAATAAAAACCAAAAACAAATAATATACTTTGTAACGACTTACATCGTTTTCGATAATTTTCGTCATAACTACTTCGTAAGTTCCCGGAAACTCTTGGACGTTCTAAATTATTAGTACAAAACACAGTTAAGATGCAACGCCAAATTTTTGAAATACAGAATTTGCAGCATGTCATTTTCGTTATATCCTCTACGCGCTACTTTTAGTGATTTCACAATCCTCAGAAAATAAAAGAAACATAGGAGCTTGCCCTACATTATAAGGCATTTTTAATATCATACCACCTTGTCTTTATTGCCTTTAGTTCTGAATACATCTGCTGCACTTCCACAGTCATCCTCATCATCACAATCTCTATTAATAACCTGCAAATACGAGAACGTTGTGAAAATATCGATTGGCACTTAATAACTTAAGATAGGTTTTTCACAGCTAAAAATCTAAAATGTAGACGTCACTGGCTACGATGAGTCAGCAAATGACTCAAGCGTCAATCTTTCTAAGCATGATAAGAAGTTTCACGTGCTATATACAGACATAACACGTGTATAATACGACATTGAATAATACTCAACCGCTTTATGCAAAGAACAACCCTCGTAGAATTCCACAACGTCCATACCTTATCCAAAGGGCTTGTTGATTGAGATATGATATCGTAGTCTCCGTTTCCCTTTCTCTCCTCTGACATAAAAGTATCGAACGGAATGGGAATCTGCAACAAAAAGAGTTCATAGGGGGATCTTCTAAACAATGCTCAAGCGAGCCTAGCAAGACATGAAATGATCGTCGTTCACAGAATTGTAATCGCAATCTTAACTGCATGTTCACTCAAACATCATTTAGCGCCATAATTTGTCATTGTGGTTTTATTTAATTGCTGTACATAATTTATCGTAGTATTGTAATTATTTATAATTACAAGATTACAAAGAATTGTGTCATAGTGATTTCAAGTCCAAATTTTGTTTTAAATGGACCTTGTCCGCCATGGCATTAACTCTGTGTCTAGCTAAATTATAATCCATAGTCCCTTGAATGACGTCACAAGATTACGTTGTTCCAATCTATACGCTTCTGACGACGGACAAGGTCCATTTAAAAGGCCATTTCTATTAGAGAGAAAAAATGTGAATCCTGCATCTCTAACGAAGAACAATCTCATACAAAAAGTCACGCCCTTTTTCTTAATTGAAACATCAACCCCATGCATTGTGCATGTGAAGAAGCACTATCTTGTCTTAACTGCACCTATGGGAATGCCTTCAAATACTTATGACAGGTACATTATTTAAGAACTATAAGGAGAACGGACATTGTGTTCTGAAACCATGCTCACAAGACATTCAAAAGATTACGGATCAAAAGCACATCACGTTGAAATCGGAGAGACATGGTAGGGAAGAAAGAGTAAACAGACATAAGGCTGCCATGACTCAGTAATGCTCATGCATCATGCAGTATTGCTTTTTTGATAGGGAAGAAAGTAGCTAAGACGAAAGAAAAGCCGTAAAAACTCGTAATGGAGCAATATTGAAAAAATACCTGTTCCTTCACTGACAATGAAATAATTTCATAATTGCCATCTGATTTCTCGCCCTTCAAAAAAAATAAAACTTTTTCGTGACAATGTAAAAGCAGTAAGGAAGTCATCCACATTTTATTTAAGCATAAGGAAGCTAATCTTCTAGGCATTTACTTGAAAAACAAGGAAGAAACGAGTTTTTTACAGACGTGAACAATAATTCTGTTGAAAGTGATTAAAGCGACTAAAATCATCTAAAACTAGTTAATGTATAATATTTTTGCCAGAGGATACAGCTATGTAAGCCTATGTTCGTCAAAAAAATTTCCAATATCTTACGAAGATGAATGGTACAAGTTGAAGCACAGTTTCATGTTTTTCTTTCGGTTAACGTTCGCTTACCTCTTTCTTACTGTCACCATCAAACACATCTTTGACACGCTGTGCGCTGCCACATGCATCCTCATCATCGCAATCTTTGGAAAACTAAATTCGAATTAAAATGGGTTGATATATCACAAAATACAAACGATAACGACGTGTTTAACAACCGTGATTGTAACATAACGAATAAGTGCGAAGTAATTATATGTCACGAGAATAAACAAAAATCTAATGCTGAAGTGAAGAAAGTTGGGTTAGATTGGTAAACAACTGACGTATTGTAATATCAGCAATAACAGAACTTGGATCGTAATAAAAATAACTTAAAAAAAAAAAATTTCAAACCGATGCAAACATGCCTCGATTTTAAAGGATAAGTTACAATTAATAAGGATTAACCTTGATACCTGATCTAAATTTTCCATAGATATAGAAATGACTTCGTACGAACGTTTATCATCTTTTTTGTCAGAGGAATTATTCTTTAAGCTGTCACCGGTAAAAGCATCAAGGGTTTCGTGATTCTGTAATATACACAATGTTCGGTTATTTGACTTTTGTCTAGAGAAAACATTAGAGCATAGCAACAAGAAACAATATAAAATGTAAGCAATTAGGAATGTACAAAGCCTTAATATTTTTGTAAGATAGTTTTCATATGGTACAATAATTTCAAATTTCAGGGTGTTATGTAACTCTATAGTATTGTTAATTATTTTAAACAATAAATAGTTATATATAATCCTAATAATTTTTCAATTAAAATTGTAATGGTTCTAAAGTACACTATGTTTTATCTTAATATAGCTATTCAGGATAAGTAATAAACTATAATAGACCTTTTCAAGGTTTTTGCAGCCATATTGCAGGGGGTGCAAAAACATTGGGCTGAGCGCGCGGTCACGCATGGCGTCCATATAAATTACTAATGCGCAAAAATTACCCTTACACATATTGGCCATTTCTTTCAAAAATATTTCTCAAACTCGTCCATTTTAATAGTCGAATTATTATTTGCGATTTTTTATACACGTGAGTCCAATTTTGTGGTAATCAAAAAGCGGAAAGTTAAAGAAAACATTTGTTTTCTTTTGATGGAAATCCAGCAAAATCTGAGGCATCTTTACTCCGTGTCCCTTAGGAATTTGAACAGGTGACGAGAGAGTATGATGTAAGTTTTCACACCGGCCTGCCATCGACTAACAGTTTTAAGTGTGTATTTGAATACTTGGCTGTTTCTTCTTCTGGATGTTTAGTCGCCATACATAATAATAAAAATAGCAATGTCACTTTACAAATAATTGGAAATACTAATAAGAGTTTGCCGTAGAATAGTTCCTCGTGATACTTGCTGACTTTGCTGTAGACATGTGCGTGTGTTACTCAAGAACATCGCTCAAACGACGTTCAAGTTGTTCAAAGAAAACCAATGTTTTCTTTAACTTTCCGCTTTTTGATTACCACAAAATTGGACTCACATGTATAAAAAATCGCAAATAATAATTTGACTATTAAAATGGACGAGTTTGAGAAATATATTTGAAAGAAATGGCCAATATGTATAAGGGTAATTTTTGCGGATTTATTAGTAATTTAAATGGACGCGATGCGTGACCGCGCGCTCGGCCAAATGTTTTTGCACCCCCTGCAATATGGCTGCGATAACCCTTAAAGGTCTATTACATTAACCACTACAAACAATATATGGACACTACAGTATTTTCTTTACAGGAATATCTTATAACACAAGTGGACATCATTTGTTTCGAATAGCTTTACAACCGAAATTGTGAAACACAATCATATTACAGTTTCACACTAGGTAAACAGTATTAATGTCTTTCCCATAAAATGAAGAAAGAGGTTACGTGCTCGTAAATTATGTTTCCACGTAAAATAATCAATTAAACTTTCTTTTTATCCCACAAAGAAATAGTATTCTTTGCAACTTTTCTTTAATCGTTAAAGTAGCGCTTCTTTATCTTCCACTTAATGTCTCGGCTGATCGTTTTACAATAGAGGATACCTTTGGTATCTTAAGAAAAGTAAAGGCAGCAACTCTATTCTGTAATGGTTTTGAGATCCGTGTTGCTTTGCCTTTAGATATCGAAGGACGGTGCACCATGTCGGTTGGTAATGTGCCTAAATCTTGTGTTAATTTCTCAAGAACTCCAGACATGTCGCCCACATTTTCAAATTGCATATTTTGCTTATTCATTAACTAATGTCTTGCATACATCGCACCGTTAATACTAGCTGATTCTGAAGGAGTGAGATTATCTGAATAAAGCAGTTGAATACCTTACTTGTATTAAAATTCGCGCAGCGCTGAGTGCGCGAATTTTAGTACTGCACGAAATATAATCCGCGCGAAAAGCTTTGTAGTGTAATATGAGACATTCATTGTTGGTTATGAAAATCAGTTGTTTTATTAACGCATATACATATTGACATATGTTTTTAGTTGTCCCGGTAACATTAAAAATCAAAAATGCCTTCATTTTCATCCTGTACAATTTCAGTCGGGATATTCTCAGGTTCTACGTAGTATTCCGTCACGAATGCCTGCATTTTGCTGTATATCCTAAAACTTGCATTGTTCTGCATGACTGTTAAGGTAATAGGAATCTCCAAGCCTCCTTGTGCTAATGGGGATCGACGAAATTTGATGTCACACACACATGCTTCTATATTGCCCCCATATTCAAAAGAACTTGCAAAATCGGAAATCTCTCGAGGCAAATGTCCGACCAGTGACAATGGTTCAATCTTGCCTCTGATTTTGGTAAACAGACCAATAGCATATGGGTCGAATAGGTTTCCTGATTCTGGTTTTATTATTAACTGCTGGTTGATTCTTGGAGCCCAGATTTTCTGTATTCATGAAAACCTCGTGATGCGCAAGCCAGAAAACGATGTCCCTCGGGGCTCAGTTTCACTGAATTAGAATCGTCCGTTCCTGAATCGTGGGTTTCCTGAAGCAAGCAATCAGATGCGTAATTTTCTTTCGCGTCGCACGCTTCACATAAAGCAACACTCGAACCACTTTTCCATCCAGGATAGTTTTTAGATGCAGGGATTGAACACTTGATTCCTCGGTTACAAACAAATGATTTGCATTTTAGACAAGTGTAATTTGTCAAATAATTGCACACGATGCAAATGCTTTCCATTTCTCCAACACAATAGTCAATGATGAGTCACGTTTCTTTAGGTTAATTATTAATAGTTCTTTTGAACAAACCAAAAAGAACGAGCACATTAAACTACTTGCGCGAATTTAAAGCTGCGCGAATAATTGTCAACAAAGTGCGCGAAATTAAATCGCACGAATTTAAAGCTGAGCGAAAACGAGTACGACTCGAATTTTAATACAAGTAAGGTAGTTAACTTTGCTTGGTCTCATACTTTCTTTTGTGTTGAGTGGTTTCCTTCCATTATTGCACACACAGTGTCTAGCCTTCCTGTGGTATCTCAAAGACTTCCAATCTATGTGTAATTATCTAATGCAGTCTGAGTAAAAACCTTCAACAATAATCTAACTTCCGGTCGTTGAATTAAGATACTTAGGCCCGGTTCAAACGTCGCATTTTACATGCGCCGAATCAAATCTGAGTTTTAGTCGACTAAAATAGTTTTATGCGTGGTTTGATTCAGACGTCGAATTTAATAGTCGCATTTATTATAGTTATGCTTCCACTTTTTCATAGTTTATTCATTTTCTTGTACTAATTTCCTAAAATGGCGAACAGAAAAATGTTGAGTTTATGCATTTCAAATATGATTCGTGTTAATAGGAAAAGACGAATATTGATGCATGTTACAGCAAATAAACTATTAGAAACGAGACGGCAGCTTCTGCAAATTTCCCATGTTTTTCTACCGTTAATTGGTCAAAAAAAGCCTTCATACGTAGCCCTCCTTATCGATCATGTCGAAGACAAGATAGAAATTCCGGCTGGTGGAAGAAAGTTTGGAGTATTTATTCTGATTCAAAAAAACATTTCGTGTATCGCGAGGAAACTTTCCTTGTACATATAAATTTTTTGCACTTTAAACAAGTGTATTTTGTTAAACTTGTGCACGAAATACAAGGGCCATTACCATCACTCGCCGCCGCCATGTTTTTACAACTTTGCGCATGGCATTTAGCATGGAAATAATTGATATTTGCTTAGAAATATCTTAAAATAAATTATGCATTAAATTCGGCTCATGTAAAATGCGACGTTTGAATCAACATCGAATTTTCGTCGAATATTCGACTAACTCAGTCGAATATGCGACTAAAGTCGCATTAAATTAAAATCCGTCGAATTTAATTGATTCAAACGTCGCATTTTACATGCACATAATTCTCGCATTTGATTCGGCGCATGTAAAATGCGACGTTTGAACCGGGCCTTACAAAAACACTCATAATATAAAGAAATTGCACTATCAACTTTTTCGTCTGCGTTTAGTAACTTCAGAATGTCTTCACTTTCTTTTCTTTGAATACGGCTGTTCTCGTAATGTTCCAGATTTCTCTGCTCGCTTTATGTTGAAGCCAGATTACGCAAGAAAATTTTGGAATTTTGCACAATTTTTGAGTATTTCTTCTAATGTGTACAGGTTCTATTGACTTCTCCCACTATTCTCGTCTTCTGCGAGCTGCTTCTAAAACCGTGCTTTGCCTTGTTTCTCGTTAGATCGGTGGACAATCAATCATGATGAATTCACATGAGATTCACCTTTATTTATTTCTATTAATTTTTATTGTTCAAATTTCTGCCAATTGATCGCCTGATCATTCTTTGGATGCTGGAAAGATTTGTGTGAGCTAAATTGTCACACCTTAAATTTACATCCATGTATGTACTCATTTACACATACGTGAATATATATGTACATCCCATGATTTTGCATCAAACCACCAGCATGGTTAGAACGTCGAAAATAATCTATTTAAGTTATTTAACAAACAAGAAATTCTCTCTATAGTATCAAATACTACGATAATACATCGTTTAATGCTCAAAATGAATAAACAAGCATTACTTTTTCATCTCAATCTGGTTGTTTTAATGTTACAAACGTTCGTAAGCATTCGCTGTTGATAAAACCTATTTTCACTTTTCGTTAAAAGCGTTTTCATTTTTTAAATAAGTATAGGAATCCATGGTGTTAGGACTAATTTTATATATTCAACGAAATTGCTTCCAGCCTGCATGTGATATCACTGGCCACCTTTCTTGGAATTCTCGGCAGATAATTCATATTTCTTCGTTTAATCGTGAAGACAGAGTAAGCCCATGTACCAGAAACTCAGAGAAGCGTTAAAGGATTTATGTACATTGAAACGATCAAACATTACTCATCTGAGAAATCTACTTGAGCAATTTCACGATAGTCAGATTTTATAAATATTTATAAAGCACAAATGACATTTTAAATATCGCCTTAAAAACAGCAATTGCCAAGGTGAATGGCAATATTCAAATTTGTCACCACGACATCTCTGTTTTACTGATGACATTATATTAGTACCATTTTACAATTACAACAGAAATTGGGTATGGCCCACAAAAGGGTGCAATTCTTACGCCTGAAGTTGCAATTTCTTCTAATCCTGTTCTGTAAACTATCTTTAAAGATAGTTTTCACAAACAGCATCTCATGCAACAGGCATGCATTCGATGTGAAAGAAAGTGCACTTACCGATGGTACACTATTCTCTAACATTGATTCGAACATTACCTCGTAATGGCCATTATTCTCATCCTATTCAACAAATACAAAAAAAATTAAGTGTATATGAACTTATCACTCATAACACATGCAACACTTGAGATTTGGGCCGGGGTTTCCATTCATTAAATATATTGTACTTCGAAAGATTTGGTTCATGCCCAAATTTCTTACATTTTTCAGGGAGCAAACTCTACATGTTGCGTTATAAAACAGTTTTTAACGATGATAATATAAATTACTAGCGATTTTGTGATATTACATTCGTCTTCGCATATCAACAATCATTCAGGCCTCGGTCAAAGTTATCCGCCTTAGTTTTGCTTTGGCTAAATATTGGCTGTCTCTTGAAATGGAAAAATCAAAAGAACAAAATATTTGTAAAAAAACCTTTGTAAAAAAACTCTTATTTTATGTTGCACAACATACGACGGAATAACCGCCAGCCTGATGTAATTTTTCCAAGCAAACATATTACCAAACTTTGCACAGAAATGTTTCATATCATCTCGTTCTAATGACAAGTTCAGGAACAACGCACAAGTTGAGAGAACAATGTACAATAAGGAGCAATAGCTGCACGCCAATAGATTCGTGCATGAAATTACCTCGGTAGTTTTTGATGGTTTTTCGTGCTCACCACTCCCATCAGCCATGAAGGCATGAAGAGGATCCAGAAAATGAACCTTGACGCAATTCAGAAAAAGATCGATAAGCACATAGGTAATTTTTAAGAAGGTTTGTTTATAATAAGGCCCTTGTTTATAATAGGACACAATAACAATAAGATATTTGAACACATTTGAACATATTCTTTGCTGCGAGGTGCAGCAAAGAATAGCATTTGAGATATACCTCCTTTGACATCACTTCATACGTTCCTTTGTCCTACAGAAACATTCACAAAACTCAACTTTGACACTTTTTAATACTGTTTTACAAAGTTTACATTAGAGTGAAACAATAAGCTGCTAGCAGACTCATGATGTCACGAATGGATTCTTTCGGGATATAATATCTCTGATGTCACTGAAACAATGTTATACCTTTCCCCTTTCATTTGAGCCAACAAAGCCGCTACCGCAATCATCTTCGTCATCGCAGTTTACTTTTGTTAAACTCTAACAAAAAAAGATGAAAAAGTTTTAGGGGCTGATTACATCGACGAGTTGTCCTGCCTAGGTCACTAAAATAAATTTATATCGAATTTAAAAACTCAGTTTAATGCGGATGGACAAAACTGTGAAGCAGTGCGTTTGATTCACAAGTAACGAGACAATACATTTGGTCCCGCAAAGTTGACAAAACAGATAGGCATTTATGCATCTTTACTAAAAATTACTCACCAATGCAGGTAATTGTAATTGTACCTTCATGTAATTGCAATTTTAACTCGTCTTGGCTAGGCGAGTTGACCGTTTAAGCGAGACAACACACCTCGAGTAATCGGTGCATTGAAAGCCTGGTTTAAATTAGGCCGTGATAGTAATCAACTCTTTAAAGCAAAATTGTAAGCAAAGTAAGTACAAATCAGTTAGAGAACAGCGTATACTCTCGTGAAAATATCATCCAAAAAATATTTTGATACTTTCGCACGTATAACTATGTTAAAAAAAAACACAGTAAAAAGTTTAATTATAGAACAAAACAAAACAAACAGTGGGTGGAGGTTGCATCTTGCATCACAGTTGTGAATAAGTGAAAGTACAAAGAAATTAATAATGGTTGAAAAAACAAGTTAAAAAACCTACTGACTTAATCTTGCCTTCATCTTTACGAATAAAAGATTGAGCTTTTCCAAAATCTAAAGAATACCAAGAATTTATTAATGATATTTACGCTTTTGTAAAAATTCTTTTACAATTAACGAAAGTCTTTTTCTTGCTTTACTATTATAACATCACTACTTTGACTTTAGCTATGTAAATTACAGCATTACTCTCATTGGCTGAAATCGCTTTTTCAAACGAGATAGAGTTCGTGTATTCTAAATTAAGCATTAGAAACATTAGAGATGAACACTCGTGTTGCAGGTTTTGAACTCAAAGCTGAAGTTCCACTTGCGGAAACAAACGTATGAATAAGCACGTCATTTCTCGATGACCTAGGTCAATCGCAAAATATCGCCAGAAGATCAGGCAAGAAAGTGAGTGTCCGCACTGCAACACCGTATCATTTGCTTGAAAATGCTTGCATAAAAATGAAAACAATTTATCTTTAGAGAGTTAATATGCGCAACGCGGTCTTCGCTCAACATGACATTAAAAGCAAGTAATGCAAATAGCTACGATTCTAAAACCCAACCAATCACAGCGATAGACCTACGTATGTAAATTAAGCATTGCATTACGTAACTGTCCATAATCAGTGTTTATACGTATATAGGACTTTTCTAAAGATGTTTCTCGAAGAGCCGAGTATATGCAAATAAAAAACGCCTCTTGTTTATACGTGATCAACGCAACTTCAACCCCAATACTTCTCCGCCCATTTACATAAGCTATTTAAGATGATAAGAAAAGCATAAATAGATACATTCTTCAGGTCAAAATAATAAAATACTCAGGTAGCATGTACATAGAAAAGGTTATTCGTGATACCTTTCTTAAAAAATCTCTTTCTAAAGGAAGTCTGACAATGCGCTGTTACAGTTGGCAAACAAAATATTTCAGGCAACTAAACTAATAAACGGAAGGGAGTTCTAACACAGTGCGCGTTATGTACAGTAGGTTGAATTGTAAACACATAACGCTCAAACATCTAATACATAACAATACCTAGAATTTCCTCAAAGCGGTTATGAAAATACTATGGGGAAAACATTCGTTTTCAATTACACAGCAAACCTGCAATAACTAGAATTTCCTCAAAGCGGTTATGAAAATACTATGGGGAAAACATTCGTTTTCAATTACACAGCAAACCTGCAGTCAATGCTTTGATCATAGGCAACAAAATTGTTTGTGAAATAGTCATACACAATAATTTAAAAACAGGAAAAATGCTGGTCGTCAATCAAATGATGGCCACGCATAAACCATGAGGACCATTAAGTTCATACAATGTGAGTTAAGTACATTTGAGAATTACTTGAAATGGAAACAGGAATAAAGACGCCTACTCTTGGCAACAACGTACATTTGCAATATTAAAGATATTTTAAGTATTTAGTCCTTCGCAATGGTTGAACGTACTTTGATGAGTGAATACTTTATCGGATCCCCCCCATTATTATGATTATATGTATCAATATCTTAGATACGTTTTGTGATTCCAACATTCTTTTATCTCAAAAGCATGTGAGAACCTCATACATAATCAAACGCGCTTATCCTAATAGCAATTACAAGCTGTAATAAGCACATAGCTATTCTCGTTCCCACAGAAACAGATGCTTTAAATTCCATGACCATATCATTTACTTGTCCGCCGAATATTGCAAACAAAACAGATGAATTAGTTCATTCTTTCACAACACAGAAAATATTACGAGGTTTATGATTCATTAAACTCCTAAATGCAAAAACTGCATGGAAGCTCTGTAAATGTTTATCGTACAGTTGAAAAGAATGATGACGAAATTGTTTCTCCCGCTTTATCCGCTAATCTCCCTTTCTGTTAAATCATACAGAATATGGCGTTTTTCATGAAACAAGCGTATGAAGACGTTGGAATTCACTAACGATAAAACGAGAAAAGCAGCCTCTAGTATGATATGAAGACGTACCTATATACGAGCCACTTACGGGAAAAAATTACATGAAACGTTGCTAACATGTTAGTGTGCACTTGCTTTCGACCCCCACGAGTGAAATTTTCTTTTTTATATTACACAAGATAATGAAAGATATTCTAGCTCTTTCCCACTTCAACTATGTGTTACAAAAAACTTTATAGCCCTATTCATAAGAACTCAGATATTACTTTCCATATTATTTAAAGTAGCAGGGACTATACGAATTATGTTAGATGAAGTAAACGCAAATTTCTTTCTAAGTAACAACATGGAAACGTGTTTATTTTTTTATCTTTAGACGAGTAATGATATTGCCTTCCATATAGGCGTTATGTTATATTTTCACAAAGTACAATAATATTGAAATTATACAAAGCGCAATTTTCAAAATTGTCTCTATTTCATTGCATGTTGCACTAAACGACACTTCAGAAGTACACGTGATTGCTCTTGAACATTTCTCATCAGTGGCAAACAAATCTCATTAACAGTATAGTTATACATAAATGATTGGACTTGACATTTTCTATTTTTTACACAAATTCAATTTTGGATTAACAAAGTTTCACAGATAGGTGAAATAAGGAACATTGGCTAATCAACAGTTATACATTTCTCCTAAAGTCGAGTAAAGTTTTTGTTTACGAAGCTTTTATATAGGCTGTTTCTCTTCTAACTCGCTTAAGAATGAATAGATTCGCAATACTCACAATGTGGCATGTTAATAACTAAAAGTATGTTGCAATATGTGAAAACATTGCATGAGTATAAAAGACGAAAGCCCATAATAGACGAAATTGACATTATGAGCACACTAGGATATTACGAGAAATTTCTTTCTATCAATAGGTAAAATTGAAATAACCCTACATAGTACGTCTCTAAATATACTGTCAGAGGCATTTGTTTGACGAAAACGTCAGCAACTGCGATCACCCGCTGCCGCATTAATTAAACAAACTTAATCAGAAATAAGTACTTAAATGGATGAGAATGCTTTGATAAATGTTTCTTTACGAAATTTACAAAAGTTGCCAATGAAGCAGTTCCCACGAAGTGTTTCGTTTCATACCACTTAAAATATCGTGTTAATATGCTACAGTCGAATTAAGTGAAAATGCAGCAGAAATCCGCATTGGCATTAAGAGAAAAAGTGAATGCAACAAAGCCGCAGCACATTAAAGGATTCATAAATGAGTCGTTTGCATTTTACGGGGGATACATGCACCAAGTGTAAAATATATATTTGGATTTCTATAATTGGAATGAGATTCTCCATCCAACGTAGTTATAGGAAGTTAGAGTCTTAATGGTAAGTTTAAGTCGATAGTTACAACCTTTCGAGCAAATATGCTAGATTTTGCGTACAAATATTCATTATTCTTATGTCTTAGAGATGAGGAAATTGTATAGGACGTAAACAGTCAATTTAAATATGAAATACTATAAAAAACATTCTATCGACAAGAGCTTAAGTTTAGCAATGAACAACGACGAACTCCGTTTTCAGTTTAGTTTGAAGATAAAAGAATAGTCAATCTATATTCTGCCATTGGTTCCTATGTTCCACAAATCTATGATCGCATGTAATTTTGCCAGACGTATTATTAATGCTTGAGCACGTATTTAAGCAAGCATTAGTATGTTCAGAAGTAACACCATCGCATTGGTACATAACAGATTTAAAAGTATACCTTCATTGGTTAATCCTCGAGTAAAGCAAGAATAACAAGTCACCATAACTAAGATGACGAGCATCCTTAAAATACTTTCTCTCAAGATCATCCTCTCGACTTTGCGTCGCAGTTATCTTTGAACAGTCAGAACTTGCTTATTTCAAAGGAGTAATGAAATTTCTAATTAGATCACACAAATTTTCAACATATACGAATTGACATATGGATTAATCCAGGTCCATTTGTCTATAGCGTGCGTTTATTCAGTCTAGAAGTTTAGCGACACTTCTCATAGATGACAAACATTACCCAACCTAATGAGATACAACAATGATTGCACAGTCAGGAAGCATCATAAGAACCGACGATACGATCTCAATATTCGATGAAGCATGACCATGGGCCGACCTTGAATTTGCATTGGCATACTTTATATAGTCACTGCTTACCCGCAAAAAGCAAAAACAACATGAACACTTTTAAGCAGGTAAAAATACCTCAATAAAAAGACATGATTCAACTATGAAAGCGTATGAAAAATTGGTTTTGGCGTAATATAATTTCAACTATTGCGTAGCACAAAAACACTTTTTAACACACGTCTGCCTAAATGGTCTAACAAAAAACTTTTCAATACACTTATGCTTCTATAAAATGCAGGTATTAATTTTTAACAAGTACCATTAAATATTATTTGAAATGTAACAATATAAGTGCTTGCAAAAGTGTAAATGGAGATAGCAAAACATGCTTCAGTGCCGTTATATAGGCATGCAGTGCACAAATCTAATTGCATACCTGTCATTTATGTTCACAAAAGAGAGAAGAACAAGTGAGAATTTTCTCGAATAATAATTTACGCAAAATAGTGTTTTACTTAGGGAGATTATGCTTAACAAATAAATTATGCATACGAAAGCACATTGTCAACAAAATGTTAAGAAGAGCCAGCACGTGTTGTAAAGTGTTAAAATGATCAGTAGCCCTCATTTGAATATTTGCAGTGGGGACTACTTACTGTACAAAAAGCATCTGAAACTTTAGCTCCTCGAAAAGAAAAATGTCTTTGACGAAAAACTACAGAAACTAGACATCATGGTACCATGTGAGTATGTGCTTCATGAGATCGATGGGCGGGGAGACCATCATGGGCGATTGCAATTCTAGCTAACTAAGCTAAAAACTAAAAGTTGACTAAATTATAAATTATACGCTAATTTATGCTTGAAGTAAGTACACCTGCTGGCGATTTGTCACTGTAAGTGCAAAAGCAAAGATAGGATGCTAATGTGCAATTTTTTGCATGCTTGGCTCCCAACACTAGTTACGACAAATTTCCCATTATTTGAGAGCAAACCGATGACAACAAATGCCGTATGCACGTTACAACAAGCATTTCGTCATTTTATTAGTAATAATATTCATAGTTAATAATGTAGCACATGTACGAAAAAGCCATTTGTGATATAGCCATATACGGCAATTATTAACAGATTTGTATGTACAGAACGCATGCTAACTGCATTTGATATATTTGGCGAACGGTTTTGTGACCTTCTCAATTACATCAGTTCTATAAAAAGATTTGCGTCAAACCTAACCATTTTGAATTTGTGCCAATTGACATTGTGTATATTTCCAACGACATATTTAGATAACCCAAGTGAGAATAATTTCGAGAAAAGTGCAGAGATCCGAAAAAAATTACCTCAGAAAAGCCTTGTTTGAATACTGACAGAGAATTTCTCGTTAAAATCGTCGAAAAATGGCTAAACAAAGACTTAAACTTGTGAGTGTTTCAAGATGTATTGGAAAATATATTGGACCCTGAGACTTTACATCGCCACGAACACTTACAGTAGATTTTGAAAGTTAGAGGTGTATATCATAGGTTCAAGAAATTTAACGCGCGCAATATTATGGCTAAGATAATGGCCTACAGAATATATACAGCCACTATATGCATGCTCATCAAGTTCTTACTATATTCCAGTGGTTAAAAAATATATAAATCCTTACAATTGTGGTGTTTTGCTCATCACAATTCACCATTAAAAATGTTCAAAAATGTAGGACAAACCTCTTCAATCTCCATTTTCGTAATCTTGTCAGGATGAACGAGGAGATGCACGTGAATGCGCGAGAAAACCTAGACAAGATAAAGTTGAATTTAATAAGGGCGAGCGACACCTTAATATCTTATATATACCACTATTGGCCTTATTATATAAAGGCTTCATTGATTTTCATAAACAAGGCTAGAAAATGTCTCGTGAGAAGAAACTTGGAAGTTCAAAAGTTCGAAAGGGTTTAAACAATCAGTTTAATAAGAAACCCGAATCAAATATTGCTGATGTATAACGCCACGAATAATGGCATTATAATGGGAGTTACAATGTTTTGTTGATCAAAAATAACAAACATTTGCAAAATAAAAAAATGCACGACAAGGATCCTTCAAATTATGGTCGCAACTCCAGGCACAAAAAGTATAAGGGCAAGATCCCACTGCAGTTTTTAAATAAATGACGAAGGACTCCGATAAGCGACAATCCCCCCACCCCCCCCCCCTCGGGAATATTCTTAACACTGCAAAAAGCCTAATGTTTAGTATGAAAAAATAATTTTAACTAAAAAGAAATGTCCGTTTGAACGGTTTTCATTGGGTAGGATAGATTTACATTTATTTATAGCTACTTCTCTCACAATAATTATATGTAGTCCAGGATGGACATAGTGAAGTTAAAATCTTTGAAAAAGACAAAGCGATTGCCTGTCTTTTTGATGGCATTCAAATCCTTCAAAACCAGAATAACAGTACAATCGATAAGTCAAACAAAACAACCCAGAGAGAACTCATAGCTAGATGTTTTGCAACGCAGCGTCTGGCATGGGAATCAATTTTACGGTCACTGAAAGTTTTTTGTGTAGTTACCAAAGACCTTTAATGACGAAATAGTCCAAAACCGCAAGGAAGTAGTCGGATATACATGAAAGAGAAAAAGACGCAGGTGGTACCCGTATAGGTTGCCTTTGCTTTGTTTAGAAACTGAGAAAAAAATTTCAACATATATGAGTTCAAAATGTTAATGGATGGAATAATAACCTTCGTGTGGAACGCTTTAGTTTTTCACTTCACGTATGCCATTGACGATGAACCATTAAACACAAGGGATTTTTACAGACAGATATACAGTGATGTTTGCCCGTCAGGAAAGCTTTCGTGTCTCCGGGAAATTATGACAAGTTCCTTTCAATTGTCATTGCCGAGAACGACAGTTGATAAAGTAAGTTGAGTTATTAACTAACATGTGTTTGTTTCAGAAGAGGTATTTATTTTATAAGTTTGCAAAAATATTCAATCAAGAAATGTGTTTTTCACGTGGAAACACTATTTTCTCCAGAACGCACAAAAAAATTCAAAACATCACAAACTATTTGTTCATGTGATTGGGACTATAAAAGAGCAATAAATATATATACCGAGAAAGATTACCGGTGACTGAATATGTCAAGCTGCTATGAAAAAATACGCAGTGAAGAGCGGGTTATGGTAAAACATGGAAACGGATAATAACAGCGGATGAAAAATCACGGACGGATGACATTCGCGGAAGGACGGAAGAACGGATGAGCTAATATCACACAAAACGTGTGTTTTGAGGCTTATCCGTGTTTTATCCAAAAGGGTAAAACGCAAATATGGTTTAAAATGTGACTTTCACGCTATTTTAATAATCAAGTACATGATAAGATTAAGATGTAGCTATAATTTATGATTACCGCGAGCTTTTCTTAAACAACATTGAAAAACCACGCGAACAAGTATATTTCGTTTTAAAATATCTGATTTCTTTCAAAAATTATTCGTAAGTACTCGTAACTCCGTAAATCAGTCAATTTTAAATATAACACAACACTAGAGAAGTTTTAAATTGGCGGTATTATAATCAGATTGAAATTTAAATAAGCATGCCAAATTTTCTAAAACACAACGATTAGTAATTTTTATTATAAAGTATTACTTAGCCTGAAATAGAAATTCCGTTGGATAGCAAATCTTTTAAACACTTCGTTACTTATAATAAAACTATTTTACGAGTTACTCGCAGCGAGCTTACCATGACTTGCAGCATAGTTAAATTAATTGAACAAAATTTTTTGATCGCGCGAACAGACTCGTATGCTCGCAGCAGGAGCATTTTGCGATGAGTGGAAAAGAGCCCTAAAAGTCACATTTTACACCACATCCGCGTTTTATCCTTTCGAGTTGTTTGCAACAAATCATTTAACTAAGCCGGAAAACCAACTTAAGTAGGTTGTACACAACTCCCTATACATTAATGCAACAAAACTATTCAAGCCATCAAAATACGAGCTGACACAAAATAAAGACCTTTAGATAACGCGTCCTACGTCAAGCAGCCAACTGTTAACCCCAGTTAGCTTTTAGATTTCATATAAAACCTCACCCTTTCATATAAAAGCCACGATTTGTAGCGTCAAGATTTCGTGCCAGTTGTTTTTAATAATTGTACTGTGTGACTAAAAACTATTTTGTAGAACGTTCTGTTCATTGATATTGCTCTCTCGAATATCGAAAATTCAAAAAGACGTTAAAATACACGTTTGCACGACTCTAACATATGGTTCAAGCATATGATGTCATAAATAACCTGCTTTCATTTCAAGATAGGTTCAAAAGAACAAATAAAATTCACCAATGGAAGAGAACGCATTTTGAAATCATTAAGTAAAAGTCCACCTATCCTTGGTAAGTTACTCCACGAGAGCGTACAAAAAAGGGAGAAATGTTATTTTCGAATACATCTTAGCTAGATCAACTACCAAAAAATGATGAAATCATCGCTCCTTTGTTTGTTCATTTTTACTGAGTAGTTCTCGGACTCTCTTGAAGCAAGCAATAACAAGAAACTTATCCTTTGTTGTTTCACACATCAAAAAGTGTGTCTATGATACAATTTACCGTACCAACAACCGAATTAAAAGTTAGAGTGAGAAACGCATTTTTTTAAAGTTTAACCTTCAAACATAACCTCTGTTAGTGACATGTGAGCATAGACATTTAGACAAATGTGTTTTGCGAAAGTATTCGATCCGGATTGACTCAAGACCCTTTTTTCACAGTTAAATTTCTAAGAACTTCGCACATATTCAAAATATGATGTATACAACCGCGTAAAAAAATCAACCAAATTTACGGTTTCTATCAATAAACTATGCCATAGTGATAAAATGCCTCACATATAAATTATACCTAACTTGTGTCGCAATTATTTTTTTACAAAGTGTGCAAATTTCAATAATATGTCTTAAAATTTGAAAAACAAAAGCAAAACATCGATACTCACCAAATTCACAGATTTACACCATCACATCATGACAAGCACTACGTAAATCTAAAAAATAATCAAGATGTTCGTTAATAAATTGTGAGGAGAATATATTTGTGCAAGTTAGAACTATCAACTTGGCTTGTAAAAATAGAATTAATGTGATTTCCACAAACAAGCGCGAACACAAATTAAACTTCTCAAAGTAGTGTAGTGTAAAAATCTATCCGATTGTTTTGGAAGATAGATTTTTTGGGATAAGATTGACGGTTCGAAATTTTAGGAGAATTCAATAAATGATTTTGATAAACAAAATTTTCAAAAATTTTTCTTCGTATACAATTACAAAATTATCATTAAATTACAACAACATACATTATTTTTTTAAGAAATTGAGAATTTCTTCACGGAGGAAGAATGTGAACTTGTAATTGATTTAGCCAAGGCAAAAGGAATGGTGAAAATCCACGTAAACACTAACATCGCCACTATGTTTAAAGATGAAATTCAAGAAACTTTCAACATGTGGAATTTAAATGGCGACGAGTATGTTGACGCAAATGAGGTACTCAGCAATACAATAAGTACTCAGCAATACAATAAAACATCACTTTTAATCTGTGATTTAACTTCGCACATTTAAAGCCACATTTAAACCATATTTTAATCAACAGTTAACTTTTGAAATGAAATGTATGTAAAAGAGCGTTTTATCCTTGCTAAGATATGACGACATAAGAAACCTTTTTGTAGGTGTGAATGCTTGAAATGTTTGGGAAGGCTTAAAAAGAAATTTCACGGGGTTTAGGGTTTTTTTCAATGACTTTAAGGGAGCACAACAGGAGGAGGTTAAGGAGTGTCAACCCCAGTTTTAGTAAATGTGTATACGAGAAGTTGGTTTAGCACGTACCACAAAAGTCAGTTCCAGAACGTAAGAGAACACCTCACATCCCACTCCCTTCCCTAAGCCTCCTATCACTTATTGCACATCAGCAACAAAGCAACATGAAACTTTAGAAAAACTATACATGTAAGCTAAACATTAAACAAACATTAAATGAAAACCAACTCAAAACTTCTACAGGTTGCCTACGTCTACGGAAAAGCCGCAATGTTTTTAAGTAAGCAGAAAACTCTGGAAATGTAAGTAAAAAAACCTAAACATGTTTGTAGTGCTCAGTACTCACCTTGTTCGGAGATCATTCCTTTTATCCAGAAGATTAAATTCATATGGCCTTTCTAAAAAGAAAATACGTTGAAAGTAAGTTAATGCAGCTTATATATGTGAATTTGATCGGACATAACAATTGAAAATACGGCGCCACTCTTAGCTTTGGGAATTCAAACACGAGATATATTAATTAATAATCACAGTGGAGCCACTGACATAACGATAGTGATTTTTACATCCGTGATTTCCAGATAGATTTAGCAAAAGTTTACGATTTATATAACTTTAACCATAGTATCTATCATGAAAAACAACATGCAGGAAAAAGTAATGTCCTCTTTCGAGGAAAATATAATGAAAAACGTCAATCAACATGGAAACCAAAAAACCCTTGGTGTAGTACACGTAAATTTGGACATCAACAGTTATTTTCTTGTAGGCTGAAAGAAACAAAAATTGACAGAAATAATGACGGTAAGACGGTATCTTGAGCATTTACTCATCTTAAGAACCATGTGATACTTAAGAGCCGGTTATATATGGGGCGGGTTGTCCTGGCTAGCTGAGGTGAGACAAATTTACCACAATACCTTACATAATTAGTAGTAAAAAAACATTGTGATTACCTGGGAAGCGAGTCAACTCGCTTTGCTAAGACATCGGTTGTAGACAACGGGCTTGGCAATCCGTGATGAAAATGGTCCCACTTTCTCATGAATCAAGAGTTCTCCAAGCTAAGTAAATTGAAAACGTTTGTAAAACTTGGGTATCCCAAACGACTTGCTTTGCCGTGTCAACTCGGCCCATGCAAGCAATCATACCCTCAAATGCTAAGTACTTTTGATGCATGCAAAGTAGCTTAATGATATAATAATATTATAACAATAATAATAATAACAATAATAATAATAATAACAATAACAATAACAATAACAATAACAATAAAAATAACAATAACAACAATAATAATAATAATAATAATAATAATAATAATAATAATAATAATAATAATAATAATAATAATAATAATAATAATAATTATAATATAAAAATAGTATAATTTGCTACTATACTTTGAGTTATATATTTCGCAAACATGCATAATTTAGATACTACAATAGCGTAATAATAAAAATCACCAAAAAGAGTTTTTTCACAAGCTGAAAAAGAACTCGCGTGTCCAGCAAAGAACATTAACCATATTTTTTAACCTACAAATTCAATCTGCAGGAAAACTTGACATTAACGAATTTAAAAGCATTGACAAAGAAGCCATTGACGTGTTCTTCGAGAAACACAAGAAAGAAACGAGCTCGTCTGTTCTCAATAAAACATTTACCCGACAAACATGGCTTTGGCACGACGAAGATGAGCTGCTCGCGTATGAAGATCTATTTGATGATTACCACGAAAGGTAAACACTAAATATTTTTTCATTTAGGGGTGTGGATGTGTGGACACCCACAAACTTGTCTTCTTTCTTAAACGTTCATCATATGAATGCAATGTGTTTTACATATGAATCGTTTATTTGACCTTCACTGCCATGACCCAGTTAAAAGAAGACAACTTGATTCATGTTTCCTCTTAAAAATCGTCGTTGTTCTTAAATATTATCAAAATAAAACTCGATCAGTTTCATATACAAGTATTATGGATGACCACATCTAGTGAGCATGGAGCACTCACGACTTTTAAAAGCTTCCAAAATCCCTCAACCGGCCATAATCTGATATTCACAATTAAAGAAAAAATATTTTGGTTGTCAATGTTAGTCTCTCACTGGTGTCATGCAGTGATATATTTCATTACAATAAGATCTAGTGCTACTTAATTAAATTTTCTTAAACTTAACGATGTCTGTTTTAGCAACAGGGACAGTGATACGGGGATAGGCCTTAACATAGCAAAATTTTTGCCTCATCCCTAAAATATTATATTTTACTTACATTTTACGACAGTCATGACCTAATCCTGGCGGAAAATTTTAAAAAGATTTCAGGAAAAATTTTCTTTAAAAGTGGTTGCCTGTAAATTTCTATATATGCATGGTACTATTAAAGTGCCTATATCATGTCTTTGCAATTAGGCTATGTAGATAGTTTATAAAATTTTGTCAATATATTTTATAATTCGAAAATTTAATCTTCGTGCATTTTTTAGAGCTCAAAGTCGGTGATTATTTTCCAGACCGTGACATTAAAAAAACTAGGGCGACAGCGTAGATCTGACGTCACATCGGGAACACGTTTTAAGAAAACACTGTATTTTACACATAATTTCCTCAAATGCAGCTATATTGTTGCATTACCCACGTGTATTGCATCTTGTGTCAAGGATTCTCATAAACATGCCATTTTAAACAAAATACAACAGATGAATTCCCGATGGGACGTAAAAAACAACATTTAGTTACCAGCTTTTTTATACTGGCGGTCAAACAATGAAAACCAATTTTTCAACTTGAAGTGCGAAAATATACAGCAAAATCATATTATCATTATCCAACTATAAAATATATTACAAAAGTTTTTAAAGTAGCCTGAACTATCTAAATGGCAGAAATGCAAAAAACATGGCACTTTAACTTCATACAGGATAGAATACAATGTAATCTTACATAGTATTGATACATTTGTTTACAAATATTCTTCCGGCGAGCAATTTTGCAAAAAAAAACATTCCTGGCAACAGCGTTGTAGGACATTTCTTAGAGCTGCTAATGATATGGATAAAGACTAAGATCCATTTTACAATAACGTATTGCTATCGGAGGAAATTAAATTTTGTACATATATAAAGGCAGGGACATGTTTACTTGTTCAAAGCACAATGAGATAGATTAAGTCTATCACCTTAATTAACAAGCATTTAATCTGAATTGTGACTCCTTTAAAGCAAACAAAGATGCCATGATAAACGATTATCGCATAGTGTAAACTCAAAAATATATCTAGGAAAACCAGTTTGCCTTTAATGATGACAGCATGCAAAGAACGCTCTAAGTCAATGAAAGTATACTGAATCGTGCAATGTATTACGTACTTGTTGAAATTAATTTAACTGTATAATACAAAGTTTAACAGGATGCTTACCCGATTTGCAGTTATACAAGGCTTTCTTTAACATGTACTTTCGTTGCATAACGCACTTTAAAGAAAATGTTAATCTACTGAAAAAAAATAAAGTTATTACTAAGGATTATACACAAATTTGACGAGTGCACTTCCCTAACGTTAACTGCGAAAGAAACATAATATCGTAGCATCGGTAGTGGAATTTTGATGAATTTATATATATATATCACAAAACGCATGGCATCGGACTACTTTACGTAGCTACATAACTACGTTAAGATGCTATAGGCATCATAAGCTAGATATTTTTTGCAGTGATGTAAACATTTCAAATTATACATATTGAAAATTGCTTTGCAATGAAGTTTCTTTTACCTCACGAGTGTTTTAGAAATATTGGCACGTTACTTTTTGCATCATCGTTTCCTTGATTACAAAAAAATGGTTTGAGCTTTGACATATCAAAAAGGCATTGTGTACAAGTTCGTCCAACTAAAACAAGTTTTTATTTGACGAAAAAATTCAGCTGATTAAAGAGCAAAACACCAAACTTTGTCTATCATTTAAACAGAGAAAATTCTTGTAACTCGAGATCAGAGTGTTTTTATGGAAAATTTTATTTTTAAAAAATGGGGAGTTTTCCTATTTTCGATACAAACATTATAAATCTGACATACTTTCCCAAGTTTTCATAAAAGAAAACACTCGTGCATGAAAACAGCGACCTCAAAACTTTTCTAGAAGCTTTATTATACTTTCAACACCAAAATCATGCATTAACATTCATGTGAAATTACCAGCGAGTGAGCACCATGAGGCATTTCAATTTCAATACATAATCGACACAAACATTTCACCTGTTAAAAAATAATACGAAAATTTTAATGATGTCAACAACCAGCAAAACTTTATGGCAGATTACAAATTGCATGTCTATTAAACGAACAAATGCCTAACGCTAAGATGCAGTGAAGTATTTTTGAGATATGCCTGGGTATGCATGAAAGGTTTGACATGATTGGGTTATGCAATAAAATCGGGTATGTGCATCTAAAGCAAATAGTTTTATCGGTAATGTTGCAATACAATATTTTACTATCAATACCAATTAAATTCACAAATGCATTTAATTTACGCAAACAGAATTCAATTGTTGACAAGATTGCCGAAGAAAATTATTGAGAACAGTGAACCAATGCAGGTAATAATAATTTGATCGTCTCAAATAATTTAACATAGTTTTCTTGTACAAAATACCAAATAAGAATGTAACTTAAAGCATATCAAATCATAGAAACTTATCTGAAAATCCTTTTGACTTGCTGCAATAGCCAATTAAAACTGGATAGTCATATTTTTACACTTGACATTCATGATTCATGATTTTACTCTTTATTACAATATCAAAATCTTTTACCTAAATTTCAGACAGTTTTTCAAAAGATAACATCATATACGTACCTTAAGGAATGGCATAATTTTGTTCGTATGCAGTCAAAAGTTATCTACATCTAAAAGAAAACTTTGGACTGCATAAGAATAAAAGCACGTGAATAAAGACGCAGCAATTTGTGGCAAACGTATTTGTCGACGGTCAGTTACTATTATAAAATAAAAAGCGAGAGCTGGGTTTACAAACTTTGCCATTAGCTGCAACTTTCCCTTGATCTTTGATGCACTTTGATGCAATTTAATTCACAAAAAATATCTGGCCGTGCAGAAACATGTAGCTATCGTAACATTTAGTGCCATTATTAACGAAGTGCGAGGTGTTTTGGGAGAAATATCGGATTAAGTTTCTTTGTACAGACCGAGCTCGTAAGACATGGTTTGCACAAAAAAAACTGACGTCCGATATTTCTCAGTAAAGATCGAGAAAGCGAGGTTAATAAAAGGTTTAGTAAATGGTATATATAACCTGAAACTAAACTGTCTTTCCTTTTTGTCCTCGCTGTTTTGTATACGGGTTGACTTTCACTTCCCTAGTTTCACTTCTTTACATTTATTTGCAAAATTACGCGCTTTGGACCGTAGTCCAATGCGTAGTCCATTACGGAAAAAAATTGACCGGCAAAATGTTTCTGAGTCAATCAAAGCGTGCCATTTTGCCCAAAGTGACGCATGTCATGTAATGATTACGTACAACAATATGGTATGAATACAAAAAGACTCGTCTATTGCGAATAGAATAAAATCGTTTTATGAGCCAAAATTATATACAAATAGCAAATAGCATGTCTAAATTGCAAAATGTGGATAGAAACCGTAAAATACTTTTTGAGTTAACTTATAATGAAGAAAAACATTCGCATTTCAGGTCGTCAATTATGAACATAATGGCTACCATCACTGTCATCACGACACACATAGTTTTTCAAAAGAGTTGCCATGTTGTCAATATGGATCATCAAATTGCAGGATTTGCAGGTAGCTATGACCGCATAGAATATACGTACGTATTAATTTGTAAAGCAAACAAAAACAAGACAGGATGGAAGACGTTCGCATTAAAGTAACAACGTAAGTGCAACCTTACCAACATGTTTCGAGATAATAGTCAGGAACCGAGTTTCAACCAGTTGATGTAGTAGCATTGTACGAAACTTTTAAGGTAACAAAACAAGTGCTGCAAAAAATCAGTTAGTTAGCATCTTATAGTAAAAATTTATAGCTTTATATTTAATGGGAAAAAACATCCACATCACTTTCCTAGTGTACTTGACTAATATACGTTTATCGAATTTGCTTTATGATGCAAAGTGGGATTATTCAAATGTACCGCATTTGGCTGCTAATGCCCACAAATTCACACAGTGGTATACAAAGTAACCAAAAAAGCCCAACAACCATCAATGCTTAACTAAATACAAAACAAAAAGTTTCTACGACTGAAATTAGGTAATGAAAAATAACAAAATCATAAAACTTTTTACAATGTGCGCCTGCACTCTGTAGCCTTTTGGAAAAAATCTTAAATATCACCTATTGTGAAGCAATTACAAGAAAAAATTACTGGGGCGGATTTCCTGGGGGTGAGCACACATCCAAAAAAAATGTTTAGAACCCTTCCTCTTATGAAATTCTAAATATTACGTACTGTAGACTATTATTATAAAGTTATTAGAGGCTATGAAATTGTACAGTAGGACTGAATAAAAGTAAAACTTATCATTTAAAAGACAATTACATATTTTATACCACCACTATTTGAAATTCAGTTGCTACCATTCACGTTTTCATTGAAACATTAAAATTGAAAAAATTACAAAGCATTCATTTCCAAAAAAATTTCTAAAAAGGGAATAGTACTTCCTTCACCAAAGGTTAACTCATCTGTAAGCCTAAAAATCCACAACAGCCTGAGGCTCGTGCAACTTAAGTTAGGATAACGATGCACACGCCCCCTTGAAAAATACTGCACCCACCAATCAAAAAAGCACTGATCCGCTCGTGCAAATTATATTGTATGCATGTCTACAGATATATATATATTTGCCTAGATACTTAACTATAATGGTTTATTTGAATGATGACTACGAAGGTGGCGAAAAATGCTTTCCATTTGCTGATAACGACACATTTTCTCAAAAGGTAAAGAGAAATCATTATAGAACACAATAGCAGCTGTCGTGTGTTTATTTGAAAATATATATTTTATCTTATGAAAGGTTGATATAACCAGTACATTCTCAAAAATAAAGAATGGTTAACTAAAGCAATTATAGCTAAGTGAATATGAAAAAGCATCATGATTCATTTACTTATTGTCTACTTCATAACATATCATCCCATGCAACGACAAATATCAATATAATAAGTACTCGCGGCATTGTTATTTTTAAACTCCTAATGAAAGCGATACGAATGAACTATGTATTAAATTATTTGGGTAAGCACTAATCATACAAATGACTCAACAAAAACACAATTCTTTATAGGATTTACCAAGAGAATTTCTAAAGAAGTGCAATTTTGAAAAAAATTGCAACACTTGTAACGTTCTTGTGAAACCAAAGCGCGGCAAAGCGGTCATATGGTATAACCACCTACTTCACAGTAACTCTGCATGGTTGGGCGCTTTGGACGCAAATTCCGGCCATGGAGATTGCCGTTCAAAAGGTGACAAGTGGATTGCAAACATTTGGATAAATATTATCGGTGATGGTAAATACGAACTTCGCTCATGGAAAAGTGGAACAAATTGGATAAAACCAGGGAATAAATTTGCCGACATCTATTCAATCTTAGGAAATCCTGATTTAAAAACTGAACAACATGAAAGGAACTTGATTGAAATAAATTTCATCAAAGGCCCAGATACCAATACCAACTTTGGTGATTCAAGGCAGCAATTTTACAGACCAGGAATTGATGTAGAAACTGAGGATGAGAAGAATTACAAACATAGTAATGTATTGAAATCTATAATATTGTTGTTGGATGAACTAAGCAACAAAGAACAAAACATTTTAAAGCAACTGTTACAAAACAGATTAGATGAGATCCTTAAATGAGATGCAAAATTAAATGGTTAAAAAATACATGGGTAGTAATGATGAGATAAATCCTCAGTTATATACGGAATATGGAAAAATACATCAACAAATTGTTTCTATGTAGTGGCACCTCATGCAATTAAATAGCAAATGAAGCAATTCCATTATTAGAAGATAAAATTTAGAATCAACAACATTAAATATTAATGCATCTAAGAAATGCACAATAACTGTATAAATCCTGTTTATAAATCCTTGTTTATAAATACAGTTAGAAATTGTTTGAATCCAAAAATTATTTGATTAAGTATGCACTCCGTGAAAAGAAATTTGAAGTGTTAACATAAAACTGTTACAAGAAGTTGTTGTGATAAATCAACAACACTCAAGCAGATAATACCATGTAACCACTATTTTAGTAATACATATGTATTAAAAGCCAGTCTTGGGATATTTTTCTTGAGGCTGGCTTTTTGAAGTAGAAACAAGGTTGTCCTCATTACTGTCAGTGTGAACTGAGAAAATTTCTTTCAAAATACTTTTTAGCTGTTAGATCGTAAAAGACTGTACAATGTCATTAGTAACACCATCTAAAGCTCATACATAGCATAAATTTGCAAAAGTAGACATCATTATGAGTGGATGCTCCAGAAAAATAGCCACCTTTCAGGCTGTAAAAATTATAAAGTATGACTAATGGCAATTTATGAAAGTTGCAGAACCTTGAGGCCATTTCATTTTATCTGCAGTGTAACCATTCAAAAATTACGAAAATAATTAATCCTTAAATGACTGCAAAATTATGCAAAAATTACTGCAACACTATATGTGTTGGCTAAGCAATTTGTGATGAAAACATTACTTAAAGAGGTAAAGAAAATCAAGGTAGTAAGCAATCATATTTACATGCATAAGTAAATACAATTTCATACAATGAGTAAGGTTATTCATACGTCAAGCTTAGGGGGGATCACTTTCAAAAGAGATCAGTCAGACAAAGATGATAATACGAATAAACAGCCCCCAATTAAGGTTCAGAGACAATTCCTACATCAAACCTACATATGTACCTCTCAAAACTCACAAAAACAAAAGCATCATGCCTAACTCTAAGTGGTGGTAGCAGGAGAGACAGGGCAGGTATTCCCAAAAAGACTGTCATAGGCGGTAATTAGTACTCACTTCTGTATTTAAAAAATAAATACGATAAAGAAAATATGATTTGAGAGAGCTATTTTGGAGGAGTTTACTCCTATCAAAAAAACTTGTTCATGCCAGTAAGCCTAAATTAAATGAAATGAGGAGCCTTGAGTACTTCAAACTTTAGCACAAAATGCGTTATAGTATGAATTTAGTTGTTTCAAAATAAGCCTAACTGATCTTTTTTAGACCAATAATTTTTTAATTAGGTTAGAATGTAAGATATGAACTGTAAACTAGCTATTACAATTTTTACAAATTCTAAAACCGTAATAGAGATTAAATAGTTGGATCAATGACTGGTCCATTTGGATGAATTTCAAATTACGTATATATCAGCTGCTAGACTAATTTGAGCTATTAGCCAGCCGACTAAACACTGCCATATTAATTAACTTTCTATACTTTAATCGATTCCGATTATAAATTTTGCCCAATGGATAAAACAGCATATATTGGAGGAAAGGTAATTGATTTCCTACATTCAAGATTGAACGGATTCATTAAATGTATATTCTTTTCCAAAATCGAGTCAGTCAGGCTTAAAAAATCTGCGCGTAAGCTCAAAGAATAATTCCTACCTCGTAAAAATTCGTAATGAAAGCGATGAAATTCAACATTTCGTGTCTACCATTGCCATTGGTGGTCTTTGAGTGCGAGCGACAGAATGAAGAGTAGTTGCCAAAGCCACTATTTTCCATCCGTCAGAGTAACCTTCCACAAATGGTGACGCGGATACTCGAGTAACAGGAACACAGAGATATCGCAAGAAACTTTGTAAAAAAGAATTGAGGTTTTCAATATAAGGAAGCAATAGCTGTTCAGAGCATTCAATTCAATGGTTCAGAGCATAGGACAAAAAAACGGAAAAAGTTTGGCCTGGGCGATTTAAATTGATATATTAAAAAAACATCTACTAATGGATCAAGGGTAAGTCTAAATAAATTAAAAATATGAAATTTAAAACTGAAAATACTTAGTTGAAAACAAACCTATTGGTAGAATTTTGATTTCAAAATTTTTATTAGAGAGTTTTAACCAACATAATTATTCCTAAGTGTGGTGTTTGAGTTTAAAACATGGCGATTTAACATATTCTGACTCCAGACTACAAACTTGTTCAACCCAAATGCAAACTCAAGAGTACAAATGTACCAAAATGCATTAAATTGAGTTAATACTTGTGTTCTACTTAACACTCAGGGATACTAACACTTTTCACTTGATAAATGGTCGTTTTGTGTAGTCTTGTTCTGACATACCGTGGATCTGCCAAGTGCTATAACCATTAATGTATTGATTAATGCCACATTCTTCATATACCAAGCATAAGGAAAAGAGCAAGGCAATAATTAAGAGATAGACAGAAAAGATTTAAATGAAAAAATTTTACTTCTTTGTATTTAAAAACTCCAGCTCCAGATTGAGAAAAAGAAACAAAACTCTTGTTGTTTATGCTACTTTTACCTATGAGGACAGGGGCCGCTGAGATGGAGAGGCAAGGGGGGAGAATTGCCTCCCAACTTTTGTATATGTCTTACTTTGTAAAGTGTAAAAGCATAAAAATCTGCTTTGATAAGTACAGATGTTTAACAGTATTTCATGTCTGACTTATGTTCCATTTTCATTTTTTTGTTGACGTTAGATTGATCAATAATAAACTTTACAAACAAAATCAAAGAAATTTGGTAAATTGAATGATTACTGATAAAACAGTTAAAAAACAAATTAGCTATAAAAACGACGATTTTTTAAGGGCAAACATGTTTCAACATTAACAAAATGCCATTATGAAATGTAACGCTAATCATTTCGCACTGAATATGGCATGTTGTTAAAGTCGAAAGTTTGCTCTTAATATACCATGGGAACAACAATCCGATTCGGCGACCTTCTTTAAGGATGTGGCATAAACAGATTTAAAAATTGCTTCGACTGTTCGACACGCAGTATCGATAAGAAAGTATGATAAATACCAATAAATACGTTACATTTTAGCCGCCGTCAACATTTGATCATGACCCATGATCAATATTTGATCATGGCCGATTTATGCTGCGCGCGACAAGCGTCGCGCGTACTTTCGATTTGCGCGAGATAGGTGCGCGCGCGCTAAGCTGTGTTTATAGCAGTGAACTCTACAACAACTGGAAGGCAGTGAACTCGACATTTGAATAACTGGAATGATAACCGAAGCCAAAAATTGAAGCCAAAAAAATATTTGTCGTCATCATTCGTCATCACTCGTGTTTCTCGCGTGTTTATAAACAATTTGTATTTTTTCGTATCCTAGATCTTTAGTTTCACCTCAGTTGATTTCATTTTACTAGTCAGTTTTATCTTAACGAAGAAAATCTTTTGAAGTATATTTATTTCAATTCTACATCATCCTAAATGCAAAACTATTATTACGTTTTTCAAATAAACTAAAAGGATTTGTTGGCATGAATTTTTATTCTACAAATTTTACAAATAGAATGAAAACATCTATAATATAGCTACTATATATTTTTGTCATACACAGTCGATCTGCTCAAAACATATCAAAGTCTTTAAGGATATTCAATTATTGATATCGAGATGACAACCATTTACTATTTCAAGCACTATCAAAATCGATGAAAAATACAATCGCTCTGTAAAAAGTAAAAATGCGAGTTATAGACTCAATATTTTTTATGAAACTGGATATTCAAGTTTCTTTTTTCGTCGGAAAAACAGATTTTTAAATCCACTGAAATGACAAAAAAAGACGAACACTGTCTGACACCATTTGAAAATTTACCTTCCGATGTAAGAAAAATTTTTGCTTGAATATTTTCTCGTCATGTTTTCTTATTGTATTGTCTTTTTAGCATTGAGTGTAATTTTCAGTTGGCTTTTTGTCGTTACAAATTGTAAGTTACAACGAACTCACTGTAGTAAAGTTTCAGAAGTAAAAAATAACCTTTTGCGAAGAGTTGGCCTCGTGTGTCGTTTGCCGTGATGTTGTTTATATGTTTATGCTTTTGCAATTTTTTATTCAAATTTATATTGGCCGTGTATGTTTGGCACTCAGGGGAATGAAACTGACGTACAAACCGCGTGAATATTCGACTTTGAAGGACTGGAACTGACGTACAAACCGCGCAAGAGACTAGGACTTTGGCTTCAATTTTATATCTATAAAATGTATTGTCGTTATCATTCCAGATATAGATATATATATATATATATATATATATATATATATATATATATATATATTGGATACACAAACTACATTTCATCCCGACAAGCCTGTTTCGTGATTGCTCACTCTTCAGGGATTTAAATCCTGAAGAGTGATTAAATCCCTGAAGAGTGAGCAATCACGAAACAGGCTTGTCGGGATGAAATTGTAGTTTTATTTTCTCAACACCACTACACATATTCACGCTCTGCTCTTGGGCATCGAGCACTGTTTTATACGGAAAATCATAAATTATAAACTTCCTAAATATATATATATATATAACGTTTCTCCGATTTTGAATGATTTTTATTGAGCTTTCGACTCGTTGCTCGATATATATATATTGAGCAACGAGTCGAAAGCTCAATAAAAATCATTTAAAAATCCGGAGAAACGTTTATCTTTATATATTCAATGCCTGGATTACAAATTTTCAAACTTATATATATATATATATATATATATGGAGTTCACTGCTGGAAGGCTAACTTGGACGCCATCTTTGAAGCCTGCATGAGCGCCGCCATTGAGGGTACGGAGGCGAAATACATCACTTCGAAATTGCCGGATTTTTTGCAAAAAACAGTGGTCGTCGAGCCAGCTTAATGTCTAAAAACCTTAAACAATGTTTGAACTTTAATATAAAACAAGTTCAAACGACATTTTTACATGTTTAAGCTTCTTTTTAGAAGGATGAAAATCGAACTTTATTTTGGCACGTGAAAACATGCCTTATAACTTGAATACAAAACTGACACCCCTCGTTTTTTTCACTAAAAGGATGTAAAATGCACTAGTCTATCCTTATAATATTGTTTGAATCTTTGAAAATGAAGCTGTCAGGGCAAAAAACGCTGTTTTTCGGTAATTTTTGTGTTTCCGAGCAAAATTAGCTCGCCCCAGTCCTTTTTGAAAGTTCAGAGCGTAAACGAAAACAAAAAAACAGTGCGAAACATTTCAAAAAGTTGGAAGAAATAAAATATTAGAGTTTGGTTTTAAGAAAATTACAATGCCACATAATTGTGTGATTGATGGTTGCACGAGTAAACAAAAAATAATTAAAAGTGGGTCAAAATGCCACTCAAAAATGACGAAAAATCAAGTTTCATTTCACAGGTAAGGCTAGGATAATATAGTCAACTAACCTTTAGAAAAAAATAATACTGTACACATTAGAAATATGTACGATACATTATACAATTCCCTACTTATATATCATTTTTAAATCAGGTATAAATAATTAACTTGAATAGCAAAAACTTAAGGAGAAAACTGAATAAAACCAAACATTTAGATTCCCACTAAATAATGCACCAGTTCTTGAAATGTGGGAGGTGGTAAAAGATACCAACAATAGTCCAAATTTTAAAGCATCCCATTCCAGCAGAATCTGTAGCAATCATTTCTCCAGACACGACTACATAAAACCACCTTCAGAAACCAACTGCAGACTGAAACATGCTGCTGTGCGAATTATAAATCCACAACTCACTGGCTCACACTATGGTATATCCAGGAATGCAAGAAGAAAAATCAAATCACCATCTGACTTAAAAACCATAACACCACTGACTCCATCAGAAAAGGTTTTTCTCGATCACTCAAACTGCAAGAAATTTGGAGAAGCAAATGAGTGAAGATCATACCTGGAAGGAAAGTTTAAAAGAAAAATTAGAGGATTGCAACAACAACTAAGGCGGACTAAAGCAAAACAACAAACAATGACAGACATTATTAAGGAACTAAAAGAAAAACTGATTATATCAAGTGATACTGCTGAACATTTGCATGCAAAGTTTGACCATATACAACTCTCAATATTTAGAGACACCAAGAACAATGTTAAGTGTGCACCTTGTGCATGAAGATATTCAGACGCTGTGAAAGAATTTTCAACAACTATTAATTATTATTCACCAAAGGCATATGAGTATGTTAGATCAATATTGCCTCTTCCAAATCCATCAATGATAAAAAAATGGTCCAGCACTATAAAATGTGAACCTGGATTCATTAAGGAAGCATTCATTTCATTATCAGAAGTCAAAAAATCTACAGACAGGAGAGATTGCTTCCTTGTAATAGACGCAATGGAAATTAGAAAACAAACCTTGTGGGATGCAAATCAAGAGAGATATGTGGGCTTTGTTGATTATGGACCAATACCAACTGAAAAGACATGTGAAATTGCAATTGAAGCCATTGTATTTCTTCTTGTGGGTGCACGAAGTCACTGGAAATGTCCAATAGGATATTTTCTTGCAACCAAAATGAGTGGCAAAACACAAGCCGAACTTGCCAATATGGCACTTTCATTGGCAGCTGAAGCAGGACTTCGTGCGTGGTCAATCACAACAGATGGCACAGCAGTAAACCTTACAATGTTCAGACAACTTGGTTGCACTTTCACAACATCCTACAACACAATAATTACAAAATTTAAACATCCTACACAAAAGTACTACATCTACGCTATCCTTGATCCATGTCATATGTTGAAATTAGCAAGAAATGCCCTACATCATTTGAAATCATTTGTTGATGGCAAAAAGAACTCAATTAAATGGGAGTTTTTTGAGTCCTTAACCACCCTCCAGGAAAGTGAGGGTTTTACCCTTGGCAACAAGCTAACCCCAAAGCATATTCAATTTCTCAGGCACAAAATGAATGTGAGACTAGCTACACAAACCCTCTGTTCCTCAGTTGCTAATGCCATTGAATTTTTAGACGTCTCAATGAAACATAGTTCATTTGAAAACTCCAATGGAACTGTCACATTCATCAGAGTAATAGACCGCTTATTTGACATACTTAATTCAAGAAATATCTTAGGGAAAGGATTTAAACAGCCACTTCGCTTGCAATCCAAACAAACATGGGAAGAAATTTTATTATCTACTGCTAAATACTTGCTAGACCTGAAGATAAACATTGGCTCAACACAACAACACCTGATAACCCATGGCAGAAAAACATTTATACTAGGATTTGTTATTTGCATCAAGACAACAATTGAAATGGCAAATGAGATGTTCACCAATGCAGTTCCACCATTCAAATATCTACTCACATACAAGTTCTCTCAAGATCATCTGGAATTGCTGTTCTCATGTATCCGAGCTAAAGGGGGCTGGAACAACAATCCAAATTGTCTTCAAATCAAATACTCCCTGAGACGAATGCTGATGAGAAATGCTGTGACTGCTTCTAAGAGTGCTAATTGTCAAACATTCCACAACTTTTCCACAACTATCATTCCAATCTTTCACTCACAGAAACATAAAGCCCCATTAAAAAGTCCTGCAATTGATGAAACCTATCAACCAGATGCAATTGCTCATGGAAACCTTCTTTTCTCACAATTGAACACTAGCACAACATCCGAGTTCCTATCAAATGTCCTGTTCTATATTGGAGGCTTTATAGTTTCAAAAATTGTAAAAGAACTATCGTGTTCATCATGTATGTCTTGTCTACTAGCACAGTTTTCTGCACCAAATCCTGACCACAACTATTGTGTCATGAAATATAGTGAAATATCTTCAGCATCTGCTTTTACACTATTTATCAACAATGGTGGATTAAAGATTCCATCGGAATCAGTCTATAAAATTATTGAGTATGCTGAGAAAGTGTTCAAATCGTTTGTGTGCAAAGACGGGAGTCAAATATCAACCGAAAAAAATATTAAGCAAAGAATGATCCTAAACGTCTGCAATTATTTCATTATGAATTCCAGCCATCGAGTGTTTGAAGACCACGAGACTGTATTGGTAAAAGGCGATTTGGAAGAAGAACACAGGTCTAAGCTCATCAAACTTACAGCAGAGAGGTACTTCAAGCTTCGATTATTCACGTATGGAAAACGTTACAACAAATCAGTTGTAGCGAAAGGACAACAAAGCGACCGGCATCATCTGACGAAGCTCATTTTATTCAAAAATCAGTGAAACGTTTCCTGATCCTGTTATATAACCCGTATTTGATTATTTTTCTAAATTTTTAAAGAAAGAGATTACCTTCCATGTTCAACTGTTGATAAACAGATTCGCGCACATCACATTTTCCTTTTTCACCAAATAAAGCAAATAATTACACCCATAGTCTCTTGCCGATTTAATGGTAGATTTGATCACGCAGCTTTTCAAATTTCATACCCGATTTTCAAGTATTTGAAGTTTTTAGCCGCTCTGAAAAATTTACATGGTAAGCCATGCCGTTTTTTTATAAAAGCTTCTCGACTCACGCAGTTGTTGTAGAGTTCATTGGTTTATAGTTAACGCGCTTACCTACGCGTATTCAACAAAATCGGATAACATGAAGTAATGCGGTATTCTCACGATCAAACATGGCAACTCGAGTTCGAGGAGAAATGGATGACCTTCTCGATCTGGAGGAGGAGGAAATGTTGTGCTATTTACTTTTGTTGCTACAACAGAAAAAACGAAAACGAAGAAGATGGTCAGTTCGACCACTTCACGCTTCTAGAAAAAGTGAGGGTGAATACGTTCTTGTTCAACAAATGAGATGCATAGACGAAGAAATGCATTTTAAGTATTTTCGTATGTCTTCGGCCCGTTTCGACGACTTGGCACATCGAATTATGCCTCATGTAAAGCATGCATCTACGCATTTAAATCCTGTTAGTGTAAAAGAAAGGCTAGCAGTTACGTTAAGAATTCTATCGTCTGGCGCCTCACAACAAACTGTGGCTTCAAGTTACCGATTAGGATCAACTACAGTTTCCCTAATTTTGTTGGAGGTGTGTGTAGCTATCTGGTTGGCATTGAATGAAGAGTTTGTTGCCTTTCCTTCTGGTTCACAATGGGCAGAAATTTCGCGTGAGTTTTGGAGGCTTTGGAACTTTCCAAATTGTCTGGGCTCTATAGATGGAAAGCATGTGCAACTCAAAGCACCTCCTCTTTCTGGAAGTGATTTCTTGAATTATAAAGGAACTCATTCTGTTGTACTAATGGCTGTATGTGATGCTTGCTATCGCTTTCTAATGGTAGATGTAGGTGCATATGGAAGGCAAAGTGATGGGGGGGTTTTCCAAGAAAGCAAATTTGGGGAGCAGCTATTAAATGGACAACTTGGTTTGCCCTTGCCAGAGGATCTATCTGGTAGTAAACCTACATTACCTTATGTATTTGTTGGCAATGCTGCTTTTCCTCTTCATGTTAATATGATGAGACCTTACCCAGGTACATTTTCTTTTGTTAACTCCATGCACTTTTATGATCGTGACTAAAACACCACACGAGTACATACGAATACATACAAGTACATACGAGTACATACAAGTAACATACAAGTGCATACGAGTAACATACGAGTACATACGAGTGACATACGACTATTTTCTGGTCAATAAATGAGAAACAACACAATTTCTTCAATACATTGATATTTGCATTTACTTTTCCTTGTATTTGTGTGGACTTTGGGGCAACCATTTGATGGATTTAAATGCTGAAAAGGTATTTTACTTTCATACTACATTCATTTGTATGTTTTAGTTTAATTTGTTATAGATATTTTGTTGATGCGATTTGCCAGTATTTGAGCGCTTTTTGACACACATTCACCTTGGAAATACATATTTATGAAAGCGATTATACATTCACTTTGGTCTTTACGATACGGATTTTGCAGTTAAAAGACTGAATTATATCAGCTAGAACTTTAAAAACATAAAAAGTAAGCTGAAATTGTACGCATTATATGATATATATACGTAACACAGTGCAACTCTCATTTATATATAATGTACATTTATTTCATATAGCACGTTTTGAAAGCATTATTTATACGTTGTTTATTTAATCGCTTTCATAAATATGTATTTCCTAGGTGAAAGTGTGTCAAAAAGCGCTCAAATACTGGCAAATCGCATCGACAAAATATCTATAACAAATTCAACTAAAACATACAAATGAATGTAGTATGAAAGTAAAATACATTTTCAGCATTTAAATCCATCAAATGGTTGCCCCAAAGTCCACACAAATACAAGGAAAAGTAAACGCAAATATCAATGTATTGAAGAAATTGTGTTGTTTCTCATTTGTTGACCAGAAAATAGTCGTATGTCACTCGTATGTACTCGTATGTTACTCGTATTTAATTTTCTTATATTTAATCAAAACATTGTTATTTCATATATTTTTGAAAATTTATATTAACTGTTTGTGACTTCAAAAATGCAATAAATTTATTTAATTTATGTCTCTGTAAGACTCATTCAAAATGTTTTTTTCATTCCCCACAAGAATTGCGATCAAAAAAATTTCCTGGCTGCTTGTTGGTAGAGTTTCCCAAGACTCAGTAAATTGCTAAAACAGTTGATCTTAATGCCATTTTTGTTCTATTTACTCTTAAGGTAATAACCTTGACAATCCCAAGAAAATTTATAACTACTGCCATTCCAGAGCTAGAAGGGTAATTGAAAATGCCTTTGGTATCATGACTGCTAGATGGCGAATTCTTGGAAAACCAATGGAATTTTACCCTGAGAAAGCTGTTCAAATTGTGAAGGCATGTGTTGCACTTCACAATTTCTTGTTATTTACTGATGCTGCTAATATACCTAGCACTAGATATTCCCCTCCCAATTTCAGTGATTCAACCACTGCATCTCACGAAGTCCTCCCTGGAGATTGGAGACATGTTGCGGGTTCACAAAACATTTTTCAGAATATTAAAAGACTTTCAAGTGCTCGTGCTTCTAGAGCTGCTACAGCAACCAGAAATGACTTTAAATCATTTTTTATGTCTCCTTTGGGAAAACTACCATGGCAAGATCATGTAATACAACGAGGTTTTCTTAAATAAATGAATATTTAATTGTATGAAATAATAAATTGTTACTTATAAAACATAGAAAGTTATTGGTCTACATTGTTTTCATAAAGTTTTTGTTCCATTTCAAACAATATTTTATGAATGGAAAATTTAGCTTCAGATTTCAACTTGCCTGGAAGCTTTCGGACAGTGTCAGCCACAGTATCTGAAAAGCGACTTTCTTCATCAATTTTCATATGTTTTGTTTCTCTTTCTTCTCTAATCTTTTTCAAAGAATCAAGTCTTTCACAAACTAATGTCTCTAAATGTGCAGATCTCTTTCTACAGCCCTTGGTCGGGTTTACCACAGCTCTACTCAAAGCAATTGTGGAAGGGGCAGATGGGTCACTACTTACTGGTGTGATAGGTAATGTAGGTGTTGTACACAAATTTTCACTAACATTTGAATCACTTCTACTTGTTGAGGGAGACTATGCGGTTAGGTCAAACTCCTCCATATTTATCGTAACAAAATTTTCTCCTAGTGGAAGGGATTCTGATGTTGTTATAGGTTCTTCAGTGTTCTCCTACAATCACAACAACAACAGATGTAACATAATAATCTACTCAATCAGTCAGCCTGTTCCATATTGTATCAAATTTTTTTAATAGTGATTATAACTACCTCCCGAAAATTAGTTTCTGTGTCCGTATGCTTTATATGATCAGACAACCAAGACAGACTGAGGAATATCGGTGGGATAGATTTGCCACCAGCATCTCCACTTCTAGACTTCATTCGTTTCTTGGCTTTGGTGTAACGATCTCTCAAATTTTTCCATTTCTGTCGACAAATTTGTTCATTTGTGTTAAGGTTTCTCGCTATTTCATTCCAAGAACTATTGGTTTTCTGAGTATCTTTATAATCTCGTCTCGAAGAATCGTAAAGATGACCATATTTTCGGACTTCTGCTAATTTTTCTTCGAACCCTTCCATTGCTGCTGCCGTCTTTTGTTGGTAATTGGATATTCATTGTTCAGTATTGACAAACAACTCAAGACTTCCCCCCGAAAGAAGCCTTTCAGCCAATCACAACGCGCGACAACGCGACAACTTGTCTGCGACGTTACAAAATTTTTGAATGCACGCGACGCGACATCAAGCAAACGCGCCATCAAGATATACTTCCGTTTTAGTCGCAATGACGTAAGATCTACTGCGCGACACGTCCATTGAGTTCTATAATAACTGGAAGATTTATCAGGTAATGACAATACACTTATGATACTTATCCATAGTAAATTTTCAGTTGACTTATGTCGTAGGACTGAAGAGAACATTTTCTCGCTTCCTTAGGAGCATTTTAACACAGATTTATCCATTTGAGCAAGAAAAATAGTTGCACCAAACTGTTTAGAAACAGTAAACACACAGAAGCATGAAATAATGTATAAGTTTGACGAGATTGACAGGTCTACTAAAGAATGCCGTTTGATTTTCACTTTTAAAAGGTTAAAATATCATAAAATAACTTAAAGGTTACATCCCAAATATGCGTTTCTCTACCGTCGATTTTCTTTATTTTTATGTGTGTCTGTACTGTGTTTTTCACGTAATGCTGAAGCATTATTTTCACATGATATGCTGTCGGTATCGTAATTGTTTCTTTTTCTCACTTGTTTTCGTTCATACAAAGAGTATTAGAAATCAGGAGGGAGTGAATATTGAAAAAAATTTTTGAAGTGGAAGTTTTGACCACCAAAATCCGCCATTACCGCCATGTTTTTGACCACGGGGTCCAGGCCCCTTTTCCCCTCCAGGTCTTATAGAGCTCAATGGACACGTCGCGCGACGCTTGTCGCGCGCAGCATAAATCGGCCTTTAGTCGTGACCTTTTTCTCCTACGCCAATCAGAACACAGCTGGATTTCCGAAGGCTGCATGTGTTTGTAATCACTGTTTGTAATTCGTACATCTGATACCGCGTTAAGTTGAACTTCGACTCAATATATGATTATCATCCGTAATCGTTACTTTATCAAAATTATGTTTTCATCAGATGATGAGTTTGAGCTTTCCGAGTATGAGATTCAACGAAATGAACGTATTCAGGCAAATAAAGAAATGATGAAGGCTATATTTGGAGAAACCTTGACGGAACTTTGTATGCCAGTTAAGAAGTCTCCTAAGTGGACACCACGTGAGAAGTCTAATTGCACAAAAAAAAACAAAATTTCGACAGCATTGCGTAGGAATCCCAAACGAAAGGCAAGGTCCTATAGTAGTGAATCGTTAGTCTCTGTTCAAAATGGCAATACTCGCTGTAAAAAAGTTAAACCTCATCTTGAAGTGTATATTAAAGGTCGCTTGACAGAAAAAAGGCGCATTGCAGGTAGTATGAACCATCAAATGCAATCATTTCTGAGACTATGTCATTACGTTATTTTGTTTGACAAATTTTCTGGGCATTTGAGCTAAAAGAAAAAGTGATTAGAGTGGTGCCGATGCGTATAGCCATTACAAATTGTCGGGCGTATTCAATGACAACATCCATTAATAGCTAGCCATAATGAAAATCAATAGCACGAGACGAATGTCAATGAGTTTAATACTCGTTAAGATTAGCACGGAAAACATAGTCATTAAATACATCGTCATTCATACATGCAGTAGAACAATACGATAGTGCATTTCATTTTAAACATTTGGGTAAGTTTGTATTTATAAGAGTTATTTAGGAGTATCGATTATCGTTTTGTGGGAAACTGTGTTTTAATGATATGCCTAACTGCACTGTTGAGCATAGTTGGCCGTTTTGAACATTCAAAATGCCATCATTTTAATGATTGTCAATTTAAATTGTCAATGTTGTTATGAAATGTTGCTAGACATTCTAAAGAAGTGATGATACAGGTACTTTAAGTTGTTGTGTTTTTGTGTTGCATTGTTTTCCTAAGCAGTGAAATTAGTGCAAACAGGCTTAGAAAAGCACCAAATCAAATTTTACATATTTTTAACCATTTCTACTTGTTAAACTAAGTTAACATAATTATGTTTTGTGCTTTTATATTCTTTACATGCTCACAATTTTTTTTGATTAAAAGTTGACGATGCACTTTTGTGCATAACAAATTACGGGGCAGACATTAACAAGCAGATTTACCATTTTCTCACTATTTTTTTCAAGTGAATATTTCCACTGTGCCCATTTTTGTAATATTGTATCCTAGTAACATTAGCTTCTAATAACCATCCATTTTCATGATATTTTCAAACCTTGGAGCCGTTTGCAAGAACTCTAGAGCAGGTGGAACCCTCACTTTTCAGTCTCGGGCTTGCACTGATCTGCTCTCAAGTTCTCCCAAAGGTATCCTGGGTTTGCATAGGCCTGTGCAAACACACTAAACATCTTTTATTTCTTAAATTAAAACACACCTTCCTGCAGATACTCTGTTTTTTCAACACAAAGGAATTGTATGTTACATGATAGCTATAAGTACATACATTGTCATGTTATGAAAATGCTTAATTTTGTAAATTTGAATTGTTTGTTAAATTGTCTAGACAGGCATAACAACGACAATGTTGAATTTCTCAAAGATGAAGATTTTGCTCCAAAATCACGTGTTAGAGCTACACAACATGTCGTAAGACCAGTGTCTGACTTTACTGAAGAAGACTTGCTGATGGTAGCTGATGCTGTATCTGACAAACATTATGACTCTGTAAATGGTACTTCATGTCATCAATGTCGTCAGAAAACCGATGATCTTAAAACAGTTTGTCGCAATGAAAATTGCATTGGTATACGAGGCCAATTTTGTGGTCCTTGTCTTCGCAATCGCTATGGTGAAAGTGTTAAGGAAGCCATTATGGATCCTGCTTGGATATGTCCACCTTGTCGAGGTATTTGTAATTGCAGCTTTTGCATGAAAAAGCGGGGAAGTTTCTGTACTGGTCAGTTGATTAACTTAGCACGTGAACATGGTTTCAATGATGTAAGGACATTCTTAGGTGACTAAAGATAGATAAATTCGAATGACAGTTTTTGCACTTGTTTTGTTTGATGTTTTTTTGATAAGGAACGATGCTGAGAAGTTTTAGTTACCTGTTTTGTTACTAAATGTATGTGAACCAGTTTGCTTTTGTGTACTTGTAATTTTTTGTATGCGCTTACTTGTAGCTGTTTTTGTTATTGTTCAGTAATGTTTGGTTACTGTTTACTCAATTGATTTTTGCTTTTTAAGAAAGGCTGTAATGAAATTATTAAGTTTTAGCGAATATTAAACAGAAGCGATATTAAAACAAACACTATTTTGCGTCTACGTTGCGTAGCAACCTAGACGCATTGCAGTCACTCTTAAAAATAACATTTTCGGACAGTGGTTTCCGTAAAAGTGACGTCAGTCGGCTTTTACCGGCTAAGCATCGGAAACATTTCGGCAACTTTCTCATTGACTTTCGATCAATGTAAAGTTAAACGTTAAACGTTCGGCATTCGATCCACAATCCAAATAGCACATGTTGATGATTCAGTTTGAGTTTAATAATAACATTCGTCGTATCGTCGTATATTCAGACTTCAGCTTTGAGTTTTGTTTATGTCTGTGTTACCAAAGCGAACTACAAATCAAACAACAAAGCAAACGACCGAAGCAGACTATTAAAAGCAATTAGCAAGTCAAACTGGACGAAGACTTTCGATGTTATGCAAAGCATTTGTTGTAAAGTGTGTGATGAAAGGAATTTGTCTGATGTTGTTAGGCAATAGCGTGTTCCATTGTTGTTAAGAATGGCAAAGGACGTTGAAGAAAACCCTGGTCCGACAATATATGATTTAGTTGACCCGAATGAAACAATTGCTGCGGATTTTAGTCAGGGAAATTCGAGAAAATTTCGACAAAATGCTGGTAATCTATGTGTGGCCATGTCGTTGACTGCAATAATTCACACTGAACTAAAAATTAATAAATATATTAATAATTGGGAATAATCTTCATACTATTATAACAAACAAAGACTTTCTGCTATTAACTGATGTGCCAGAACTCTGTATCAATTTGACGAGAAAGTCTGTACATTAAACTACAGCGACTCCTTTGCAGGTGATGTCTATATGACATTGGACAATGAACCATTTTGCTTTTAGCACTACAGTTGCTAATATAAAAAGTTCTGAAGATAGTTTTAAAATATTTGATTCACATTCAAAAGATTTATATGGCATATCACATCCCTATGGCAAGTGTTCAAGGTACTTCTTACTGTTCAAGGTTTAGAAAACCTGTCACTCGATTTCCAAAATACTTTAGTCTATACTTTAGTCAATACTTTAGTTGAAATCCATTGTCGGTGTTGTTAATTTTGTATGCTCTGTCTGATCGTGACTAAAACACCACACGAGTACATACGAGTGACATACGAGTACATACAAGTACATACGAGTAACATACGAGTACATACGAGTGACATACGACTATTTTCTGGCCAACAAATGAGAAACAACACAATTTCTTCAATACATTGATATTTGCGTTTATTTTTCCTTGTATTTGTGTGGACTTTGGGACAACCATTTGATGGATTTAAATGCTGAAAAGGTATTTTACTTTCATACTACATTCATTTGTATGTTTTAGTTGAATTTGTTATAGATATTTTGTCGATGCGATTTGCCAGTATTTGAGCGCTTTTTGAAACACTTTCACCTAGGAAATACATATTTATGAAAGCGAATATACATTCATTTTGACTCTGAAGATGACTACCGCTAAGGTTGTCGAAACGTCAGTCAACAACAACAAAAACAGTCCTTCTCAGGACTATACCAACCTGGACGATCTACATTTACAAACATGTAACGATACTCCCGGGTTCAAACCATTTACTTTATAGATAAGGATCCAAAATGCACGAATTTCACCGAATGGCTAAGTATAGTTAACTGTTTTGCCATTGTAAATACATTAAAAGTAAGCTGAAATTGTACGCATAATATGACACATATACGTAACACAGTGCAACTCTCATTTAATTCAAATATATATAATGTACATTTATTTCATATAGCACGTTTTGAAAGCATTATTTATACGTTGTTTATTTAATCGCTTTCATAAATATGTATTTCCTAGTTGAAAGTGTGTCAAAAAGCTCTCAAATACTGGCAAATCGCATCGACAAATATCTATAACTAACTCAACTAAAACACACAAATGAATGTAGTATGAAAGTAAAATACCTTTTCAGCATTTAAATCCATCAAATGGTTGCCCCAAAGTCCACACAAATACAAGGAAAAATAAACGCAAATATCAATGTATTGAAGAAATTGTGTTGTTTCTCATTTGTTGACCAGAAAATAGTCGTATGTCACTCGTATGTACTCGTATGTTACTCGTATGTAATCGTATGTCACTCGTATGTACTCGTATATTACTCGTATGTACTCGTATGTACTCGTATGTACTCGTATGTACTCGTGTGGTGTTTTAGTCACGATCTGCTCTGTCTACAAGTGTGCGTATTAATCCAGTCTTGTATGAATGTGGTGTGAAACTAAAGTAGTTCGTCAAAAGTCCTTTGTAGGTTAGTTTATATGATACGTCGACGTTGTATAGGTGTCATGTGATTTTGTTAATAAAATGTCTATAAAAGGTAGTTGGTTTTGTTTTTCAGTTTTGAAAGAAAATTTAATGTTTGTGTGTTGTTTGTTGATGTAACTAAAAAAGTTCATAGCCTCAGTCTCGTTTGTAAAAACAGAAAAAATATCGTCAACGTATCTGCGGTAGAAAAATGGTTTTGTGTCGTAGTTAGTAATCCATGGGGTTGACCCATCGCAACACCTTCGGTCTGGTCATAAAATTTTCCATCAAATAAAAAATGTGTTTGTGCCGTTGCTATTTAAAACAGTTGTTTTAGGTCTGTCTTGGTTATGGTGAACTTAGGGTTGTCGGTGAAAATAGCGTCAGTGGCTAGACCAATCGTTTCAGTAAGCGGTATGTTAGTGAATAGGCTTTCAATGTCGTAGGAGATAAAGAATTTTTGACATGAAGTTGATGAGTTGAAAGATGAGAATTCGTCGAGGAAAGTGAAAGAATCTTTAGTGGAGTGGTCGTCTGGTATGAGTGGTGTTAGTATGGAACTGAGATACTTAGCTAGATTATAATTTTAAGCGTTTGTTGATGAGATTATTGGTCGTAGTGGAGGCGGTTGTCCTGCTTTACGTTTCTTGTGTAATTTGGGTTAGCCATAAAAACGGGATGGTTGAGAGCCTTTTGGGAAAATGTCGTTGAATATTTCGTTGTCAATTGAACCCTTCTTTCTCAACCTTAAAATTTGTATATCATTTGCTGCCGATAGCATACCATTTTTTGGCATGTAAACTTTTCAGTCTTGCGGTCTTTAAGTACATTCCAATTTTATACTGTTTAAGCGTAAATTTAGAACAATGTGTTGATTATTCCATTTCGAGTAATTACCAGTTTCATTACGAATAGCTCAGCTAACACCAGAACGAATTTTTACTGCTTCAAAGTAACTGCAAAGGAAAACCCTATCGAAGATAGAAACCGGTCACACTTCACAGAGCATGGGAGCTGTTGGTTTTCATGTCCGCCATGCTTGTGGACTCTTAACAAAAGAATACATTCAATTTTACTCTTTTTTGCTGACATCATGCATGCGTTTCCTTGCTGACTAATCCCTGTAGCCCTGGATGAGAACGAAGAAGTGCGATTTCTGAATATTTCGTACCCCAAACCCCAAACATGATATTTTTTAAATTGTGCTTACGCCTCCTTCGGGATCAATTAAACTGAATCACGCAAGTTTTAAACTTATGGTGATTTGGAAGTGTGACTGTTTTTTATACACCCCTGATACAGCGAGTGCTTTAACTTGAACCATTACGTTGCACGTTTAATTAGGTTGTGGTGGAAGCTCCCAAAATCTTTTACGTGTTAACTTTAGAAAACGTAACTTCTAAACTTTAACATACCGCCTTTCATCTATGGAATGTGCAATTTGGATTTGTGAGTGTGTGTTTGTATATGGGCAAGTTAAATGTGAAGGTGAGCGTCTGCGTGATTAATTCTCACCAAACCGATAAGTTAATGCACCAAACCTATAAGTTAATGTTGCTTTTGAAAAATATATTCAAATATTCAGTTGAATATTTGAACCAATATTCAAATGTTTGGTTGCAGTTTTAGTTTGCATTTTCTAACTCACGGAAAGCGATCTGATTGGTTATTGTAAAAATAATAGTACAAGCACACTTTTAAAAAGTCCAAACAGAATGCGAATTTTGAACTTCTTTGTTAGTTCAATTCAAATATTAAACAGCACCCCCATTGGCAGTTTTTTTCATGAATTTATCAAAGCAAAGTGTCCTCTAAATATAGTACTAAGAAACTATATTGTACATCGCTGGCGTCATAAGGAAACCATTAATAACATTTCTAAGCCGCTCAACGTATCGTGGCAAAGTATATGGAACATAGTAAAAATATAGGATAACGTGCGCATCTAAAGCTGCTGCAGGGGGTTATCGTAAAAGAATTAGAACTGATGCTATAATACAGTATGTAGAGTACCTGAAAAACAATCAAACACCTATTTATCCGAAAGAAATTCGACGAAAACTAGTTGAAAATCGTTTTGATTGCCTTAAAATGTGCCGTCTTATGCTTCAATCAGTCGTATTTTAAATGATTAAATGATTATCTCGTTTACTTATAAAAGATTTTGCATCAAGTACTAACTGAAACGAGTAGACCTGATATTCAAGAGCAACTTGACTTTTACTTTAATGTGTGAAATGGACGTCCATAACATGCACTTTTTGACGAGAGCTCTGTAGTAAAGACAACTGGCAATCGAAAACAAGGACACAGTGCAATTGGTTCGCCAGCTTTTAAAGGTACGTTTACATACCACGATTTGTCGGGCCGACACTGACGCCATATTACGTGTTCTTTCCATATTTGGAAACTCGCCCGACTCGAAAAATCGGATGAAAACCTGTAACAAACTACAGGTTTGTTCCCGATTTTGATTATGTTGCTATGGCTTCAGAAACAAGCAAATTATGATTATCGAAAAATCATCGAAATGTCTTCTTTCAACCCGGAAAAAGAAAGTGCTGAAAGCGTCGTTGTTTTTATTGAAAAACCAAAAGCTGCAGGGATTCAGAAAAAGAAAAAAGTCAAGAAGATTTTCTTAAAAAAAGAAACACGGCAAATTTACCTTGATTTGCACTTTACTCGCACCAATCTTTATACTTGTTTTCTTTTTTTCTTTATTTTTTGAGGTAATAATAATAATATACTTATACCCGATTAGTCGGGTAGACACTTACTTATTATTATTATTATTATTACGTGATTCTTGACATATATGGAACATTTGTCGTGAAAGACAAATCGCTGTGTGTAAGTAATGTATACGACGTATTTACGCGATTTCAAAAAAGAAAGCAAACACGTCGAAGAACAATAGCAAAGTGAAATTAAACTACGTAGCTGGAAAGTTTTATTTGGACAACTGTGGCTTTCATCGTGCACGCGCCGTCGAATCACTAATAAGGCATATCTTAATAAGAAGAGGAGTACGTTTGATTTTCCAGCCTCCTTATCATCCTATTATCAATACATGCGAATATTGCTTCCATTATGTTAAATGCTAGTTACGGAGATTCTCTCGTTATACAAAACATTACACAGACAGCGATGGCCGATGCGACAATGCGTATACTACACGGGATTCACAGAATTATTTCAAGCATTGCGGGTATTTATAAAACACAGAACTAAATATTCAAGCTAACTGTTCACACAGCACAACCAAATGCTTAGGCTGACATCCTAGCTTTTTTGAGAAAAAAGCTGTTCACACAAGTCCCAATTAGTAATGTAATATAAATCTTCAACAACGATAACCATAAACACTTAAATGCAATACTCACTATTTTAGAAGAAAAATGTCTCCGTCCACATAATTCAATACATAACTCAACTACATTATCAGGCAGAATGAACATATTATTATTGAAAATGAATTAACGTGTAAATGAATGCGACATCAGAAAATTAGCACCATCTTGTTTTCACTTCGCACTATATGCACAACGGTTGCATTGTCACTAGTGCTTTGCTGTAACATTTCAACTGTTACAACTAAAGTTTATAGTTGATTGAAATCTCCTCTAGAAGGTAGGGCTGTTTTCTGCACATTAGGTTAAAGATAAGATGGAAAGTTTTCATTTCCAGTATAATACATCGGAATGACATTTGAAACTCCATTACTATGACATTTTTGAGGGTAATGAACCTGGTCAAGTAACTTGGCCGTAACCCCATTCATTCATGTTTCGAGACAAGGAATTAAAGAGGATTGT